AGCCGCGGACGAGCCGCGCGCGGCGCGTTTCGCGGAGACGAGCCGCGGCCGGCGTCCACGGGAAAAAAGAACCCCGTGCACCCAATATATGGCCAGGAAGCTGTACATCGACCTGTGGCTTGGCATCGACCCCCGTGTGGTACATGCTTTTTGGTGCCGTGAAGGTTTGCAAACCCTCAAAACATGACCCCCATGAAACCAGGCACCCCCTGCCAAAATGGCCAATGGGTATATAATGTTATTGGCCGTGTCCCTTTCTTATGCGCGAAGGCAGAAAAACTCCACAGGAGCAACATCAAATTCTAAGTCGAAGGACGCTCGCAGTCTGGCCTGACGGCCAGTGAAGCATGTTCGTGAGCCTGGTCGTAGTGGCGATTTACAGCCGATGCTCGCAAGAGATGCAATGGGCGGTGGACCATTTTGGTGGCTCCAAGTTTCCCTCGCCCACTAGCGGCCACAATTGCGAAAACAACGTTTTGGCGGGTGATCCAAAATTCCACATTAGTCACTCAGATGCGTGGCCATGGGAAAAGAAGGGCATCCTTTTTTGGTTGGTTGAGTTTGAAGGGAACCTTCCCAAAAAGCAGTTGAAGAAAGGGCGGAATCCACTCGGCAACTGGGGTCACATTCCGTGGGGCAGGGGTTGAAGCTTTCAGCCACAGCCCGAGCGTTTGGCCGAGCCGCGATCTCGCCAAACATGGACGCCGCCCAGTAGACGGAGTGCTGTTGCAAGACTCCTCAGGCTCGGATCGGATGTCGCGTATCAAAATGTTCGACCTCCACTTTTGGACACTCTGCCTTGCCGCCTTTTTAGAGACATACCAAAAAGGGGGCAAAACGAGTATGAATCTAAACTAGGGGCCCTTATGGTCCCTTAACCTGGGGTTTTTGCATCACTCACCGTTTTTTGGGTATTCCGACGTGAATACCATACTGTGGGTGGACGGAATTTTGCACCGCCTAAGAAACGCTGGTTTCTGATGATTCCCGGATTTTGTCCATCCACAGTATCGTGGATCTTGCCCTCAAGCCGCAACAAGTTCAATCCCGAGCATCAAGTCACGGTGAAATTGGGTTGCACTTGCGCCAATGTCGGCAGAACCAGGGTGATCCTCGACTCAGGGAACAAAGCACGGCGTCACAATCCCTCTTGACAACATTAGGTTGGCCAATGCCATACAAAGCGGTCGGAAATCCAAGATCACAAGATCACGTCGGCTCCAGCTGTGCCTTCGAACGCACTTTGAAGCGCTCAACCCCACCAGATTCATTCCCTAAAAACTGCCTCCCCTTCTCCCAAACACATTCACAAACGCTCGCTCAACCGGTTTACCGGAAAAACGGAATCGCCATGCGCCAACAGCCCCCGACGGATCACAGCCGGCTCGACCGCCGGCTCGAGGCATGGCTCGGTGGGCGGGGTCCAAGTGGACCACCTCCCGGTACTTGGCAATCTCCCAGAGCGCCATGCCGTGGCTCGCCTGGACGTCAAAGCTCAATGACGAATGCGAAACCCAAAAAAACACAAAGCCCCTAGCATCGCGAAGGGCTCTTCCGTGCGGAGCTCTCGGACCAACTTGCATAGAGTCACTTGCGCAGAGTCAAATACATAGAGCCAAGTGCATGGAGCCAAGTGCATAGAGCCGTGCATAGAGCCAAGTGCATAAAGCCAAGTGCAAAGAGCCAAGTGCAAATAGAGCCAAGTGCATAGAGCCGAGCGCACAGGGCCGCGCGCATAGAGCCAAGTGCATAGAGCCGAGTGCATGGAGACAAGTGCATAGAGCCAAGTGCATAGAGCCAAGTGCATAGAGCCAAGTGAGGTTTGTCGAAAATTCTTGTTCCACGGCTTCCTTTTAGGACCCCTTGCGCCCGCCCTTGCGCCTCCTTGCGCCTACGTGTGTTTTTGCTTATGCCGTCATCTTCGTGTACGAAACACATGGGAAATTAGGTGCTGAATGTGGCTTTTAAGCTGTGCCAAAAGGCTCGGGCCACGAAAGGTAGAGAGCACAACCTCCTGGCGAAACCTGCGACAAAACAACGCCTTTCATTCAGGTCAGGAACACGTTGTAGGCGCTCGAAGCTGGAAGGTTTCAGGACACCTCTAGTCACGAAGGGTTGGCTTCATGCTAACAAGTAGTCAGTGCAATGCGGGTGCTTTGCCTGCTTTGCGCCGGTAATTGAAAAACGTCTCCCCCGGCTTTGTGCAAACAAGCGCAAACCAAGTAACCAACCAACCAACTGTTCAGGAATAGCCCGTGGGCATTACAAATTGGAGTGTTTCAGACCTATTCAGACACTCTTCTGCATGCAAGGCAGGCTTTATACAAACAAGTCCTGGCCACAATGCGGGCGCTTGGTCAAATAAGTGGGCAAAGCCTGACCAATTGACAGAGGCCGGCACGTGCCCTGCTTTTGTGTGGCTTCAGACTGTTTCAGACCGAAGCACTACGACTAGTAGTAGTAGTAGTAGTAGTAGTAGTAGTAGTAGTAGTAGTAGTAGTAGTAGTAGTAGTAGTAGTAGTAGTAATAGCAGTAGCAGTGGCAGTAGCAGTAGTAGCAGTAGCAGTAGAAGTAGTAGTAATAGTAGTAGTTGTAGTAGTAATTGTAATAGTAGTAGTAGTAGTAGTAGTAGTAGTAGTAGTATCAGCAGTAGCAGTAGTAATAATAGTAGTAGTGGTAATAGTAGTAGTAGTAGTAGTAGTAGCAGTAGTAGTAGTAGTAGTAGTAGTAGTGGTAATGGAAGTAGTAGTAATGCTTAGTGGTTGTAGTAGTTGTCGTCGTAATAGTAGTAGTAGTAGAAGTAGTAGTAGTAGTAGTAGTAGTAGTAGTAGTTGTAGTAGTAGTAGTGATAGTAGTAGTAGTAGTAGTAGTACTAGTACTAGTACTAGTACTAGTACTAGTACTAGATAGCAGTAGTAGCAGTAGCAGTAGTAGCAGTAGTAGCAATAGTGGTGGTGGTGGTGGTGGTGGTAGTAGTAGTAGTAGTAGCCGTAGTAGTAGTAATAGTAAGAAAGACAGCACGTTAGTAGCGGCGGAAGCACAGGTCCCAGACCTACTTAGTACCACCTAAATACATACGTCCCGCCTGGAAGATGTGTGCCCCCGTTTGTGTGTGTTTTCAGCCTGTTTCAGACTGGCTGTTGAAGCCTTGCCTAGAACGCGGCCTTGTGAGACAGCTTGCGCTCGAAACCTGTTGGCCTTGGCAACTGGTGTGCTGAAGTGATGAAAGTGCTACAAGTATTACTGATTACACAGCTGAAAATTGACGCCTTGGCATGAGTCCAGTTACTGTCCTTCGTGCCTCAACGCGCGGCGCCGCCGCCGCGCGGTCGCCGCGACCGCGCGGCCGCCGCGCGCGGATGCCACGCGCGCGCGCGCGGATGCCGCGCGCGCGGTCGGGGCGTTATAGCAGTATAGTAGTAGCAGCAGCAGAAGCAGTAGTTCGCAATACTTTTTAATCATAATACTGCGTAGTAGTAGTGATAGTAGTAGTATTATTATTAGAATTAGCAGTCGTAGTAGTAGTAGTAGTAGTAGTCGTAGTAGTAGTAGTGGTAGTAGTAGCAGTAGCAGTAGTATTAGTAGTAGCAGCAGGAGTAGTACTAGTAGTGGCAGCACTTGCGCCCGCCCTTGCGCCTTCTTGCGCCTACGTTGTGTTTTCATATGTCTGGGATGAGATTTCTTAGTAGCAGCTGTAGGTGCACGATGCCCATGTCCAGCATCCACACCGCCGCCAGCGCTCCAGAGCCAGGAACCGCGCAGCGCCAAGGGCACCACACACCTGGTAGGAGCGCCTGAGTAATGGCCGAATCAGCCATACACGACCTCTGTACCCGAGGTGGCCAAGCAACCAGGAGGAAACCCCAAAAAGACACCCGTACCGGGACTTCCATATCTCTTCAACCACCTGCCCTATCCAATCCTGTGTAAGGATGGTCAGCAGCCGAGAAGATCCAGCCAAACCTGGCCGTCAAAGAGTGGGCAGGTTTGGGATGCATCGACGGGCGATCCGGACAAGTCCACGCAACATGCTCCCAAGAGCTGAGGGCACCGCACCCCCAAACGCATCGATCCGAAAAGCTGTGCCTCCCAGGAACCTGGAAGCACGCAGGGCTCAGTACAGCACCCATCAAGGCCGAACGCACCCCGCGAGTGCTTTCCGCCCAAGCACGCATGTGCCTGAAATCCACCCTATGAAGCTCGGCAAGAGAGGTTCAACTCGGCGCACTCGTGGCGCGCATACCGCGTGAAGCGCCCCCAAGTCCACCACCGCCAACCCATGCGGAGCCTGTGAGCCTGTGGGCTATATGGATGAGATTTCTTATGTCTATATTCCGCTATAGACTAAATACAAGAGACAGGGTTTTCTGACGACCCTCAAGTGCAAATAGAGCCAAGTGCAAATAGAGCCAAGTGCATAGAGCCGAGTGCACAGAGCCGAGTGCACAGAGCCAGTGCATAGAGCCGAGTGCATAGAGCCAAGTGCATAGAGCCAAGTGCATAGAGCCAAGTGCATAGAGCCAAGTGCATTGAGCCAAGTGCATAGAGCCAAGTGCATAGAGCCAAGTGCGTAGAGCCAAGCGCGTAGTGCTTCGGCGTTAGCAGCTATGTACGTTAAGTTTAGGTTTCTAGGGCGCCGGGGCAGGACTTTGATCCCTCTGCGGGGATCGGCGTGATCGAGGTGCAAAAACTCGAGGTTCTTTTTTTTCGATTTCTGATCTCCCCGCGCGACCCTCTGCGGGGATCGGCGTGGTCGAGATGCAAAAACTCGAAGATGTTTTTCCGAATTCTGATCTGCCCGCGCGATTCTGTGCGGGAATCGGTGTGGTTGTTTGCGTTTTTGCGGTGCGCGGATGAACCCTCTGCGGGGATCGGCGCGGTCGAGGTACAAGAACTCCTCGAGGATTTTTGCGTTTTTCCGGTGTCTGCGGGGATCAGCGTGGTCGAGGTGCAAAAGCTGAGGGCGTTTTGCGGCTTTTTGGAGCTGCGGGCTGGTCTTTGGAACTTGTCTTGTGGTTCTCGCGCGTGCTCTCGAATCCTGGCGGTCGTGGGTTCGATTCCCGCCTGGTTCGCGGCAGCTCCGGCTGGAAAATCGTAATTGTTCAGTACGAAAGTAGTGCGCGGAGTGCGCTCCTGCAGCTTCGGCTGGAAAATCGCAAATTTTAAGTACGAAAGTAGTACGCGGAGCACAGTCCCACAGCTCCGGCTGAAAGTTGCAAATTTGTAAGAACGAAAGCAGTACGTGGAGTACACTCCCACAGTTCCGGCTGAAGAATCACAACTCTTTGCACACGGCGCTTGCGCAGGCAACTTGCGCAGAGACACTTGCGTAGAGAAGCTGCAATTGGCGCTGAGCAACTTGCACAGGGCAACTGCTTGCGCCCGCAACTTGTGCGCAGCTTGCACACGGCACTTGCGCAGGCAACTTGTGCAGAAACACTTGCGCAGAGAACTTGCGCAGAGAGTCTTGCGTAGAGTCGCTGGCACAGAGCCAGTTGCACAGAGTAACTGGCGCAGAGCCAACTTGCACAGGGCAACTTTGAGTACTTGCGCGCAGAACCTTGCGCAGAGCTCTTGGGCTTGAAATGCTTTCGGGCCAATCGTCCTCTAGTTTCTTTGCGAGGGCCCACATGACCCCATAAGACCTCAAATAATTTCGGGGCCTGGGACCCTAGGAGAAAAAAAACGTTAATCAACAAGTTGGGCTCTTTTTGGGAAAACAACAACCGAACAATTGCTATTAGCGCCCAGTGGCCTTGCAGCATCTCGATGCCCCGGTGGTGCCTCTGGCGATCAGGGTTTCGGATCGATCAGGGCACGGGAGGTCAAGTCAACTTGCCAAAGGCAAGCATAGAACAAGTCGAAGCAACACTAACGTGTGAAATGACCAACACATGCGGAGAAACATGATTGGGTCTCCCAAGAATGCTCCGATCAAATCATGCCTTCAAAACAAAGGCAGATGTTTTGGCGCAAACACCAAACACCCACAAGGGCCAATCCAATTGGCCGCTGGGCTTTGTGGATTTCGGCCAGCTCCGCTCCGCTGCGCCTCCGGTGTACTGGAAGCAGAGGGTGGCCTCTGCATCGGGAGCTGAGGCCGGGTGGAAGGTCTCCATGCTCAGAAGGTCCCGGAAGCACACCAGCGGAACCGCCAGCGGGAGCCTTAGCGGGGCCTTTGGGTCCTGTGGGATCCGAAATGCAGAAACGGGTCTGTCGTTTTAGGCTCGGCAACGCTTTTTGGGGTGGAGGTTCAAGGGAAAACAAGAGGAAAGAAGTATTGCGGAGGGTTCGCGAGCAAAATGACACACCCAAATTGACCTGTCTATCTCCGAGCAACAAATCTTGAAAGGGGAGACCTTCTTGCTATGTTGCAGTTGTGGGTGTGGGTGGGTCGGTGGGTGGGCGGGCGGGCGGGCGGGTGGGTGGGTGGATGGGTGGATGGGTGGGTGGCAATCATAATGCAAGTTCAAGTATTGAAACTAAGGACATGCTTCCTCACCCTCGACTGTTATTCACCACACGCGTATGGTCCATCTCAACACTAGAGGATTGTGCAACAAAAACTATGCCATGCTCTATCTGGGTCTGTATTTTGTAGGGCACCCACCAGAATGGGTGCGCTTTCCTTGGGTTTCCCTTCAACACCCACCAAAACCAGGGAGACCCCTCTGAAAAACGACGAGCCGCTAGCCAAGCAAGGGGCCACCTCAACACCCCGCGCCCCCTGGCTTCCGCTTGGTCTTCTGGAAAAAAATACTTCATGCTTCGGCTGGCTTTTCTTGCCCTGGTCCCAACATCTTCTCAAAATCAGAGGTCCTGATCTTCGCTCGTTTTCCTGCAATCCCCAGGCACCCACCCACCAGTAAAAGAACCTCCCCCCCCATCATGTCCGTCTTTTCTACCCAAACCTCGGGGGCGCCCGAAGCCAAGCGAGGCCGAGCCGCGGGTCCGTCACGTCGTGGACCACCAGGAGCCGCGGCTGCAGCTCCAAGAGGATCTGCTCGTTGCGCTGCCTCTCGTGCGCCTCCACGAGTGACGTGCCGCGCGAGGCGTCAGCGGTCTGCTCTATTTAAAGCCCAAGGAACGAACGAGCAAAAGGTTCATCATCCGGTGAGAAGCCGAATGTGCCTTTTCCAAGAGGAAGGGGTAATTTGATCGCACCCAAGCCGTGAAGAAGTGGCGAAGTACCAGTAAGCTGCAGGACAAAATGGTATTTCATGTTCCTACAAGTGGTTGACCAGCAAATCGCCAGAAAACCCCCCAACAAAACAGGGCTGCTCCCTAAAGGGTTGCCATGAACCATGTCGGCTAAAACAAGGGAATCTAACTCAACTCCTCCCAGATTGGTTCATCAGCTTCTCGGAGAAAGCCTTAGAGAACAACCCGGCTAAAAAGTGTTCCTCAAAAGGAGATGGATCGAGGCAGGGTATGTCAGGCTCCCTTTTTCACGACAGTGAAAGCGGACCCCCACCTAGTCCACTTTTCCATTCCACTGTTCCCTTGCTGGAGGGGTAAGTGGTCAACGTGCAAACAGGCAGCACATCCACCAAAGCCATGGTTGTAAGTTGCCTGAGGCTATGTTTCCCAGCAAGCAAAGGCGCACCATGAGACATGAAAGTCATGGTGGGTGTGTTGTCTTTGAGTCGGCGGCACTTGTGAGGGGGGATACCTTTGACAAGAAAGTAAGAACACGCAACTCATTTTGAGGTGTATCTTTGGATACAGACCCCGCTTTGCTTGAGAATCTGGAGATGTGATCCATCATAGCATGCCGACCCGCGCCCGAATGAATCAACCTGATGGACCATTTGGGGCGGGGTTCCACTAAAAGTGATCCGCAACCCCTCTTACACTGTACACCCCCCCAATCAAATCAACGATGGTGTACTTCGTTCCCATTGCCCCAAACCCTACAAAGTCCCGCCCATAGTGGTATACAACTCACGAAAATTCCAATTGGGGGGCGGAGAGGGTTCTCATATAATTTCGCTTTCGTTTGGTTGGTAGCTAAAGGGAAACAAACACCAACTGTTTTCGGGGACCACGATTTGGAGAAACACCGTTTTGGGTCAGTCCCATTGCTACATTCATCACTTTGCAGGAGATTCCACCACACCTGACGCGGTTTTGCCCGCGCGCCTTGTCCTGGAGGTCATCGCTGAGAGCCACCAAGGGGCAGTAGCAGTAGCTCGAGGCCAGGAAGAGCGCATAGAAGTCCTGGGAAAACGAAGCACAAACACCAGCGAGTTTCCCATCCAAAAGCCATTCTTCTGAGCTACCCTCAGATCCCCCACTAAAAGTTGAACTTTTAATGGACACTGCCGCTAAACTAGATGGAAACCCACCACTAAACACTAAAAGGCTAAAAAGCTAAGGGGATGGCTGGGAGCCACCAAGTCTCCAGGAACCCCCCAACACGCCAAGCCCCATGTAACCCGCAAAAAGCTGGTACCCGTGTCTTCCCCCAACCCCAAGCGCCAAACCCAAGCCCCAGGCCCCAAGCCGAGCCGCGTTGCCCCGCCGCAGCGCGCTGCCCAGCACCCCCGGCGCCGCCGGCGCCGAGGCGCGGAGCTCCGGGCGGCGCTGCAGCGCCGCGGCGACGCCCAGGGCCGCCCGCTGCAGCGCCTCGTAGCTCAGCTCCGCCTCGGCGCGAAGCGCGCGCGCGGGGCGGGAGGCGCGAGTAAGGCGTTTGGAGGTCGCCGGAGGGACGTGGGCCGGGGGGGGGGGGTGAGAAGTCAAGTCCGAAAAAAAGGGGAACACCCCCCCCCCCCACACACAAAAAAATAATACCAAATGAATGAGGGGGGTCACACAAAAGGAAATCTCAGTTTGCTTTTGGAGGAGTAGGAGTTTTGTTCGAACCCTCCACGAAAAATCAGGTAACCCCCAGCTGGCGAACCCCTGAACCTTGAAGAAATGGGTAACCACACCACCTCCAAACCACCGATTCGGCTCCAAGCCACCAACTAGAAGGAAGCCGCAAAAAATGAATGAAGAAGAAGCATACGCACAAACATGGATCCTTAGTGGTGGAGATGTGAGTTTGAACGTCGGAAACTACTTCTGTTTCGCTGGGCATGTTCTGTGATTCAGCGTCTCTTCCGTCAAACAAAAGAAGAGAAGTGTGAAACAAGTGTGACACAAAAGATCTGCGTCCGTGAAACAAATGTTGGGGCCTTGGCATCTTGGCCATCCCTGAGGCGGCCGCCGGAAGCTCCGCCGGGCCCGGGATGCCGTCCACCGCCGCCAGGTTCGGGCCCCGCAGCCTGGCGCGGAAAAAGGAAAACGAAATCCGCGGGCCTTCCGCGTCGCTTTCATATTTCCAAGAAGTGATTGAGGAAAGAGGTAGGGAACTGTCATAGTTCCGCTTCTCTTTCATACTTCCGAGATGGTGAAGTGTGGAAAGAGATGTAGAACCTAAGAGACGATGTTTTTTTCCCGATTTCTTCTTGGCATATCTCTAGATCCAGCATGTAGACATGGATGGACCCACCTACACCTTGCCAAAAAGTCCAGAATGCACCGCGCTTGGCTCCGAAGAAAGAAGATCCTCGTTTTTCTTTTGGTAGGATTTTTGAAGCGCCCCAAATTTGTCATATCGCCCGGCAAGGTCGAACAAACTCCATATATCGCCTTCATGCGAGAAAACCCCGATTTCGGGGTGTTATATCAGCTTCGGTGGACTTGAAGAGTTCCGGTACCTGGGGGGGTCGTGTGTACTGTCTGAGTTACCCCATAATGTCGCCTGTGGTGAGGTTTAAAAAAAAATGCTTTATGGTTTCTTTCTTTTTTCGGTGTTGTCAGTTTCCCTCCAATTCTTCAATTGGTGGTTTGGAGCCGAATCGGTGGTTTGGGGCCACCCTCCAAGGGTTGTCGGTTGGTCAAGGGCACTTCAGGTAATGGACCCTTAGAGGGTGCTGGGGTGCTACAAAAACCCGATTTGGGTGCTATCAGCTCACCAATTGGTGGTTTGCAGCCGAATCGGTGGTTTGGTGGTGAAGGCAGGGTAACCCCCATTAGCCTGTACAAGAACCAAAATCCCAAGCTTGCAAGCATCTGCGAAAACCGCGCGCAGCCTTTTCTTTTCTTTTTTCGGAGTCCGAGTGTCCGGGCATGCCATATGGCTGTGGGTCAAAGATAGGTACCCCAAATGGTTTGCAGGAAGTGGAAACATGGACCACAACCTGAGGTCCCCTGATGGATTGATTTTGACCCATACCAATTTGCGACTCACTCACATGGGACTCTGCTTTGGGCCAGTCTGCTCCCTCGCATCGGGGTGCTCCAAGCCAGCGGCCCCCCGAACGAGAGGGGTCGATCAGCTTCTGCCGTTGACTGGAAAAGCCACGTGGGGGGGGGGGGGGCAATTTTTGGGGGGGTCATTTTTTTGGTCTTTTTTTGAGCTGGTACCATTTTTGGTGGATTGAAGGGACACACCAGGGAAACCACCATTTGGGGGGTTTGATTCCTAAAGCACGACAGACCCATGTGTTTCCAAAAGATACAACCATCCAAGCCTCGGTTTGCCTGGGGGGATTCGCTTCACAGAGTGGGGCAAAGAACAGGAGTCGTTGTGAGCTGGAACGTGCAGGAAGGTGTTGCCATTCGTCTGGAACTGCCGTTTGCCAATGCTGCTGCCTTCACTCGAGTAAGCCATTGCCTGCATAATTGTTGTGGGGCAAATTTGTTTCTTCCAGCTACAATTGGTCCAAAGAGCGATGTTTAAAGTGGCTCAAAGGGGAGAAGCTCGAATGGAATGCCTTGAGCCCACGAACGGGCCCAAACAAAGGTTCCAAGGCAGCATGCTGTCTTGATGCTTCAAGGAATGGCCGCATATCTTTCTGGGGTGCCCGGTTTGGGGGTTGTTTTCAATCCAAATCCAATGATGTTAGAGGTCCCACGACTGCGAGAAGAAATTGGATGAGCTCACTCTGCTTATCACTTCCCTGACAGAATAGATGGCTTGAATCGAACTCAGCCAATTGAGAGCCTCTCGTTTCCGGAGAAGAAAGCCTCAAGCAGAACCATGTCAAGTGCCGGCATGTGTCGTTGTGTCGGCGCGCGAGACTCACCTTGCCGAAGGAAGAGCATCCCCGATACTGGGAGTGCTATTTCCGGATGCGACTCTTTGAAAGCAGCAAACCCAAGGAAAGTCCCAGGCTTGCCATATACAAGATGGAACGTTTCACAAACCACCGCTTGGAGGAAAGCAGCCAGCCGCTTGGCTTGGCTTGAGGTGAGACTGGTGTGCAGTCCCAAAACCGGCGATCTGCTGCAGCGTCTGCAACCCAAAACTATTGCTCCAAGGTTGAGCGGTCTGGAACGAATCTCACTTCGCTGAGTGAATTGGCCAAACAAAAGTCCAAGGCTTTTGTTTACCGCCAAAATAGTGCTCCCAAACATATACAGTCAAGTCCACGCATTGTGAGCATCTTGAGCACTTCGAGCTCATGTATTGGACCCTGAATATGGAGCAGGTCCATTGATCTTCAGAATTTGCGCGCGCGATGTCGATTTACGACCGCCTCGCGGAAAAGAAACAAAAAGAGTCAGCGCTCGGCGCTCAGTTCTCGTCGGCGCGCGCCGCGTTCCCGTTTTTTTGTGGCGCGACAAAGTTCCGCATCTCAAGCTCCATGTAGAGTTGCTCCTCCTGGCCAGGGCAAGGGCGTGCATCCAAAAGCCCCTTGCCCGACCCAAGCATGATGAGTTGAGTTCGGCCCACTTATAGAATGTATATTATATTGTTTGCTTCAATCTGAGACACTGGTAAAATGTAAAATGTATCCTAAGTCTACCCCAGCAAGGATGATACACCTTAGGGTGTCCCTTGGTTGGTGGCATCGCTCGAAGCCCGGAAAAATTGGCAGAAACTCCATGAAAGCCTTTGCCGCTCCGAAAAATTAATTCGCCGGGCTTCCGTGTGCGGCTTCTGTTCCCGTCAATCAGTTTCCCACTTCAAATGATCCAAGAAGGACAAAAACGCCGTATGGTGGAAACTTGGGGTCGAGTGTTGGCAAGCTCCTGCATTTCGGGCATTGGTGGCGTAGGGTTCTCTGTGTCCATGGCACGGGACCCCCCACAAAAAAAAAATGGCCGTTTCCTTTGTGTCCTGGAAAAGCAACCAAAAAAGCGACCGCCCTGGAAAAGAATCCCTCACCAGGTTTTGATTGTGCCTCAAAGGAAGGGGGGGGGGTTCGGCTTCCGTAATAAAACACACATGCTTACCGATAGTCGAAAGATCAAACTTGATAGGGAGCGACTGAAGTCAACTCCACCCACAGAGTGGGTGTTTGCTGCGTGATACATAATGCACTGTGAAAGAACTGCTGACACTTGTTGAATGGCAAAGCAAGAGGCAGGCAAAAGCTTCTCAATTGAGAGAAGGTATGCAATAACCATTGAGCTGTGTGCAACCCTGAGTTGGGATCTTCAGAATGTGGTAAAGGCGGGTTCACCAGGTGATGGCAGAGTGACGATTCGCTCAGCGGCGAGCGGGTTCCTAGCCCACTTCCGAGCGAGTGGGTTTCTTGCAAACGCCGTCCAAACTGTTCACCACCAAAATGGCGTTCCCAACTAAAGTCCTCTACTCCCGGAGCCAAGTTGTCTAGACGTTCCCATCCCTGTTTGTTTCGCAGTGGGACATCCACAACGGAGCAAGTTGCCGACCAAAAAACTCGCTCCGCGTGCCCTGCCTGAGTCTCCCAGATGTTGAGCACTCCCATGTCCCCGACCAGCACGGAGCTCTCGCCCACGCCCAGCTTTACCTGTGGACGTGTGTGTGTGTGTGTCTTTGCTGCTTTGTTCCAAGTGGTTGCCCTTTAAATTCACCAAAAAGGGGTATCCTCAAAAAAGGACAGACCTATATAAAACTAGAGGACGATTGGCCCGAAAACATTTTTCCCCAAGCGCTCTTCCAGCCGCGGAGGCGCCTTTTTACATCGATGCGGCGAGCGTGTCTGCACGTGTATGGTCACATCTCATCGTCCTACGAGAGGAAACATGGCAGTGTCTGCGCAAGCTGCATTGTTCCAGGCTGCTGCGCACAAGTTGCTCTCTGCAAGCTGCTGCACGCAAGTGGCGACATCTGTCTACAAGCTGTTCTGCGCACGTTGCTCTGTGCAAATTTCTCCGCAAGACGCTCGGCGCCTGTATCTGTGCGCAAGATCATGATGCTCCGCGATTTCCCGGTCGGAGCCGCCAGGAGTACACTCCACATACTACGGCTTCTCTGCTTGAGCTGGAGCTGCCGCGGACCAGGGGGGAATCGAGCCCGCGACCGCGCGAGTGCGAAAGCAGGCGCGCAAACCACGTACGACACAAACTTCCAAAAGCCAATTCGCGAGTAATAAAATCGCACGGCGCCACAGCGAGAGCGCTTCGACACGCACGCTCTCCGCAGAGGGTTCGCCGAGACTAAAACGAATTTGCGGCACAGCGAGAGCGTGTCGACACGCACGATCCCCGCAGAGGGTTCATCCGCGCGCCGCAAAAACGCAACAAACCACGAGTTTTTGCACCTCGACCACGCCGATCCCCGTAGAGGGTCGCGCGGGCAGATCAGAAATCGAAAAAAACCTCGAGTTTTTGCACCTCGACCACGCCGATCGCCGCAGAGGGTTGCGCGGGCACCGCAAGAATCGCAAAAACAACTCAAGCTTTTGCACCTCGACCACGCCGATCCGTGCAGAGGGTCGCGACGATCAAAGTTTTGCCCCGGCGCCCTTTTGAAAACCCAAACTTAACTTACATAGCAGCTAACGCCGAAGCGCTATGCACTTGGCTCTATGCACTTGGCTCTATGCGCTTGGTTCTATGCACTTGCACTCGGCTCTATGCACTCGGATCTGTGCACTTGGCTCTGCGCACTCGGCTCGAAAATTGCAACTTTGTAGCACAAGTCTAGTACGCAAAGTACAGGCTTCCAGCTCTGCTGGAAAATCGCAACTTTGTAGTGCAAGTCTAGTACGCGAAGTTCGCGTTTCCAGCTCCAGACTTTGCAGTACAAGTCTAGTGTGCGAAGTGCAGGTGTCCAGTTTGAGCCTGTGCAGGTTTTAAGCACCCAAGGCTCCAAAAGAAAGCTCCAAAACCTGCACAGGCTGGCGCACAGGCTCAAAAAAATGGAAAATGAAAAAATCCAGACCAATCAAGCCCTGACCTCTGACATTACATCTGGGTTTTGCATTTTTGCATTGTTGCATGTTTTTGCCTTTTTGGGAGCCTGTGCACGTTTTGAGGCTGAAACCAAAAAAGTGCTTGTTTCCTGAAACAACACTGCAAATAACAGTGTTTTCAACACTGACAAAGTTGCATCTGAAAACGCTTTCCGTTTTCGTGTTTATTGCTTTCTTGAGTCTTGTTTTGCATCAAGTACAGAAAGAACATCTGGCACAATATCAAAAATCACACAAAACACCGCAAAATACAGCGCTTTCTGCAAGGCATCTGCAAACCAAGTGGACTCTGAACATGCGCAAACCCGCCGACCCTTTCTCCGAAGGGGAGGCGCATGGGAAGGGTTTGTCTTTGCCCTTGTCTTTGTGATGATTATCATCACCACTGATGTTCACAGCATCCGGATCATCATCATTACCGTGGCGCTCTTCTTTTTTTATATACGTTTCAAGTGTGCCGTTAGACCCGACTGGAAATGCAGAGGATGCGTTGTCATGGTTGTCATGATAACTGCTGCTGCTGCTGGATGCCTAGTGATGACGTTAACTGCTGGTGATGCTGAGGATGCGTAGTGATGATTCTCATCAGGATGATGATGATGATGAACATGATGAGGAACATGATGATGCATAGTGATGACGTTAACTGCTGGTGATGCTGAGGATGTGTAGTGATGATTATCACCAGGATGATGCTGATGATGATGATGATGAACATGACGAGGAACATGATGATGAAAATAATGATGAACATGATGATGAAAATGATGATGTTCATCATCATCATCATCATCATCATCATGTTCGTGATCATCGCCATCATAGTCATCACCATTTTCATCATCATTTTCATGTTCATCATCATCATGATTTTCATCCTCCTGTTCATCATCATCATGTTCATCATCATCACTGCGGTGATGACTGTTAACCGCTGGTGATGCTAAGGATGCGTAGTGATGATTATCATCAGGATGATGATGAACATGATAAGGAACATGATGATGGAAATGATGATGATGATGAAAATGTGATGGTGGTGTTCATCAGAGTTCATCATCATCATCATCATGTTCGTCACCATCGCCATCATCATCATCATCAGCATCATCATGTTCATCATTATGTTCATTTGCATCATCATCATCATCATCATCATGATTTTCATCATCATGTTCATCATCATCATTTTCATCATCATGTTCACCATCATCATTTTCATCATCATGTTCCTCATCATGTTCATCATCAAAACCGTGGCGCTCTTCTTTTCCACACACATTTCCAGCGTGCCGTTAGACCTGACTTGAGATGCAGGGGGATGCGTAGTCATGATTGTCATAATAACTGCTGGTGATGCCGGGGGTGCATAGTTCATCATCATCATCATGATCATCATCATCACCATCACCATCTGATTGCATCCCGAGGTGTTCCTAACGGCTTACTTCTCGCGAAGACGAAGCGATGGCACAAAGTCCACACTTCGCATCCACAGCAATACATCGAAGTCTTGAGAAGACAAGAAAACGCCCCCAATATGGCTTTCCTGCCCGACTTTCCACACACCCGGGCACTTCTTGGAAAATTCAACAAGGTGTTTATTATCATGCGAATTTTTCCCGCTTATTATCATGCGAATTTTCCCCGCAGGGTCCCGCAGTGGCTTGTTTGAGATGTAGGGAATGCGTCGTCATGGTTATCAGAACAACTGCTGGTGATGCTAAAAATGCAAAGTAACAATTATCATCACAACTGCTGGCGATAATGCGAATGCATAGTAATACTTATCAGCATCCATAATGTTGGGTAAGAATTGCATCATCAAAAGCATCATCATTATCGTGCTGCTCTTCATTTGTTTATATATGCTTTAAGTGTGCTGTTAAACCCGACAAAAAATGCGTAGTCACAATTGTCATAACAACGTCCCCTGTCAGCAAGCAGGGGCCGGCGGCACAGGGCGGCAGCCCTTAAATCCGGCCACCGGACGTGATCGGGCCGCAGGCCAAAGCCCGGTAGGGCTTACCTTCAGGTATAAGGCCGCGCGCCCCATGCCGCCGACCATGAGCGGACCATGATCAGAACATGCGCATACGTTTTATGCTGGGCCCTCCCTTATAAGGGGCGAAGGATTTGCGGATTGGTTTAAGCAATTTCCGAGGATTTTTGTAGCATCTCCCCGCAGCGTCCAAAAACGAGTATTTTTAGGGTATACAGGACTACACCCCCAGCATTGCCAGCATCATCCCGGATGATGCGGATGATGCTATGCATGCTGGCGATGCGGGGGATGCTGGGGATGTTGTCCCCTAAGTCGGGCCAATTTTGCCGAAAACGTGCAGCCTGAAAATCTTAAAATCTCAAGTGGATGGAAAATGGCCTGGATTGAAATCTCAAAATCCTAAAGTCTTAGATTCTTAAAATCTTAAATTAAAATCTAACAATCAATCTTAGAATCTCAAGATCTTGAAATCTTAGAACTTAGAATCTTAAAATCTGAAAATATAAAAGCTTCCTAAAGTCTTCGAATCTTGAAACCTTACAAACCTTATGTCTTAGAATCTTGAGATCTTAAACTCTTAACATATGAAATTCCTAAAGTCTTACAATCTTAAAATCTCAGAATCTTAAAAAGCTTTAAAAACTTAAATTCTTTAAGCCTCGAACAATTGAAATGTGAAAATCTCAAATTATTAAAACGTTACATTGCTTCAATCCGGGCTAGATTGTAACTTCCTTAAACTCTTAATCTTGAATTTTTGAAACCTTGAAACCTTAAGATCTTAAAATTACAACCTTAGAAGATAGAATCTTGCAACCTGAAAATACAAACATCCTCAAGTCTTCGAATCTTGACTTCTTAAAACCCTCATGTCGTTGAATCTTCAGATGTTAAAATGTTAAAATATGAAATTCCTAACTTCTTAAAGTCTTAAAATCTCAGACTCTGAACCTTAGACTCTTTAAATCTCGAACTATTGCAATCTGAAAATCTTAAATTCATAAACAAGCAAAATATAATAAAATTCCTTCAATCCGGGCTATATTCTAAATTCCTTAAACTCTTAATCTTGAAATATTGAAGTCTTGACATCTTAAGATCTTACAATCTTAAATTCCGACAGTCGCAAAATCTGAAAATCTCACAAGAAAAAACTTAAAGCCTTCGAAATCTGATACTGGATGGAAAATGGCTGGGCAATGGCCTGGCTGTTATAACCTTCAAAAACCTTAAATCTTTGAATCTTAAAACCTTAATTCTTAAACCATTGAAACCTTAAATTCCACAAGTCTTCACTCTGAGACCCTTAGAATCTCAAAGTCTTTAGAATTTTTAAGTCTTAACATCTACTCATCGGACTTACCGGAAAGGGAAGTCACAGAACGGGCAGGGCAAGGTGCCCGGTGGCCGGCTGTGTCGCGTCAGCGTGTAAATCGGGCTACGCCTCGTGCCGCCGCCCCTCGCCACTTGATCGTGATGCGCTGCCTAAATCCGGCACCTCTGCATCACCAGCTCGGGCTTGCGGTTTTGCTTGCCTGTGGGAAACCCTCGCAAAAAAACATCGCGTATATGCAGGGTTTAGGCCATGTGGCTGACATCATCAGGGTCTGGGGTTGGGCCTGGGTGATGCTGCAGCGGGGCTTGGTCTGCGTCATCAAGACTTCCTTCCAAAAAGCCTCTCAACCCATGAAGCACTGTTTTTTAGAAGGTATCGGAGGGATATAAGCGAGGCTCATTTTTGCGCATTTTGGCGCCAAGCGCTGCCGGGCATGCCGGCGATGCTGGGTCCTCGCTCTACAAAACGCTGTAAATACCGCCAAAAACTGCTGTGCTGAGCGTTGGGCTGTTGTTCTGTCCGTTTTGCTTTTGCTATGGCTGGCTCGCGTGCTGCGCGGTCCTTGTTTTTTTTCGCGTTGGTTTTCGGGTCTTCTGGCGCGCGCGCGCGCGAGACCCCAGCCACAAAACGCTGCTATTTACGGTGGTTTGTTGCATTTGCGTTTCCGGGTTGGCTTGCGGGCTGTTCTTTTTGGGCTGCTGTTTCCGGGGCCTCTGGCGCGCGCGCGCGCGACCCCATGTCAGCCTTCTGGGTTGGGGCCCGGCTGGGGCCTAGAAAGCTGGCATCCCCGGCATGGTTGGGGTGGGCAACATGCATAACCTACCGGCATATCATAGCACAGGATACGTTTCTCATACAAAAAACATGACATGACATGGTATAACTTCAAAGAGGCGTAGCCGGCTAGAGGCCGCTCATTCTCACCATTGGCCGTTGACGAACGGGAATTCCCTCGAGCTCTCTGTTGCCTAATTTGGGAACCTTGGTCAGGGATGAGGATGTGTATCTGGCTTCAGGAGATGTGGGAGATATGCCGACCCAATATGGCTGTGGGTCAAAAATACGTGCCCAAAATGGCTGGAACCCTGGTAAATGGAAACCTGGACTGGATTAAGTTTGACCCATACCCATGTGGGAACATGCCGACCACAGGTCCCCTGGTGGATGAATTTTGCCCCATACCCAACAATGCAACATGCATCCGAGGTGCCCCCAAACACCTCTCTTCACAGTCCTCCCCGTAGTACCAGGAGTTCCTCAAGCCGCAAGGAGAAAAAGCGAGCCCCGGACGCCTTGAAAGGGAACCCAGCAAATGAGACCGGGCCGAGCCCGGGTGTTGAGAATGAACCGTGGGATGCCCTTAAAGGAACGCAGAGAATAGGGGTAATTCCTTTTGACCTCGAGCCTGAGGTCTTTTTTGGCAGCGCCAAAAGGGGTTGCTTTAAACTGAAGCCTGAGAACCAGTCATTCCCTACGCACCAGCAAGACAATGAGTTCAGTTTTGTCCCCAGGCTTCACTTCAAACCAACCCAAAGCAAATCTGCCCAGATCTGAGGTCGTCAGCATTCTCCCACGCCTTTTCGAGGAACCAGTGGGGCTTCATCCAAAGGTCCTTTACATGGGATGAGCATTGGGGGAAATCGCAAAAAAAGATGTGGGAAAAGTGTCCCATGGTCCAAACTGGGAGCCGCAGCGAATATAGATCAACCCCGCGAACCCAACAAAACCCCAAACTCGCCAGGTCTTGGGCTTCTTGTCATAGGTTCGGTCATCCCGTGTCCTGCAGGGGGTGCACGTAATTCTCACCGTGGCTATGGGTGAACTGTCCCGTGCGTGACTTGCCTTCGAACAGTTTTTGCCCCAAAATGCGGCGCTTTGGCCCCCACACACTCCTCCAGCCTTATTCTTGTCTGAAGGTTGGCTGAGTGGGGAATTTGAGTTAACTTGGGCGGGCGTCAAATTGATCTCTCGGAGACTCGGAGTCAACAAAGCCTTCCGCACTCTACATGTCTATAACCGGGCCAGCCCCAAACCATGGGCATCACAATGGAATCCCCAAAGGGCGGGCAGCCAAATGCTTGCAGCCTTGAGCGAACCAAGTCAAGCGCATGCCACTTGTGCAGTCAAGCTATGATTCAGGAGGCAATCGACTGGAAACAGGCTATGGCTTAGCCATGATTTTTTCCTTCAACTAGAAAGTCAGCAGTGTGGCTATGAATCTTAAAAGTTGGAACATCCTCAAAAGGGTTGGTGGACATAAATCCCCCTAATGTTTAATTGATGTCCACCGAGGGGTCCACACTTCAAATTCACACCTGTGTGTTTGCGTTTGTAAAGATGTTGCAGGGTTCTTGCACTGCCGCGCATGGTTCGAACTCTTGTGATGGCCGACCTCTCAGTCGCGGCGGCTTTTTCGCCAACCAAGCTGTCCGCATAAAAATGGTCTGATGCTGACCCCATATTAATCAACCCCAGTTTACTCATTGGCGGGGCGCTTCGCCCTGTGTTTAGTGGGTGGAATCAGACCACTTCAGGAGGGGCCAAAAACCACCCCCCCTGTTAAAAAAAGAAAAAGAAAAAACTGGTTGGTTGAGATTAGTATGGGGTCAACATTGAACGTGGCCTCAGTTGCCCAAAGGGCCTACAAATTAGAAGGTGAACACCTTTTGAGGTAACGAAATATGGGAACCCAAATGGGAAAACCAATAGCTCAGATCCGGTCGATTCGCTGAGCTGCCGGGACCACTAGCCCCCAGCTCCACTAGATCCTCCAGAGAGAGCTTAGAAGAAGGGCACCCTTTTTCTCTGTAGTCTATTTTAGCAGGGGAACCCTCCCCCAAAAAAGGGTCAAAGGGCACTACTGGGTCCTCCAGCAGAGAGCTTAGAATAAGGGTACCAACTTGTTTTCTCTGTAGTCTAATTTAGCAGGGGAACCCTCCCCCAAAAAAGAAACGGTAGAAAGGGCACCTAGCTGAAAAACCTCGACTAGCCCCCAGTTCCAGACCGAGGAGCAGGTGTTCCTGCAGCCAATCCTCCACAGTAACTCGGTGCCTGAGTCGACGTCAACGCGCCCAGGGGCCCACCGAGAAAGGCAAGGCGCTTTGACATCCGGAGAAATATGGCCGTGGCTCAAAAAACCGCTTTGACACATGCCGTCCGAAACATGGAAACATGTGGCTCAGAAACATGGAGACTAAAATTTGAAGCACCCGGGTACATGGAACCACCTTGGTAAATGGAACCAAAGACCAAGACCTGCGGTTGGCCCTGGGTCTCAAAAAAAAATGAGCCACGCCCAACATCAATACCTAGAGCTGCAAAAGATAAAATTCTCCGAACCGTCAGGCGTCCAGGATGGCTTCCAGGATGGCTCACTGGAGTGGCTCACTTGAGCGAAAAACGGTGGGGCCCCAAACTGCTGAGTTCGGGTTCTTACTTCCCAAAGCTTCTAGGGGTACCTTCCAATTCCATTCTTTCCAGGCATCCGGATCCCAAAACCCCGAAGTTTGGGGAAACAGATCCGGTCTTTGAATTAGAGACGATGGCTGAAAAGAATGGAGAGGGAACCAAGCCCTAAGCCAGCGTGAAGCCTCTCAGCCTCTCGGAAGGAACCCTCGCGAGTCCGGCGAGGGAAGCCCCGCCTCCGCCTTAGCAGATCATAAAACTTGGGCCCCTTGGAGCTGTCCTTGTCCTCCTGACGATTTGGCTTTTCGTCGCGCGCGGCTTGGGCTGGGGGAGTAGGGGTGGCCAAGACTTGGCCAAGAGCCAAGAAGGCCAGAGCCTGGCCTCTCGGATGGGCTGGCCTTTCTTTCGCTAGGCTGGGACTTAGAAGCCGGAGGCTTGTCACCAGTGCCAGCCACTTATTGCGCCCTGCCCCTTGAAGAACATGTGCCTGGCGTTTTTGGTTTGTCCATTCGGTCATCTTTGCGAGGTGCCTCACAGTCTCTCGCTCTCTCACTCTCTCGCCTCCGGCCAGGAAATCCAGATGTGCAAAAATCGTCATGCGGCTGCCGAGCTGCCGGGCGACTCGAGTGGGGCGGAAGGTTTTTTGTTTCCTAGGTCCGGTTCGGCGCCAAACGTAGGAAGAAACAAAAACGCGGTCCATTGAGTGGAGTGTGACATAAAAGGGTTCCGAACAAGAATCAGGCGCGGAAAAAAAACACTCCCGCGATCGAAAACACACCCAAAAAAAATATTGACTCCGCTCCTTGGACCGACTCTTGAAGGTCATCCCAAGACCACAAAGGTCATAGCCACTGGTCCCAGTGTGAAGGTCCACAATCAGCCGCATGCTGTCAACCTCAGAAGGCCCAATAAATTCTGTCTGACAGAGGTTGCACCAGGAAGCAAAGTGACAAATGCCCCATCAACCAGGCAATCTAAAGACAACAGATATATTTTTTTTAAAAAAAAAATGAAGAAGAAAAAAAAGAAAAAAGAAAACCGAGCCATGACCATTCACAACATGACAACTTGCCCCGTTTTCCGCTTCATGCAAACAGCCCCTAAGAGTGGCCGGGAAACCGCTCCTGAAGGCTTCGTTCGGCTTTGAGAAGGCACCAGCCAGCCCTTGTCCCCCAAAACGAGGGGCACGAAGGACTCGTCAAGGCTGGGTTGCTTTCTGCTCCCCTGCTAAAAGTTTAACTGTTGGTTTAATGGAAAACCCATGAGTTGGCAACAAAGAAGGAACATGGCCCTGCTCGGGTGCTTGTGTTCTATTGGTTGCGGCTGGTTTTGTGTTGGTTTCTCTTGGGGCTCAACATCCCCAGCACTCCCCGGCACTACCGGGAAGTTGGGAAGCCTTTGGGTTGAGTATTCTCGGGGTTGGGCGCGTCCCCGGCACCAGCACTTAGACCTAGGGCTGCGCCTATCAAATCAGATTCAGTTGAGAATTGCTCAGGTCAGTTTGGGGTCCACCCTCTTAATGCGCAAACATCACGGATGGAGGAACTTCATGGGGTGCTGGCTCGTACTGGTGTCAAAATACGAGGGGGTTGCCCTGAGTTGTAGTTTTCCTTCTGGTTTCCTGTTAAACCAACCTACAAAAAGGGTACCCTCGTCTAAAAAAAAGAAGCAACACGTGGGTGCTGATGTGGTCCACCCAAGCAAACCAGATAAAGAAGAAAAAGGCTGGATATGCGCATCTGAATTGGTTGGACCTGTCCCCCACAACCTTCATCTGCCAGGCTCCTGAAAGTTCCCCCCCCCCCCCCCAAAGTTTCCCGCGCGTGTTCCTTGTGGTCACCCTCCAAAGAACACAAACCCACAAACCAACCTTTGCCGAGGCACTACCTCTATGTGCTGCAAGAATGTCCCCATCTGCGTTCGGTGCATGTCCGCCGCAGCTGCAGGCATCCTAGAAAGTAGAAGAGATGTCCACGTCCGGTGAGGAGTTGATATTTGGAGTGGGGTGTGAATCGCGCGCATGCATGTGTGTATGTTGCCCTAGGATACCTATGCATCCACGTATGTACATGTACCTATGTGCCTGTGTGTCCATGCATCTATCTATTCATCTATGTATCTGTGCATCTATGTATCTGTGTCTCTGTCGTTGTATCTGTCACGTATGTATTGCGTGTTCATGTGTATGTGTATATAATAATATATATATATATATATGCTACCTCCCCCCCCCAGGGACCTACCTTTTGGCTGCCTCTCCAGTGCATGAATTGCCCATCTAGGACTGGGAGGAACGATCTCTCAACTAGGACCAGGACCAAATGAGACTAGAACCCAGGATCTCTGAACTGGGACTAGGACCAAACTAGGACTAGACGACCCACCTCAGATTCTTACAAAAAATGAACTTCAAGTATAACTTCCTCTGCAATGTCCTGTATATTTTCTAATTGTTGCAGTAAGCTAGGGAGCAACCTAACACTAGAACCAAGGATCTCTCATCTAGGACCAAACTAGGACTAGACCATTTAATTCTACTTCTTATAGTATTTGGATGTCAAGTATTACATTCTGGTGGAAAAAAAGTCCTGTTCAATATTTGGTCCTAACATGTAAATTCTGATTGGATATTCTCCTTATTTGAAATTGAATTGTTCAGCTAGAAGTTGCATAGAACTTGACTAATATATTAACTACACTTCATAACGAACTTCCTTTGTAATGTACGTTCTATGTATTTCAGTAAGCTGGGACCATACTTGGCCTATAACCAAGGATCTCCCAACTAGGACTAGGACCAAACTAGGACTAGCTAGTTCTGAAAGTGATTGAATTTCAATGTACAATGGTCTATTGGACAGAAAATAGTTTGTACCCTTTAATTTGACATAAACAGTCAATATTTAAGTTCGAATCTAAATCGCAATTTTGGCTGGAGTATGTCCTTCTTAAGCTCCATTGAATTTCAATCAGAAATAAGGTTGAATTTGATAAAACATACTAAGTGGAATGCATAAGGAAAGAATCCAAAGGTCCCAAACTTGTGTCTTTCACTAGTCCTAACACTACCTTGGTCAGAAAACACCGTAAAACACAGTGTTGTGTAGCGTTTTTCATACTCAATTCACATCTCCGCCAACGAACGCTCTCTAAATGCTCATTTGAACTTGAACAGGATGTAATTGGGACTCAATACGGAAATATTTGGTCAGAATCCTAATGGTAATCAAATTTGAGATTGCGAGTTTAAATAGAGTTCCTTTCCCAACATATATATACATAAATACTTGCAATTCAATATGAGCTTTAACAGGATTTGGTAAGGAAAGAACCCATATTCTCAAGACAAGTCTTCTTTGCAAACGCGAGTCCAGACCCGAGTGAAACCTATTGAGACCGACTGAAATTTCAGTTGAGCCTGGGTTCAAGATTCCCTAGAAAACTTTGACCTGCAATCTTGAATGTGGGCCTAGATTGAAACAGATTGAATGAATAATCAGGACTTGGATGCTTGCACAAAGTACAGCCGCGCAAAGTGCAATGTTGAATTTGGGTCTCGATTTAAACCGATTTAAATCGATTTAAGTTTAAATCGGGCATGGATTCAAGATTCAAGATTCAAGAATCCAGGCCAAACTTCCAGGGATTCTTGAATCCAGGCGTCGATTTAAACCGATTTAAACCGATTTAACTTAAATCGGGCATGGATTCAAGATTCAAGATTCAAGACTCCCTGGAAAAGTTTGGCCTGGATTCTTGAATCTTGAATCTTGAATCCATGCCCGATTTAAGTTAAATCGGTTTAAATCGGTTTAAATCGACGCCTGGATTCAAGAATCCCTGGAAAAGTTTGGCCTGGATTCTTGAACCTTGAATCTTGAATCCATGCCCGATTTAAATTAAATCGGTTTAAATCGGTTTCAATCAAGCCTGAAGCTTCCAGAACGTCCTTGGAAATGCTTCTTTTTCATTGCTCTCCCCAAAGCCCAAAAAAGGGTAGAAAACACTGCATATACTAGTGAATTCATCAAAAAGGTAGGTCCCGGGGGGGGGGGGGTACCATATATATATATATATGCATATAATATCTGTGTATTCAACAAGTACTTCAGCACATGGCAGTTTCTCAAAATGAGGGGGACATCCTTGCGGTATGCTGTATAAAGGGCCACCAAAAATACAACCAACCATTTCAGGGTTGCCCATGGTCCTGTTGCTACTATGGGTAGAGCTCCTGTCGCTGGAGCGGCTGTCGTCCTCGTCCAGAATTCCACCTGCGTACAGGACTTGTCTAATCTGGACTGCCCTCAGATCCCCCGCTAAAAGTTTAACTTGAAGTGGGATAAATGGAAACTACCACTAAGCACTCAAAGGCTAAAAAGCTAACAGGATGACTAAAAGCCACCAAGTAATTAGGTTGAAAATTGGTTGTTTCTCAACATCCCCTACAACTGGTCAAAACCAAGCCGTACAAAGCGGGGCACTGTCGCTGGTTCACTTTTGGAAAACCAAAACGGCGAAATGCGGAAAATGCCAGAACGCTGGGTCGTGCTCAAATCAAACCTCCAGTTTTTGGTAGGCCGCACATGGGTCTGTGTTAAATGGAAACCTGGTTTCTGTTGGCAATGGCCTTTCTTGAAGAAGACAAACAATATGAATGGGTTCGTCTTTTTGAGGCTAACCTTAAAGACCATGAAGAATTCCCCCCCCCAAAAAAAAAGCAACAACATCAATCTAAAAAGGCACCCCCCAGCACCCTCCCCCCCAACCCCCAAAACCCCAAAACGGCGCCAAAGGAGGCGGCCTGCCTTCGGGAATGCTGGGAATCTCGCGGCGCCCAGGACGGCTCAGCGGCTCACGCACCTCCTGGGTGGTGATGCCAACCTGAAACCGACCGAAGCCTCGACAAATCCAGAGCAGAAAGAAATATCCGCCAAGCTTGGCCCGACCAAATGCGATCCAACGGTCCAACCCACAAGCCCAAAAGCGCCACTTGAAAAGACGAGAGTGGGCATTTTCAACCCTCGCCTCCCATCTCGGGAAAAACTTCTTGGCGCAAACGCCCTTTGTCGCCCGTTTAAGAAGGCGACTTAAAACACGCCAGGCTTGGCTTGGCTGAGGATTTGAAGCCCAAAAATTATTGCTGATGGGCCTCGAATGGGGGGTTCCGTGACATGAACCCAAAACGTTGGGCTCCCAAAAAGGCGAACCAAATCCACAAACAAACCCCGCAATTTTGCCGGCCGCGGAAAAGCAAAAACTATCCCTGATGCAATATCAATCCTTAGGTGCTTTTGTTACCAAAGCGCACCTGGACCCAACCTGAACTTGGACGATTGAGTTTCCTATTCAGACCAGCAAACTTGTTCATCCCCAACCACGTTTTACCTTCCCCTTCGGGTGGAGCCCCACGTTGGTGGTGGGCGCGGTCGCCATGTCACCACCCCTTCGCTCGCATCGCCAAGACCTTCCAGGCCGAGATGCCAAATGCTGGGGCTGCGCCGTCAAAAGGCTGGGCACTCTCACCTGAGGCCACAAACTCTGCGAGTATACATGCGGAAAAGGGAATGCATGCACATATATACATATATATATATACATACGTACACATATGAATTTTGTATATATAAAAGTATACACTACGGTCCGTCAGTGTGTCAAGAAGTTTATGAAGCAAGAAATGGGACCCTCCAATGGTCCAGACATAAAGTATTTGAGACTCTCACATGCTCCAAAAATCCAAAACAACTTCCCATTGGAACTGACCAGCATAATAAGTTCTATCTGAGCACCGTCTCTCAGCCCGAGTGTGGTCGCTTGATGTCCTTTGCTCAGGGGCCTGAGAATTGGGTGTTCACGCTTTTGGTGTGGCAGTTGTCAAAAATGTGTTCGATGAAAATTTGCAAGTCACCAACCTTGGTTTACCCCATGCTCCACTTAAAAATCCTTCTCAAGCTGAAGAAGTACCTCTCTGCAAGCTGGCCTCATAACATGGCTCTCTAGTTCAGTTGGCAGTGGACTGTGCCGCAATGGGAGGGAGATGAGTTTGAATCCTAGCAAGGCTGAACATACTACATTGAAAGGTGCAGCACAAGGCAAATCAATGTCAATGACCGACAAATCTTCCTCGAACATATTCTTGACAACTTACCACCCCTCTGGCGCAGAGTTTGGAAATTGGCGCTGCTCCCCCACAGCGCGAACTCGCAATTCTCAGGCCCCTGAGCAAAGGAAAGCAAGGTGGTCAAAAACACGCCCAAGGCCCCCAACCAGGTTCAAAAACGAGCCCAACCACACTAGTGCACCAAAAACAAGACCAACAAGGGCAAAGAAAAACCTTCCTTCAAAAGCCAAATCAGAAATCCGGTCAAGGCTCTGCGTTAAGACCACCATGTCTTATTCCCAATCAAGTACGTGTTTAGAGATACTCCAGACCCTGGTCAAAACACGTGGTTGTCTTAACATACCGATCGACCGTATATAAATTTATATGCACATACATAAATAAATATATATATATATATATAATATATTTATATACAAGAGAGAGAGAGAGAGAGAGAGAGAGGGAGAGGTGAGAGAGAGAGAGAGAGAGCGAGAGAGACAGAGACAGAGACAGTGTCAGAGACAGAGACAGAGAGAAAGAGAGACTCCGGTAGTACATGTATACACAATTGTGCAAATGTGTGTGCGTATCGTGTGTGTGTGTGTACACAAATGTACCCACAGCCCCCGAAATTTGCCGTCAGCCCCGGGCTTTCAGGGTTTAGGTCGAGGGCTCAGGTTTTCGGGTGTAGGTTTGAGGTTTGGGTTTAGGCTTAGGGTCTAGGAGTATGTAGGTTTAGGGTTTAGGTTTAGGGGCTAGGCTTAGGTTTAGGGTTGAGGCTTTAGTCTGTAGGGCTAGGTTTAGGGTCTATGTTGAGGTTTAAGGTTCTGGTTAATTCAGGGTGCGGGTTTAGGGTCTAGGTCACTTACGTGCCCCTCTGCAGGCCAGCCCCCAAGAGATATTGGCTGGCTTTGTCCGAACGGAGCAAAACGCCGCCGTCTCTGCCTTTCGACGAGCCGAGCTGCGCTTGTCTGAGCCGAATTCGAGCGCGTGGTGACGAAGACGGCAGGTGCTTGAGGCGGCTTAGGCCTTTAGTTTCGTGCGTCGGGGCGTTGCTTTGGGGCGCAGGCAACCCTCAGGGGCTGGCCGTATATGTAGGTGTGTGTGTGTGAGTGCGTCTGTCTGTATTTGTCATGATTTGACTTGAAAAGACATGAAGGCCCAAAAAACCAACCCGTGAGGCGTGCATTCCGATGCACGTGTGAGTTTTTAGTAGGAGACCCTTGGGTGGCCATGAGTTTTTAGTAGGAGACCCTTGGGTGGCCATGCATCGCTCCTGTAACCGCCCATCGTCACGGCTACCCCCGAGCTCCGAAGCTACCCCAGAGGAATCTGGGCATACTCTCTAGTGGCTAGTGGCTGTACGTCCCAAACCCACAAAACTGATGCATAGTTCTCAATAGCGTCCAAGGAGCTTGAAAAAGCTGTGCATCAAAGGAGCTGCCTGCAAAATCCTCAGGCCACGAAAAGAAACATCAGCGGAGAAAGAAAGATGAGAAAAAAAAAACGAGAAGGGAACAAACTCACTTCCCAACGAGTGGATTGGTCGAAAGCCGCGCCTACTTTTTGGCCCACCAAACCTCCCTCCAGAAACTGGAGCTGATCCCGAAAGCTCAGCGAGCGATTTCACCCGTGGGGCTTCGGCCGAAGGGAATCTGAGCTGCAAAAATGTCGTCCAGGATGTGCTTCAGCGAGGACACCCCAAGCCATACTAGCTCTGGTTTTGTTTTGTTTTTTCTGAATGGCCCGTGTCCTGAGTGCATTCCTCTTTTCAGGGCAACATGTAACGCCCCTGTCTGTATTGATGAACCTAAAAGTGGCAGACTTGTCGCCTGCTCTGGCTGACTGGCGGAATGAAATGGGTGCTTTTTCAAAGTCGGGGAACGCCATGTTTAAGCTTGTGTCTTTTGGCTTCCCTTTGGAACCACGCAAAAACTCGGTTGCTTTTCTGCTCCCCTGCCAAAAGTTCAACTTTTGGTAGTTTAATGCGAAAAACCCATGAGTTGGCACACAAACTTCTCAAGTCCTAACATCCCTTGGCAAAATGCACTGAAGAAAAGGGCTCCACGATTTATTTTTTTCGGAAACCTCGTACCGCAGCAAATCCTCTCCTTCATGCGCAGGTGCAGCAAGGACGGAACGTCGGTCTCCTCAGCACCGTGCCAGCCACAACTTGGGTCCATGCGATCAAACCCTATGAATGGCACATGGGAAAACGAGTCACAATTAAACCACTGGGAATTGGACCGCAGGTTTTAGTCCTTCGTTCCATTTTCCAGGGTTCCATTTTGGGTACCCTTTTTTTGACCCGCAGCCACATGGGAAAAAAAGAGAACGTCCCCGAAGTTTTGTGGAAAGGTATCGTGAGTTTCATTGGGACATGCCAGTGTTCTCAAACAAATGGGCTTCCGGTTTCCTTTTGGTTTCCCATTCACACAAACCCGCAAAGGGGTAACCTCAAACATACACCCTCCCATTTTAGGTTCAGAGCTCCCGTTCGCTGCGAATGCTGTGGAACCTTGGTACCGGATGCGATGTATCGGAACGAGCTTGCATCCAATCTTAAGGCTTGAGCGAAGGGCATCCTCGAAACCGGACCGGCCATTTGGCTGCGCAAGGATTCTACATGCTTTCCAAAGCCGGAGACCTACATCACCTTCTGCGCTTCTACCCCTTGAGGTCGCCATGAAATCGGCAGAACGATTCCCGAGCCGGGCAAAAAATCCTTCGTTCGGGCCCGGAAAGGGCCGAGAGGGCCAAGGGGAGTGTCAAACCTTCACGAAACCAAGACTCCCGAGAGGGGGGTTCTTCCATTAAATTAGATTCCCTTGAAACCCAAAAAAATGCATGTCCTAGCCAAATGGAAGTTTATGTTCAGTGGCGATACCCTACACCACTGCAAAATGGTCCCGAAGTTTATGAAAAAAAAGACTTGCAAAACCTCACGTCCGAATGAGTGGATTGGCCAACAAAAGCCCACACGTTTCGTACGAACTGGCCCAGAAACTCAGGGAGCTTCACAGATGTATTGTCAACATAGGGAGAACACCCCCTTCGAAAGCGATGACTCCCCGCCAAACAGGGGACAACACACCAGCCAGGCTGTTTCTTATATCTCCGAAGTCCTGCGCTCAAACGTCAGGTCCCTCCAGCTCTGAGGTTTTGGGTCCCCGGGCGGTCTCGATGAACTGCTTGAAGCGGTCCAGGTCCTCTCGGGTGCCGGTGGCCTTGAAAGAGAAGAAGCCGCCGTGCCTGGTGCCTCCGTTTGCGTGTCTCAGGAAAAGTTGAAAAGCCAAAACAATCACATGCTGTGGGTGTCCTTCTGGCCCGGAACAAAGTCTAGCTCCTCCAGTAGAGAGGTTAGAATAAGTTGGTGCCCGTTGTTTTCTTTCTTTTTCCTGTAGTCTATTCTAGTAGGGGAACCCTCCCCAAAAAAACCTCGGTAAAAGCGCACTACTGGGGGACCTAGAAGTCTTCGACCGTCCACTTTTCGAGTCCTGGGTGGAGATAAAGTCGGCCAGGCTGAGGACCATCGGCTTGTCCTGGCAACTCGCTGGGCGGCTGCCCCCCGTTTCCCCAAAGCGGGGAGGGCGGAAACGGGGGCCGGGACCCAATTCCGTTCCAGTCTTCCCAACCTTCCGTTTGGTTAAGGCACCAGCAAAAAAGATATGTCCAGTAGTGATGAATGTCTCTTAAGACCAACAAGGGAAAATAATGTCAAACAAATGTTTAGGCAAATGGAGGCAACAAAAACAAAAGGAACTAGAGCTGGAATCTCGGGGTCATCGCCTTCCCCCCAGTTCCATGTTGGGGATTCTTTTGGGGGGTGCACAACGGACCCAGCATGTTGGTGCGGGTTGTAAAGGGAAACCACAAATACACGATACTTATTCTGGGGTCCCCCCAATTTCTTCCATGTGAGAAGAAGCTAAAGTTGCTTGGCGAGTCGAAAGAAAGCAAGTTGCAACCACCGATTTGGGTTCGGCAGGTGGGATTGGTGCAGATCCTGGCGCAGGAAATTGGCTCTCACCGGGCGCTAGGCTTCCCACGATCCAAAGGTGCATCCCCTCCGCTTCAGATTGGTTGACAACTACAAAAACCCGTCCTTCTTGCCCAGAGGCGGCAGGTTGTTCATTGGTATGTGTCAAAATGCGGACCCCAAAATGACTGTCCTTGCGGCTTGTTTTTGAACGCATCTACCCAACGGGTACCGCGCTTCAAACGAACTCACATCCCACGCGTATAGAAGCACACAAAACCAACCTCATGACTCATGCTCCTTCTTCTCCCGAAGAACACCGGCAAACAGTTCCTTCATGGTTGTTCCTTGTGGGCGCGATCCTGGGCTTTTCTATCTACAAAACAAAAAGTTGCCGAGCCTCAAACAAGCACACTATCATATGGCTTCTAAACCTCCTGCTCAGAAATTGGCCCAAGACCACGCAATGTCATGGCTTCTTTTATTGCATGGCACAAAGCCATACAAACCCTCTTCACAAACGCGGTTCCGCACCCCTCAATCTCATGACTTGTGTTTCTTTGGTGCGTCTCCTCGCTGGTCAATTGCTAAGAAGCCCATGCGACTACACATCTGCCTCAAGCTCGGGGAAGCTTCTCGGGGAAGCTCGTCGCTTGTTTGCTTAAAACTCTAAGAAACCAGCTACAGGAGATGTGGCTCGGACTTGGCCCTGTCCAACCCCCATGGCATGATCGACACCGACCTCCACGAGGTTCTCTTGAGGTAACGATCAAGCACGAGGTCATCAAGCACCACCTCAACCCTTTTGGCTCTACCTGGATTCCACGACAAGCTACAGGGATCCTTGCATTATACACCTGAACATTGCCTTGTAAATGGTGGTTTCCCTTTGTTTTGGTGGAAAAAGCCATGTTCCAAATGGGCAAGATGTATCTTACAAGGAGCCCTGAACTAAACTTCCCTCAAGCGAGGAAGTGTCCAGGTTTCTCTGGCTTCTCTGAGAAGGGCTTCTCCTACAACTTGTCGGATCCGTCGGAACATCTGGTCTGCGATTGGTCTTCTTTCAACCCACCCAAAGGAGATCTACAGGAAACCCCTGGTTTAGATGGATATCTGGCTGGCTCGCAACTTGTCCTGTAGCTTTCTATGACATGTCTATTTACCACAAGAAAGTCCAAACCCCAAAACTGGGAGAAAGTCCCCGGCAAGTCGATCGGAAATAAGCCGCCACTTCCATTTGCACCCATACTCTGGATGGAGGAAATCCGCTTCTCGCACCCTCGTTCAGAAACCCTGGATTCTGATGATTGCCCTGTAAATACCAAGAAACAATGGCTTCAAAGTGGTGCGAACGGATTTCGTCCATCCACAGTAGCTAGTAGTGAAATCAATTCCCTTTGAAGCCAACAGGGGAACATACCAACAATATTCCTTTCACCAAATGGACTTCCAAGTCCAATTCCGTGGCTCGCATTCGGCTCCAACTTCGGCTCCCTTCGCTCGCCCCCTTCGGCTCCTTGTGGGGGTAGCGAATGATCTCCAGCCACCGCTGGGAGGGCTGCAGGATCCGCCAGTCGTGGCTCAGCTGCTCGCAGCAGTCGCAGGTGACGCTCAGCAGCCGCCGCGCCGCGTTGAGGATGCCCTCCGTCTCCGAGATCTGGGCCTCTTGCCTCAGCTACAAACCTATCTGGGGCCCCCGAAAATGAGTGGTTTCCCTTTTGGTTTCCCTTTCAAACCACCAAAAAAAAATTGCCCCCAACAACAAACAGACCCCCCCCTCCAACAACCCCCCAACACAACCCCCCCCCCTCCAACACAACCCAGGAAAAACGGCACAACCCCCCCCCCACTCCCCTGCAACCCAGGAAAGCCAAAAGAAAGAACGTCTGAAACTTAATGAGGACCCCCCAAGAGAAAATAGGTGTAAACACCATTGAAGGGGTCGGTGGACTCTTAAGCCATGGTGGGAAGAAAAGCGCTGTTTTGTCCGGGCCTCCGTGAAACGCCTAACGCCAAGAGGGCTCTATGGTCAGAAAGGTTTACATGGGTAGGACCAAAACGATCGGAACGGGCCAATTCACATTTTTGCTGGCGAACGGACTAATTGCCCCAAGAACCCTTGTTTCGGGCGTAGAGGAGGTTTGGTTGTTTGTGTTGGCGCCGGCATTTGAATAGCCAAGTCTCCAAATTCCCAATGGATACGCCGTTGATGTCGAACCCTCTCTGAACTCATGGCAAAGACGGTTCCAGTGCACCCTGGTACGCTTCGTTGCTGGTAGTTCGTCCTTTCCTGCACTCGTGACTAAACGAAACCCCATTGGCCAACTACTTTGTCCAAACTTTCACCATTGACTTTCGGTATCGACACGGTTCTCAACTTTCATACAGGCCTCACTCTATCAAACCGAACCCAGGGGTTTCCTTTTCGGGAACGGCACCAAATATCAAGTGAACCTCGAGTATCGTTGTGTTTTGAAAGCGGGAGGAGGCACCACATATGAGAATCAAACGGGCACACAGGGACTGGCAATGGGGTGACATACGGGGGTTGATCAATATTCCTGGCCCCCAAATTCCGATACCTTGTTTGGTGTTTCCAACCAATGTTCACCCCATGTATGTTTGGAGGAGGAAAGAGTACCTCGAAAATCAGGTCTTCAGACTTCATATTGGAGACAGAAATATGGGGAGTTGCCTGAAAAAAGACCAACCCTCCAAAAAAAATTGCCTTTGGGTGTCCGCTTCCCCCCTTCTGGGTACCCTCAGAAAAAGACATACCCAAACTTCAACTTGTTCGCAACAAGCTGAGTATCAGGGATGCCCGGATCTTCCCTGCTGAATCAACCGAAGCCGGTTCTTCCAGGGCCGCAGGCCCCCGATACTACTCTTAGATTGGGCCAACTCAAACAGGGATCCTTACAAGAAAACACCTGAACATTGCCTTGTAAATGGTGGTGTTCCCCTTGTTTTGGTGGAAAAAGCCATGTTTGAAATGGGCAAAATGTATCTTTAAAGGAGGTTGAGCCCTGTCAAAACAGTACTAAGCCGTCGAAAATATCCCTCAGATTGGCCTTAGCCTTGTTAGGGGGTAATTTGTCAAGCTCCTTGCACAAACCCCATGCCAAAATCTAAACGCAGATTTACCTTATACTGATTAAAAATTAGTGCAGGAGTTGTAATTCCACGGTTTTACCACACAACCGGGAGAAAAATACGTATGTATATATATATATAATTAATTATATATATAAACTCCAACAAAGTTATCTGAAATTGCTCCTCGGAAACTGCGATTTTGACGGGTTTCGGGGACCGAAAAGGAAATCCGGCCGACCCCCGGGGTACCCTAAATAACTATTGTTTGTCCCCCGGCCAGTATTTATTTCTAGGGGTTGATTCCCCATTTTTTGAAACCACCGTTTTCAAAACCAATTGTTTCTGCTGGGTTTTTGATGCTACCTTGGTGAATATTCAAAACACGGATCCCAGCCAGTATTTATTCATAGGGAGGGGTGTCCGTGTTGAATATTCGCAGAAGGGATGACCAACATGAAGGTTTAGGCCTTCCTCCGGCCTTTTCCCCGCCATCTGACGTGCCTGTGGGTCAAACATAGGAACCCAAGCTGGAACCTTGGCAAATGGAACCAAAGACGACCTGCGGCCCCTTCCTGGTAGTGACGAATTGTTGGCCCGTACCCATGTGAGTCACAATCAAAACCCGGTGTTGAAATGGTCTACCCAGAACCATGCTTCAAGAATCAAGAAGGCGGAATTCCGAACCTATTTCTGGCTGGGACTGCCCCTTGCTAACCGGATCATGCACCCGAATCGGTTTTGAGCACGTGGCTCACGCGAGTCGTCGCATGCCCCAAACCTTCACTCCACGGCGCTTCGCGAGGAGTTCCTCCAGCTCCATAGTGGCCACTTCCTGCGGGACGGACATTCGCTGGACACGTGCCTGTCTTCCCTTGCAATTGTCACTTTTGTTGGCGCCCAAAGTTTCGCGGAACACGTGGTTTTGTTCCCATTGTGACTTTTGTTCCCTGCCCAAAGTCAACCTGGATCCTCTGGGCTGGGAGTTGCAGCCGCTTTGAAGGGACACCAAGCCCTGTTTCAGCAGAATTGGCGGCGAAACACCATGCTTGAAACGCGAATCACCCAAGCCTGAGAATTGGGTGACCCCCGTTTGGTGGAAAGTGCACAAAGTGATGATGTTTTGCCGTGTGGGAGAACCATGGAAACCAGAATTGGTCTGGCAATGGTTGGGCATCGCAACGAATGCCTGTTACTAGGCGAACTGGTGCTTGTGAATGAGGCGCTCAAACGGCTTCAAACAGGCATTTCCCCAAAACAGTTGATTTTCTTTTGGTCTCCCCTGAACTGTTCAAAGGGGGTCCACCATTCTGATTCACATGCTGATGAGTTGCGACCAGGCAAATTGCTGCTATCCATCACCGGCCAATTGTCCGACGTGTGATGCTCTGCATTAACAACACCGATTCTTCGCTCAGTTAGCCTCGATATATCTATGGGAGCATGGAAGCAAGTCCAATGATATCCTCAACCGGCTGATATCAACTTCAAAGCCTTGACATTCCAACCGAAGATCCCTTGCGCCTCTCGGCATCCCATAGCTCTTTGGGGCTTGCGCGCCTGACGCACTGTCAGTGAGCTCACCTGCAAGAGCACGATCAACGTGAAGCCCACGCAGACGAATTCCTGTGGCAAACAAAACTGCATCGAGCCTCGCGAACAGGGCTTCCTATATGTTCCGCCTACCAAAAAAACGAGGAAGCCGGACCAACAACGGGAATACGGCAACCCCTCGCAAATTCGGACTTGCAAAGTTGCTTCTCCCGACTACATGATGGCTGGTCAGATAATCGGCAACTCTTGGGCTGGAGAAAGCGCATCTAACTCCAAATCATGGCCCGGTTCTCCTGCGGTGTTTCTTCTTCGTTTGCTTGTTTGTTTGGGGGCCTCTCAAAATGGTTGGCTCCCTACTGGCGCTCCTAAAAGTGCCAGTTAGGCCGGCTGGCGGAAGTTGCCAAATATAAGAACTATAGTTGTATTTATCTTTCTCCCTCGTTCTCTCTCTCTCTCTCTCTCTCTCTCTCGGTCTTGCTCTTTCTCTCTCTCTCCCTCTCTTTCTCTTTCTTTCTCCTTCACTTTATTGTTTCATTGTATTTGATTTGTTTCTCTCTTTGTGTTTCCCCTCTTTCTCTTGTTCTTTCTCTATTCTTCCTTGATCTGTCTCCTTCTCTTTCTCTGTCTCATGTTTTTTTCTATGTCTTTCCTTCTCTCCCATTCTTTTTTATTCTTTCTCATTGTCCATATCTCTCTCTCTCTCTCTCTCTCTCGCTGTCTCTGTCTGCCCCCGTCTCCCTCTCTTTATCTTCCTCTTTCTCTGTCTCAGTCTCTTTGTCCTTCTCTGCCTTTCTCTCTCTCTCGTTCTCTTCTAGTTCTTTCCTTCTCGCTCTTTTTCTTCGTTGTTCTTCTCTTCTTTCTCTTGTTTTCCTTTTCTCTTTCTCTTCTCCTTCTCTTTTTCGCTCTCTTCTATTTCTTTCCCTTTTTCGCTCTCTCTCTCTCTATCTCTCTCTTTCGCTTCTTTCGCTTCCTTCTCTTTCTCTTTATCTTTCTCAGTCTCTTTCTCCTTCTCAATTCTTGCTTTGTCTCTTTCTCTGTTTCTTTCTCCTTCTCGTTCTCGATCTCTTCCATTTGCTTTCTTTTCTCTTCCATTTGCTTTCTTTTCTCTTCCATTTGCTTTCTTTTCTCTCTTTCGCTTTCATGTATTTTTGTCTTTCTCTTTTTCTCTCTGTCTCTCTCTCTCTCTCTCGCTTTCTCGCTCTCTCTCTGTCTCCCTATTTCTCTTCCTCTTTCTCTGTCTCAGTCTCTTTGTCCTTATCTTTCTTGTTCTCTTCGGTTTATTTTATTTTCTTTCTTTCTCCTTCTCCTATTTATCTTCCTTCTACTTTTCTTTATCGTCTTTTTCGCTTTATCTATCTCTTTCTCGCCATTCTATTTGCTTCCTTTTCTCTCTTTTTCTCTCTCTCTCTCTCTCTGTCTCTCTCTCTGTCTCTCTCTTTCTCTTTCTGTTTCTCTGTCTCTTTCTCCTTCGCTCTCTCTCTCTCTCTCTCTCGCTTTCTCTCTCTCTCTCTCTCTCTCTTTCGCTCTCTCTCTCTCTCTCTCTCTCTCGCTCGGTCTCTCTCTCTCTCTCTCTCTCTCTCTCTCGGTCGCTCTCTCTCTCTCTCGCTCTCTCTCTCTCTCTCTGTGTGTGTTTCTCTCTCTTCCCTTTTTCTTGTCTATCTATCCACGTATCTGTCTGTCTGTCTGCCTGCCAGCCTGTCTTCCTCGTTGTCTATCTGTTCATCTCTCTCTCTCTCTCTCTCTTGCTCTATCTGTATAGCTGTCTAGCTGCCTACCTGTCTATCCGTCTGTTTATCTATCTATCTATCTATCTATCTAGCAATCTATCTATCTATCCATCTATCTATCTGAATCAATCTTGCTGTCTATCTGTCTATCTATCTACCTGTGTAACGAAAGCTATCTGTCGAACCTTCTTATCTTCCTGTCTTGTGTTCATCTTCTTATGTAATCTTTCTAGCCATCTATCGTGCTATTTGTCTATCAATAGGTTTATCCTTTCTCTGCCCATCTATCTATCTAACCATCCTACTACCCAGCTATCTATCTATCTATCTATCTATCTATCTATCTATCTATCTATCTATCTATCTATCTATCTGCAATTGACCTTGCGAAAGCGACTTCGCACGTCCGTGCCAATGGGAGTTTCGACACATCCGTGCCAGACATTGTACAACCAACCACTCGTGAGGTGGTTCCAGCTTAAGGTTCATAGCCATACTTACCGGTGGGGCCCCTAGCCATTCACAATTTTGGCCCGGTCATTGAAGATCACCAGCCCGAGGCTGCCAGAGTCGAACTGGCCGATGCTGTGCAGGCGAGCGCACCCGGCAGCAATGAAGGCCGGCATCATCGCCACGTCGATCCAAAAGGTCATCCACATGTCCGGAGCGAAGGATGCCAGGAATACCCGGCCTCCAGACATCTGGCCATGGGTCAAAACCCGGTAATTGCAGTGAACATCCCAATCCCCACTAAGATAGACTAAAATGGGTGGTGCGCCTACCCCAAAAGGTACCATTGGTGTTTGACCCACAGCCATGTGAAAATCGCATTCCTTCCTTGGAAGGCCTTCCAAGAGACGGAGTCTCGAGTTGCGTACGTCAAAACAGGGCAAGCTCCAAAAATCGCAGCGCAGCTTTTAGCTTCCTCTCAAACCAAACCGAAAAATGGGTGGATGCCCTCAAACACGCACACACCCACCCACCCACCCACCCACCCACGCACGCACGCACGCACCCACACACACACACACCCACACACACCCACACACACACACACACACGCACGCACGCACGCACGCACGCACGCACGCACGCACGCACGCACGCACGCGCGCGCGCACGCGCGCACGCGCGCACGCGCGCACGCGCGCCCGCGCGCTCGCGCGCACGCACACGCACACGCACACGCACACGCACACGCACACCCACCCACACACACACACAGACACACCCAGAAAGGAGGCCTACTTGCGGGAAGTGCCCCCTCGCCTAGATAGTTGGCTGAGAGCAGGTGGATGGGCACGTCAATGCCTCAGTGGCTTTGGGGGCTCATGCCATGCCCGCAAAAAGGCAAGGGTGCCAAGCCAACCGTGGGTCGATCTTCACAGGATTTTTTCTTCCCTCCCCGAAAGAAAGGAAAAGCCGGTCGACTAGTGATAGAATTGGCACCAAAAGACATGACTCGGTTGCGAAATCTGCTCCCCTGCTAAAAGTGAATAACTTTTTGTGGTTTAGTACGGAAAACCCCATTCGTTTGGCCAAAAAGTTCTCAAGTCCTAACAGCCCTTGGCAAAATGCGAACCAAAGATGACATCTCTCATCTCGTCACCTCAAAAAGTCATTTGCCAAACCTCGGCAGTGCCACCCAAACGACCAAACCCCTCGCAACGCCGACAAGGCGAAGGATGGCTGGTCAAAATAGGTAATTACCCAAAATGGCACCTAAATGGAAACAATGACTAAAACCTGTGGTCCCCTGGTGGTTTAATTTTGACCCATACCCAAATAAGGCCTCGTCAACCGAAGTGAAGGGAAGGGTTCCGCAGCGCTGACTCGCATTTCCCGCCAGGCAGCGCGCTTCCTTTCAGCCTTCCTTTCTGAGAGAACGGTGGTGTGGCGAATCTGTGGATCCACACCTGTAAGATATTAGACGAGAAGAAAAAGGAGTCTGAAAAAGAAGCAACAGGGGGAAGAACTTGTATGATCTATCCACAACAAGCGCAAATCCAGACCGTTTCTAGATGTGTTCGGAGGTGGCATCAAGCACGTCAAGGACGGCCGGCCATCCGGGTCTTTTTCGTTCGGATCCGCAAAGCTGAAGCTGTCAACTGAGCCAAGCCAAGCTCTGTAAACTGAAAGCTCTGCAACATGCTGGATGGCTGGAAGAGCGCCATGTTGCGGGGTCAAATTTCGCCTTCCTGTTGGGGTTCCAACCACGTTTCAGCGGGCTCCCCAGTAAAGTTCATAGCCATTTGGGTATGGGCAATATTAAGCCACCAGGAATTGGACCTGTTTGGCTTGAGTCTGTACAGAGCAAGCCATTTTGGATACCTTTTTTTGACCCTGGTTTCATTTCGTGGTGCGAAATGAATGGCATCCAGAGTATGTCGATGGGGTTACCAGGGCCGGCCGCGCCAGCGTGGCGGCAGTTCAGCGCCATGCAGTATGGGGGTGTCTTTTTCGAGGGGCGCCCTTGGGTTTAGCGGGAAACCGCCAATTGGGGTGCGGTTCCTCCCAAAGGTTGAACTTTTAGGGTGTTTTTAGCCCCGATTCCTAAGAAAAGACATACACAAAGGTTGTTTTTAGGGGCTACCAGCCCGCTGTGGTTCCAATTGTTGAACTTTTGGGGCTACTTATCGCCCGCCGTTTGGCTCACGCCCGGCGGCAGTTCAGCAGAGCCATGAGGTTGATGCCAAAGGTCACCAGGAAGGTCTCCCTGCTGCTGGGCGTGGCGTTCGGCCGGGACGCCCAGCGCATGATCATCGCCGAAACCAGGGAGGACCAGAAGTGGCCTGCTCTGTGTGTGTGTGTGTTGTGTTTGTTTGTTCGTTTTTTTGTTTCATTGATGTCATTATGTGTTGTTTTCATTTATTCATTGTTTTCATGTATTCATCGCTTTTCATTTATTTGTTCTTGCTTGGTGGGGGGGGTATGTTTGTCTTTTACATCATGTAGGTGGACATATATGTCCACAAACTTTTGAGATGGTCCCTATCAAAATTAATTGCCAAATGTTGTAGCTGTTTCAGGGGACAGATTCATCCCACAACAAATGGCAAGGAAAGTCTGTCACCTTATTTTGTAGCCATACCCGCCCCATCTGTTCAAGGACCCCCAGTCTTCCGAAAATTACCCGAAAGATCCTCGCACAAGAAGTCTTGCAACTTTGTTGCTGGCTAGTGGGAAAACATACAGGACAAGGTTTGAATATTGAAAGGTGCGCAAAAGCATGTTCAGCCTTTGCTGGTTAGGTCAGAAAACACTAACCAAAATCCCCAAAAACTTTGAAGGTTGAAGATCTTGACGATTTGCTGGTGTGTGGGGAAGCCCACAAAATCATGTGTTAAAACAAGACGCAGAAGGAAAAAAAGAAGAAAAAACACGGGGGAAAACGGGAAAAAAGAAAACAAAAAACGAAGGAACAAAACATGTTAAAGGCTGCCGCCCAGTGACACTTCAGAAACATGTCCTTTGGGTACCCGTGGGCGATCAGCTGCATCAGGAGCACACACAGGCAGTACCTGGGAAAAAAATGTTGAGGCTCTGCGAAAGCCAAATGGCCATGGGTCAAAAGCCCGGTTACCCCCCAGTGAACATCCCAATCCAACCACTAAAATAAGTTCTAGAGTGGGTGGTGAATTCACCTACCCCAAAATGGTAACCTAAAATGGGTGGTGAATTCCCCTACCCCAAAATGCGATCCCAAAACAGTTTTGACCCACAGCCAAATCTAGGGGTAGCTTCCATTTCCATTCTGGATCCTTCTTCCTAAAAAACCGCCTTTCAGCCCAGGGGAAGCGGCCGAAAGAACGATGGCTGAAAAGAATGGAATTGGAATCAGACCCTAGAACCAAGGGAACCCTTGAAGGGCTCTGAAGGGCTCCATGTTCTGGAGTGTGAGCCTTCCAAACCCTTCGTGTTTTTTTTGACCTTGGGAATGGAGCCGCGGGGGTTCTTCCAGTGCGTTTACATCGGCACCGCCTGATATGGAGCCTGTGCTCTTTTCCTTAAGGCCAGCTGCGGCATGCACAACTTGACCTTTGCGTTCGGCTGTGATGTGGGTCACTGATTAACAAAGGGCCCCCCAAAACAAACGAGAGAGACAACTGGCAAAACAATTTGCGGGGCAAATGAGCCCTTCCCAAGTTTAGTGCTGGCGTAGTATTGCTTAGTACTGGTTTAGTATTGTATTGCTTTCTGCTGCTTTAGTCCTGGCTTAGTATTCGTTGGTATTGGTTTAGTATTGCTTCATGCTGCCTTAGTACTTGCTTTTGCCCTTGTAATTACTAGCTTGGTATTGGTGTTGATGTGCATTGGCTTAGTATTGGCTTAGCAGTGATTTCTATTGTTGAGTATTTGGGGTGGCCATGTACTGCCGCCTTGGAAACTTGCGGCTGAGCTTACAAAGCGGATGCGAGGAAATAGCTTCGGGGATGGGTAGTGTTTGCAAAGATGTTCCGACTTTCTTAGTGCTCAGCAGAAAGAACCAGTAGACAAGAATAGAGGTGGGAATTACTACAAGGCAGCGACCAGTTGCACAATTGGGAAACCCTCTTGAATTTCTATTATTGAGTGTTTGGTGTGGCCACGTACTACCCCTTGGAAATGTGTGGGCTCGGCACTTTTGTATAAATGACATGCAAGAAAATCGGTAGTTTGGGAGAGGGGTGTTGTTTCCGCATTCCGGACACAACAAACTCCGGACACAAAGACAACATGCTTGTCTCCGGATTCAGTCCCAAATATTCTCGGAGCAGGTACCCCTTTTCATGTTTGGGGTAGAGAATCAACTTGGGGAAAACAACACTCTATGTGGTATACCCCTTGATTCATCGGGTACCGACATTAAGTAAGACGCTTGTCAGACCTTCGCATTTTTGCGAAAGGTGGGTATGTGTCTTCAAACGGCGGCGTCTTTTTTGGCGGGACTCACCATTTTGGGCGGTTCTCCTTCTTCGCTAAAGATGTCGGAGAAAGAAAGAAAGAAAAAGTCGCCCAACTCCAAACAACCAGACGCGCGCGCGCGCCACCCACAACAAACAATATTAACAATATTAACAATAGTAAGAAGAAGAAGAAGAAGAAGAAGAAGACTATAAAGAAGAATGATAATCATAAATAAGAAGAATACAACGATTCCATGTCCAAAGGCATGGTGGCGGGGGATAAATTCATCTTCGCTCGGATCGTGCCGCTTGCCGGGGCCGGGGGCCCCGGCAGCTCGGAGGTGAAAGCGCAGGTGGAGGCGCAGGCCAGCCACAGGTCCTGGCGCTTCTCGTGGATGCGCGCCAAGACCTGAGAGGGTGGCCTGGGGTGGGGTGGGGTGGGGGTGGGGTGGGGTGGGGGGGGTGGGGTGGGGTGGGGGGGGTGGGGTGAGTGGGCGGTGCCGAGTCTGGCGTGGTGAGGCACAGCTCGGCAGCTTTTGTGTCAAAGGCTTTCAAGTTGGACAGGTGCGTTGGGGGGGGATGACCTTGGGGGGGGGGAAGAACGGTTTTCTTGATGGCTGAATAGATGGAGGGAATGAGACTTGGAATGACCCATGCGGTGGATGGTTGCGAAAATCCATGTCGCACCACCTAATTGTTTCTGATGACTCCCCTGAACAAAGTGGTGCAAGATTTCGTTCATCCACAGTATGAGCCGTCCCGGATTTCGCTTCCTTTCAGGGAATCCCCAAAACCGGTTCATTCAACCACACCCTGACTCGGTCATTTCCTGCTGACGCTGTTGGGGTTGGCCAGGGAAGCCAAAAGGAAAACAGGCAGAGAACAAACAAAGCAACAGGGGCCCTCATAATATTTAAGATCCTGGGATCCTAAGGTCAAAACTGGCAGAGTCCCAAAAAACCCATGGCAAAGAATCAATCCTTGCACAGCTTCACTTGAATGCGTCATGGTCGATACATCGAAAACCCGGAGATCCACTAGGCACCTTGAAAAAAGGAATCGAGCTTTGGATTTACCCCAGAAATCGGCCCCACAGATCATAGGGCGGCCATCATTCCCATTCGCATAACCTGGCAAAGGATACGATGCGAATGGAAGCCTCGAGCCGAGGCGGAGCACGAAAAACAATCCTCTCAAAAGCTGCAACTTGTGGAAACCTGACAGGGGGAGGCGATCCTGCAAGAGCAGTTTCCTTTTACAGGTTCCATATGTTCATGGGTAGGTGAACTGCCTAGGGGAAAAATGGAGGGAGCTCCTGAAGGAATCCAATGAGAAGGGACTCCGAGCGGAGGGGGAGGCCAAAGATCCCTGCGAGGCTGAGGTTGGCAGTTGTACGCGCACAACTTCGACGCGACTTTGTCTCGGTCAAAATAGGGCTCACCATGGATGCACTCGAAGACAGACCCAAGTGCACCTCTTCCAAGATTCGGGTGCCAAGGAACTCCCAAATCCCGCCCTGCAGCTTGGGGTGATGCAAGTTTCCGAGCCCGAAGAAATACCCCCCCGAGCGGGCGGGCGATGCGCTCCCGAGCCCGTCAACTTGGGAGACGCTTCTCCTTTTGACCAACCCAAACAACCCAACCCAACCCAACCCAACCAAACAACCAAACAACCAACCAACCAACCAAACAAACAAACAAACAAACAAACAAACAAACAAACAAACAAACAAACAAACAACCAAACACAAAAAACAAGCAAAACAAACAAACAAACAAACAACCAAACACAAAAAACAAACACCACCCAATCCAAGCTACTCAACCACCCCACCCAAGCCCACAACACCCAAACCCTGCCTTCTGGACATCTCTGGCAATCCTTGGGCCCCGCATCACCGCCCGCAGCCGCTCTTGCGGGAGCGTCACCCCGAGCCTGGCCAAGGCGAGGGCTCTTCGAGATGGGTCGACCTGGTTGGGGAGGATCCGAAAGCGCTGGACAACTCAAGCTCAGGCCTCCTGACGTTTTCGTGGAGCAATCGAAACCCAAGTCATCAGCGAAAGACTGAGAAAAACACACATACACAAGCAAACAAGCAAGCAAGCAAGCAAGCAAGCAAGCAAGCAAGCAAGCAAGCAAGCAAGCAAGCAAGCAAGCAAGCAAGCAAACAGGCAAGCAAGCAAGCAAGCAAGCGAGCAAGCAAGCAAGCAAGCAAGCAAACAGGCAAGCAAGCAAGCAAGCAAGCAAGCAAGCAAGCAAGCAAGCAACCAACCAACCAACCAAACAAACAAACAAGCAAACAAACAAACAAGCAAACACACACAACACAAACTCACCTACATCCATCACCGATCTTTGGAGCCGCAGCGCGGCAAAAGGCGGTCTTCGGCAAACCACAACGAAGACGTCCCAAGCCGAGCGGATTGATCCTTCGAGAGCCATGGGCCCTTTTGAGGCGAGATCTGCCGCTCAGCTTCGGCTTTTTTTGGCATCGCCAGCTACCCGTACTTCAAACGACCCAGCTCTGTCGCGAGTATGCCGACCACTAGGAGAAAAGACCGCCCGTTCCAGGGACAACCCGGTTTTCCAATACTGGAGAAACAGATTGGTAGCGGGAATGCTTCATTTAGGTACGGCTGATATTCATTTTGGACCCTTGGGTGGGCATTCACGAATGCGATCTAGGGCAAATTCCCATAGACAAAGAGGAAACCAGGAATGCTCAAGTACGGGCACATTCCTGGGCGGGCTCGTTTCACCCTGCGAAACATAGCTTAAGTGAGGCCAAACCAATCAGAAAAATCCGCCTGGCACCCCCAGCAACCACCCTTCGCCGGCTAACCCTGCACTTTAAACCCCTTGAATTCTTTGGGGCGAAAATCCCCACCGCGGGTCCCGAAACTTGAGCCCGAGCACTCAGCCTCAGACCACCAACCCCCGAAAACCTGAGAGCTCGGGGCCCCATGGCTAAAGCGCTGTTGACAAAAACATCAGCTGCCGCCCAAAAGGCAAGTCTGGCCGATGGGTTTTGCATCCCAAAAAACAACGCGACTTGTGGCATGTCCATTTCTCCCAAATGGACCATAGAAAATGGAAGTTTGGACCGAAAGCAGAATCTAGAGTCGAAACTCCCACCTCCTTTCTATCCATCTCCTCACTTCCTGAGTGGACCGGCCAAACAAAGTACCCAAAAGCTTGTGTTTCGCCACTCAAATGCTCCAAGCCCAAAAAAGTGACCATCAAGCCCATGGCCTCCGGATCTGAGCGAGTCCCACCCCTTCTAATCCAAGTCCGCCTGTGCAAATAGCCGGCATAGCCCGCTGCCAGCGTCAGGCCAAAGGCGACGATCTGCTGCCGCTCCATGCCCAAGGAAAGCGGATGAATTCAGCCACAGCCACAGCCAGCGGTCGAGGAATGTCATGTGCTTTGTCTCTGTCAAGCTGTGAGTGGAAACAAACTCTTCGCTCGAGTTTTTGTCTTTTCCTGACTGCAAAGTCAAGTATCTGATTTTGCCTTTTTTTTGTGAACTCGGTCGTGAAACGGGCTCCACGCCAACTTGGGCCTCTAAGAAGAGGCTTGAGCCAAGTCGGATCCCACCCCATTCTATTCTCGCCTCGCGGAACGCGCGTGCCCGAATCTTGATCACGTGATTGCAACATGTCTTTTGGACCAGGCGCAAAGGAAACCAAAAGAAGGATCTTCACAGAACTCGGCCACCTGCATCGACGCACCTTGTCACCCTCGACTTCAAGTTTCAATGGGGGTTCCCGCGCAAGCAGCGGAAAGTGTTCAGCACTGGAGGGTAAAGTTCAGAGTGTCTCACTTTTATGGGCCTCGTGGGCTGATCGCTCATAGTTTGTATACGTCCTTGTTTGCTTACAAAAGGCGTTGCCCGGAGGTGGCTGATCTATGCTTCAAACATCCATGGCAAAGCAGAAGGGTTTGAATACACTTCAGACTGCTTCATTCAGCATGCACATACTGCAAAAGCAGAGGGAGAGGGAGCCGGAGAGGGAGAGAGAACAGGCTGCATAGGTCTACGGAAGGCCAAATCCACAAACTGCAGCCCAGAAAAAGAGAATAAGTGGCCCAAAAATTGAAAGATGGTTACTAATCCAAATCTGGGAATTGCGCCAACTTTCAACTGCAAAGTAAGCTGGGTGACCCAAATCGCTCACGAAATGCCATCTGCGTTCCAACCAACATCAGAGAGCCATGGTCTTGTTCTTGCAAACTGCATCTTTTTTTGGCCGGCTGAAAAAGCGGAAAAAAAGATGGGAAAAAGCGAACCCCTTTTTGGGCCCGCAGGGGGGGGGAGGGAATTTCCTGCTTCACAAAGCCCCTCGGGTGGGGTAAGGGGTGAGAAGCCGCCTCTCCATCACCTGGAAGATCGACGCCATGGCGTTCGAAGCGTTCGAAGCGTTCGAAGCGTTCGAAGCTTCGCCACGGAAAAGGTCCAGTGACTTACGCCCAGAGCTCTGGGTCACGATGTTGACTGGGGCTTCTCAAGGTCGGCTGACTGGATTTTCCGTTAACATACTTACAGGGTTGACTACTTTCATCCGCCGTTTACCCGTAAAACAGAAGAATGTGCGGTGAACAAAAAACCCAAATAAGGCTTCTGTCCTGATTCTGGTACAACTACACCGCTTGCTGGGTCAGACTTAGATCCCTCTGCGAAACGTGGACTTCTTGCTAGAAAGGAAGGACATGAAGGGAAAAAAGAAAAAAATGCTACGCCTCGCAGTGCTACCAAACATCTTTTGCTCTTTCGCTCTTGAGCCTGGCCTGAGCGGTAACTCAACGTGTCCCGGCGCCGGAGGGGCGTCTCCCGTTCTCCCGTCGCCTGTTTTCAGATCCGCTGGAACTGAAAACTTTTGGTGGGTTAAATGGAAGCCCCCACACAACCCTAAAATGCCCCAAAAGCCAAGGAGCCGGATGGCTGGGAGCCACCAAGTAAGGGTAAATAAGGGAACATGGCTGTGAAGGTTTGCATAGACCTTGCCAAAGACTTGAAACCTAGTGGAACCAACTACTAGCTGGCCACTCGCGGTTTTGGGCGCTGCTCAGATGAAGGAACAATTCGGAACTTCGTCCATCCACAGTATCAGTTGTTCCACAACAAGGGCATGGGAACATTGTCAATGTTGTCAGCTCAGTTGCTCAGATACTCCAGGCATTCTCGTCACGGACGAGAACGGTTGTAAGATACTCGCACCTAAAGAGGACTCAAATCCGCTCAATGCCCGACCGTTCCAATTAAACTTGGAGAGCAAGAGCCCCAGGGTTGGGCCAGTCCGGTTGTGTTCATCAAGATGAATCATGGTGTCGGTACAAAAGGGTCCAAGGCTCCGACCAAAGAAATGCCTCATGTTTCTTGAAAGCACTGGAAATGCTCTATGTTCAGTCAATGCTTCATAATTAGCTATTCTGCAAAAGAAAGTCCTTTTGGATGAGACCCCGGTTTTGACCCAGCCAAATGCTTGGTCGCTGTTGACCCCCCTGCAAAAAGCTTAACTCTTTAGGGGTTTAGTGGAAAACAATCATTTATTCCCCAAAACAAGTTGAAGTCTAAAGATCCGTTGCCCAATAGCAGTCAAGAATGTCTCTCAGAACCTTTTCGAGCGTCTTTCCTTCCGGCGGCTCCGCTTCGCTGCTCCCGCTCCGCTTGGGCGCCGGCCCCGATCTCCTGGAAATCCCGCAGGCTCGCCTGGATCGCCTTCTGCAAGTCCTCGTCCTGCAGCGGGGGGGGGGGGGGAAAAAACGAGACTCTTCGCAAACGCCGCAAAAAATCCCACGCGCGAAAAACTGGATCCCACCAGGTCTTGGGGTGGGACTTGTTTTTTGCAAATCAGGGAAGTAAGTAGGGGATCCATGGGAATTCTCAGCAGCCGAGGCGTTGGACAACTTGATTGGATGTTTTGAACATAAGGGACATCGGGATCCACCAAAATATCCCGAAAACAAGAACTGGATCCCTAGGAACCTTCATGCGTCGCCCGGCTGGGGAACCCAACAGCTGGCTGTGAAACAGCTGCCAAAGGGAGACCGGTCTTCAAGGAACACCCTCAGGTAGCTGCGCATGCGAACTCTGCAGCACTGACCACTGGGCTTCTCCAAAGGGGGAGGGTCTGTGTGTGTGTGTGTACGTGTGTGTGTGTGTGTGTAACAGTGTGTATAAGTGTGTATACGTGTGCGTGTGTACGTTTGTACGTGTGGTACCCTCCCTCCAATCATCATGGAAGCTGCTAGCATGGTTTTCGAAGACGAAAGCTCTGCTGAAGTCTTCGTCCACTCACATCGGAAAGAGGTACTGTTGGGTTGAGACGGTAGATGAAACACTATTCCGACCCACTTGGGTCACTCGTCATCGCCTTTCACCCAACTCATTCGTGCCATCTACTTTCACCCCAACCTCCCCTGTTTCCCCCGAAAGTATCCAAAAAAACACGCCCCGCTCCAAGCCCTCGCGTCGATCCTCCTTGGCCTGCAGGAAGCTCTGCGTCTCTTGCAGGGACTTCGCCAAAGGCGCGGGAGCCTGCTTCTCGTGCGCGGAGAGCGGCTGAGGCAGTCTGGGCATCCCGTCTTTGGCCTCCAAGTTGGGTTCAGTTTTTTCTGGGATCCCATTTTAAAAGTTATAATAATAAGTGCGAAATCCGTTCGAATCACGATGGTTGTTGGTATTCGCAGGCGGACTCATCATTATTGGAAGGTTTTTTGGGTGGTGCAGGACTTCCTCCATCCACTGTATTTTCACGCGTATGGTCAAACGAAGGCTTCTCAGAATACGTCTGCAAAATGGTAGGGGCGTCCATCCCTTTCCCATCCAAAAGGGGGTCCACCATTTTGAGAAACCCCAAGTTGTTGCAAGACATCCTCAAAATGATCCAAGCGAAAACGCTGGTTTGAAGGGAAACGAAACAAGCGAGTATAGGTCAAATCTAGTACATCCTGGAGATGACCCGAGCCCAAAGGGCCCAAGCACCTTAGGGCCCCTTGAACGCCCTCCCAGAGGTGGTTTTCGAAAAGTTGACGTTTGTATTACTTTCCAAACCTGTGTTTGATAAGGGAAAATGAGCGTGGAGCCTTTTGGGGGGTTGGGGGGGGGGGGGCGGATCCTGAGAGGTGTGTCTCTCTCTCTCTTGCATGGGAATCCAGACCAAGCTGGTGGCGATCAAGGCACCGCCGTGCATTCATTTCAACACACTCCGCATGTAGCTCTTCATCGCTATCCGAATGGTCTGGCTCAAATCTTGGGCATGCCAATCCGGGATATACCAATAGACGAAACCTGTGGAATGCGCACATGCTCACATGTGGATACTGTGGCTGGACAAAATCCACGCCAGACACCTGTGGGGATTGGTGGCTTGTCGACCAGAAGGGCTTCATCCATCCCAGCTGGCGCGACAGAATTCTGTCCATCCATACTGCACTGCACCTCACTTGCTGAGTGGATGGCCCAAAAAATGTCCAAACTGTATATTTACCACTAAAATGGTCTTCCCAAAAAGTTTAAAGTTCATGAACTCAGGAAGTGAGGCACATTGAGCGCGAGTCCCAAAGCAGGCCACAGCTAAGGGTTGCCAATGCAGCCGAACAGTGACTAGTAGAGACTCTTAGCGACTTGGGTGTTCAGTTCGCCAAGTTGGTAAGTTCTTGGCTTAGGTTATCGCCCACTTCTAAGTCTCCAGCCCCGTGAACTTGCGGTTGCCCTTGTTAGGGGGTCGAGATTACCCCCCGATTGTGGCGATCCCCACCAACACTAACTTGGCCGGCCGACATCCGAGCTTACCATGAAGGACCATGTCAAGTGCAGTTCCTGGATGGTCCGAGCAGCTCGGGTCCCTGAGTTTTTGAGGGATACCCTTTTCAGCTTGGTTTACGTTTTTTCTTTCTTCCCCCGAGATTCCGATTTTTGAGCCTTTGGGTCAACACAGATACCAGTTCGAGCTCCCAAACAGCCCCCAAGCCAGCTGCGTCAAACTATGTTGGCATCCCTGTTCAGCAAAAGGCATTTGGCTGCCGGTGCTTGTTCTTGAATCGGGTATGTGCCAAAATCAAATGAGCCCCCATTTGGGCTTCGTTCCAAGATCTCAATGACTGGTTTCAAATATTGCAACTTTGACAATCTGCGCAACCAACACATCTGTTGAAGATGTGCCAGTACTGGTGTGTGTGTGTGTGTCAGTGGGATGCGGAAGTGAAACGACTCAATCCCCGTGCCCTTCTTGCTGTCCCAGGGAGAGAGGCCGTCCTCAACTACCGCCTCGCGAGGCGAGCGTCATGGAAGTGAGGTCTGCAAGACAAGGGTGTGGCTCAAATTCGCCTCGGCCCCAAAGGGGCCAAGGGCGCTCAGATCTCTTCTCCAAAGAGAATCTTCGCTTTTCCCCTCCCCCAACCCCCTCCCCACCCAAAATTTTGCCGGGCCGCCCCCCCCCCCCACCCCCCCCCACCCATGTCGGCTGGCCCAAAATCCTGTCCGGCGGGCCTTGAAATTTTCGGGGTTCGTCGGCGTCCAGCTCCATGGGTCCATTTTTGTCGAAAATGTGCTGACAATTGCTAAAAAAATGCTTTTTTGTCCTGAAAAGCATGACCTCCTGAGACTAGGCTCAGGCCCAGCCCAAAGCCCACCAGCCTCAGGCCCAAGCTTCAGGCCTACCCCAAGTCATCCAGCAAGCCCAGCCCAGCCAGGCCGGCCCCAAGGTCAGGTTTGTCTAACGTGTCTGAGACTGGCCTCAGGCCAATGGTGTCTGAAACTGGTCTCAAGCTATGCCAGCCACCAAGCCCGTCTGACGTGGCCCAGCCCTCAGTCCGGCTGCCCAAGCAACTCAGCCCAGGCTGGCCAGACCTTGACCTCCTGCTCGCGTCTGGCCCCAAATCAGCCAGCAGGCCCCGTCTCAAAGTTTGCCAGCCTGAGACTAGCCTCAGGCCCAGTCCCTCAGCCCGCCTGCTGGCGTGTCTGCGACTGGCCTCAGGCCCAGCCCAGCCAACTCGCCACCCAGCCTCAGGCCCAAGTGTGTATGAAACAGGCCTTGCCCATCCAGCAACCCGCCCAAGCACAGCTCAGCCCAGCCCGCCCAGCCCAAGTTCCAGGCACAACCAGCAGCCTGGTCCGGCTGCCCGGCAGCCAGCAACCCACCCATGGCTTCGCAGCCTTGTGGCTGAGACTAGCTTCAGGCCCAGCCCAAAAGCCTGCCCAGCCCAGGCCCCAGCGCATCTCAGAGCATGCCAGCCACTACCAGCCCCCAACTCCCAGACCAGCAGGCTCAGCCCAGTGTGGTTTGTCTAACGTGTCTGAGACTGGCCTCAGGCCAACGACCAGTCTGAGACTGGTCTCAAGCTATGCCAGCTACTCAGCAGCCCAGGCTGACCAGGCCCCTTCAGCGCAGTCTGAGACTGGTCTCAAGGTATGCCAGCCTGAGACTAGCCTCAGGCCCAGTCCCTCAGCCTGCCTGCTGGCGTGTCTTACGTGTCTGCGACTGGTCTCAGGCCCGGCCTGGCCAGCAACTCGCTACCCAGCCTCAGCCCATCCAGCGACCCGCCCAAGCACAGCTCAGCCCAGCCAGCCGAAGTTCCAGGCGCAACCAACACCATAATCCAGCTGCCCAGCACCACCCATGGCTTCGCAGCCTCGTGGCTGAGACTACCTAAGCCAACCCCACCCAAGCCCACCCGGTTTGAGACTCGCAGGCTATCTAGCGCCGAGACTGGGCCTCACCAGCCTGGGCTCAACTAGCGTCTAGCCCAGCCCCAGTCCGCCTGCTGGCCAGGCCTGTCTGACGTGTCTGAAACTGGCCCAGCCATAGCCCAGCCCCCTCAGTGCGGCTGCCCAGCCCGCCGTAAACTAGCTTCAGCTCAACCAACAACCCACGCAAGCAAGGTCCAGCCAAGCTGCCCGAGACTAGCTTCAGGCCCAGCGCAGGCTTATCTGATGTGTCTGAGACTAGCCTGTGGCCCAGCCCAACCAGGCGAGGCCGGCTTGTCTGACTTGTCTGAAGCCAGCTTCAGGTATTCGGACCTTCCCAACACTGGATTTCGGTGTTCCTGACCCTTCCCTCAAACTAGGCTGGGCCGAGGCGGGCAACGCGAAGCGTTTACAATTAAGCAGGAGGGGCAAACCGCAGGTTTTGGTCCATGTTTCCACTTACCAGGGTTGCATTTTGGCACCGGCTTTTTGAGCCACAGCCACAAGGTCCGTCATAAGACACAACAACAAAAATGCGCCTTTGCAGCGCTCATGTATGCTCATGTGAATCGGTTTTGGGGGACCAAGGGGATGTCCACCACTTGTGAGGTGTCTCCCTATTGGAATGCATAGCCATGTCTCAAGACGGCCAGGTCTACCCCACAATCAAAAGCCTGGCCAAAGTCTAGGATCGCTTCTGCCTGGAAGATGTTGTTTTTTCTTTTTCTTTTTTTTTCTTTTTTTTTCGGGGATCCAGAATGCTGAGTGTCCTTTAGTTTCCTTTCAAAACAAACCCAAAAAAGGGGTACCAACTCCAAAAAGAGACGCACCCATCGCCATTGACCGGGAAAACGGTCTGTCTTCTCTGGGACTCGCATGCGAGAGCGAGATTCCCCGTGCGAGGCAACCCACAAGGAAGAGCCATCGGAATCCGAATCAACACACGGACTCGCTTAACTCAGCGCTAAACATCGCTTTCGAACATGGCCCTTGAGAACTCCTTTCAAACCGGAAGCCGACTCCTGAGGGTTCCAACCAAAAGTAAACTCAGGCCGAAAAAATGGGAACTTTCAAGCAAAATGGAGCTAGACAAAGTGCAACAAGATCGTGTTTGAAGCCTTTGTTCCTTCTGGTGTTCGATAAAACCCAAAAAAAAAACTTGTGAACTTCTTGGTGTTGTTGAAACCTTTTGACTTGTTGGTGTTGTTTGAAACCTTATTGACTTATTGCCTGTTGTTCTTGAAGTCTTATCAACTTCTTGTCTTGTGGAAACCTTATTCACTTGTTATTTGCTTGCAACTTGCTGTTGTTCGGAAACCTTATCGACTTCTTGGGCCTCTTTGAAACCTTGCTGACCTCTTGACTTTTGTTGACACCTTATGAGGCACAAGCAGGATCAACGTCAAGCTTGGCTTGCTTCGCCCTTATTGACTTATTGTGTGTTTGAAACCTGATTGACTTCCTCTTCTTCTTCCTCTTCCTCTTCCTCTTCTTCTTCTTCTTCTTTTGAAACCTTATTGGTTCCTTGCCACCTTTTTCACTCGTTGACCTCCCCTTCCCGCACTGCCACCAGCATCACTTCCAACTCGAAGCCCCCCCAACCCCCGTCGAAGCTTCGACTAGGTCCTCCAGATTTGAGAGGTTAGAATAAGTTGGTGCCATCCTTTTTGCTCTCGTCTATTTTTGGAAATTCGGTTCGGAACCCTCCCGACCAAAAAACAGCTACGGGTAAAGAGGGGCCACCCTTCGCTGGGGGACCGAGGGTTCGCGTCGGGTTCGCGTCGAAGCGCCTGCACCCAGGCCGGGCTCACCAGCTTGGCGCTCCGCACCGCCCGGGCCTCCAGCCACAGCTCCTCCCACTCCTCGGGCCGAAGCGCCGAAGCGCCGAAGCGGGCCGCCCCGAGGCGGACGTTCGAAAAGCCGACGGACGGACGTTCGACGGACGGGCGTTCGACGTGGCCAAGAAGAAACATGGCCGGTGTTGGGTGGGGTCGGTGGGTCTTCCACCAAAAAAGAAGAAAAGAAAGGTTTCCTCTAAAAAAAGAAGCCAAGAAGATGTGGTGTTCCTGCTGCTTTTCCTGTGTGTGTCCCTTGACAAGCAACGAAAAGGGGGGTACCCTCTAGGAAAAAAAGAAGGGGTTCACCTGCCGGAGCCTGGGTTGGAGGTTTCGGGGCCCCAAAGGCCCAAACCCATACGAATCTCCCATTGGTTTGGAGGATGAGACTCGCTCCTCTGCAAAGCAACATGGAGCCCCCAAACGGGGGGCTCCAAGGATTCCGCAGCATGCACATTGCTAGGTTCCTGAATCCGGGAGAAAGAACGGTGGACCCTGTTGTGGGTACTAGATGTCGGTTCTATGCCTTCACTTGGTGAGGACAAACCATCAATGGCAACCCGAACGCTCATGGAGACCTATACAACAGCTTGTAAGCTCACTTTCTGAGTGTGATGGGCAAAACAGGTCCAAACCCCTTCTCTTTTCCACTGTTTTCTGGAGTTGCAACCCAAAAGCGCCCGCAAAGTCCAACTCGTGATAAACGACCTTGTAAATGGGCAAGCCCCCGCGGAAAACGGTCGCCAAGCTGCGGTCATGCTGTGAAAAGCTGTGGGCCTTCGGCTTCCGGGGCGTGCGCCATGTAACTGGGTCAAAAATGGTGGCCAAAATGGCTTGCCCTGCCAAGACCTGTCCATTTCCTGGTGGTTCAATTTTTTGACCCATATTCATATCAAGATGGGGCCCAAAGCGGGGATCTCTCACAAGGAGCTTCCTCTTTGAAACGGCGCAATTTTGGGGGTCTGAAATGTACGCCAACAGTATCCAACATTTGCTCGCAGTACCGCAGGGTTTGCCCTTTCGGCACTTTGGGAGGAAGAGTTGAGGGATCCCCTACAAGTGTGGAAACCCTCTTCAAGGGCCCTCGCATCCCCCCTCCCCTGCCCTGAATGCAGAAACGAGGGCTAGTCTGAGCCGAGATTCTGAATGCATCTTCAGCTGCCCCTCTCCGGGAAAGACCTGAGTTGGTTCATGCTTACTTGTTCGCTATCAACTTGGTCTGCTGATTGGAGTTGGTGGTTGATGCTCAACGGCTCCGGGCGTTGCCGGTTTAGATTCTTGTTATGACAACGACGAGTTGTGACAGACACGGATGCTCCAAATATTGCAAGTAAACCAACCATACCCAACCAAAAAACTATGGCAAAATGCAGCAATTGAAAGTGCTTCCCGGTTCCCTCACTTTGCAATGTTTTGGGCATCAACCGGAGCTCGGGAAATTTGTTCCTGAACCCTGTGTCCCTGCCATGACCTTGCACCCCTGGCCATTGAAAAAAACAGCGGCGGATTCCCCCATGCAAATCATATGCCCATATAAGCTAGCAGCCAATGTCGATGTTTCTATACACAAATATGTTGTGTACAAAACCGAAAGAGTCGCCAAACATATACTACTGCGGGTGAGACAAAATCCTGCTACGAAAGTCCAGAAGAGAAAAAGAGCTCCCCCTAAATAACAACATAAGAGCCATCGGTTTCAACCCATGGCTCAATTCACGTGTTGCGCACGGCTTTGGGCCCAATCCGTTCTGAGTGCCGGGCTCCGTGCGTTGCTTCACTCAGCACCACAGATCCGCCCAGGGCCTTGACCACCTGCTCCAAGTTCTCCTCCAAGGGAAGCGAGTCAGAGGACATGGGCAATCCATGACCCCACCAAAAAAGCGGGGCAAGTCCTTAAGGTACCCAATTTTGGCAAACCCACTGTTTCAGCTTCCCCCTGTCTGAAAAATTGGTTCACCAGCAGAAAGGGGGAAGCGTAAATTACGAGGACATCGGAAATCCCAAAACAACGGCCAAAAGACAGGAATCTTTTCCTGAGGTACTCAGCTTCGGGGAATTCGGAAAACCATCCACAAACGTGCAGAAAACCTCCTGAGGTACCCAATTTTGGAAAACCCAAGAAGGGCACCCCTCCTCCCAAAACATATGTATATGTATATGTACATGTACATGTATATGTATATGTATATGCATATATGTACATGTATATGTGTATGTATGTATGTATGTATGTATGTATGTATGTATGTATGTATGTATGTATGTATGTATGTATGTATGTATGTATGTATGTATGTATGTATGTATGTATGTATGTATGTATGTATGTATGTATGTATGTATGTATGTATGTATGTATGTATGTATGTATGATGGATGGATGGATGGATGGATGGATGGATGGATGGATGGATGGATGGATGGATGGATGGATGGATGGATGGATGGATGGATGGATGGATGGATGGATGGATGTATGGATGGATGGATGGATGGATGGATGGATGGATGGATGGATGCCTGCATGCATGCATGCATGCATGCATGCATGCATGTATGTATGTGTGTGTGTGTATGTAGAAATGAAAAACCCTGACCAGCCCAAAAAGAGGCCTAAACAAACAAACACGCCCCAAAAATCACTCTCGAAAGCACACACACACACACACATAATATGGTGTTCCACATTTAAACATCAAAGCCATCTGTGATAGGCGATGAGAAAAAGTGTGTGTGTATGAATGGTGGTGTAATCCCCAAAACGGTTCTTTCCCAACACCCGGAAGGGTCATTCCCTACCTATCGCACCACTTGCTGGGTCGAACTTACTTGAATGCGTCTCTTTTTTTCAAACTGGTACCCTCAACAAAAGACACCCGAAAAAGAAAAAAGGAAAAAAGGGTCCCCAGCCACATCCAAAGATTCTGAAGGAGCTTTGGGGCTCTGACCGAAGAACTCTGAGAAATAGCCAAAAAGAAATACAAGGTCCTCCAGTAGCGAGGTTAGAATAAGGGTACCAACTTTTTCTCTTTGGTCGATTCTAGTAGGGGAACCCTCCCAACCAAAAAAACGAAACGGCAAAAAGGGGCACCTAGCTGGGGGACCTAGAATACAAAGTCCAACTGACGTGAGGCCCTTGCAACCATAGGTGTCCTTTTGGAAAAATACATGGCCCTAGTAAATGGAATCAAACCCATCTGAACCAGTGCCTTCTATTTTTAACCAAACTAACCTAAAAAGGACACCTATGATTGCAATCCCTGTCAAAACAGGAGGCACGTGAGGCCTTGTCAGGCAGCATCTCGGACAGGTAGACGCGGACGCCTCGAGAACTTTTTGTCAGCGCTGCAGACCGTTTCTTCCATTTGCTTCAGCCGCCGGGGAAAAATTAAAATATGTCCAGTAGTGAAATCGATTCCTTTGAAAACCAACAAGGGAAAATTCAAAACAAAAAAAGTCTTCTTAAGCGAATGGAAGGTTTGGGCCCTTTTCGCGAAGGCCTAAGATGCATAGACTGCTTCCAAGAGTAAGCCACTGGTTTCAACTTGCTTCCCATCACACATCCTCATAAGGATGCAACATGAACAAAGCTTGCATGCCGTAGGAAAGAATCACCTTGGCCTCAATCACAGCACACTGCACGGTGTGAGTAGCAAATGACAGCCCCATCCGAAAAGCAAAGATAAGACCTGGCAATGCTCGGGCGACATCATGGCCATGGTTCCCATACAAGAAACCCTTAACATGGTTGTCTAAAACGAATATCCCAGGGTTTCATGACCAATGGTAGATGGTGATTCCAATGCAAAGTGATACAAAGATGCTTCAAACCAATCACCAAGACAAAGAAGTGAAGTCAATCGAAGTATCCAGCATCCAAGATTCTCCAAGATGGTTGTTCCTTGTTGTTTCATAATGATTCCAGTTTGGTCCAAGCCTTTCATGAGCCAAAGATGGCCGAAGAGCATTCACCAGTCCGGAAACGCTGAACTCATGCCGTTCACTTGCCATGTCACAAACAGCTATTCTACCTGCTGCTCACATCTTGATCCCAGCTCCTGAATTATTCTTGGAACCAACTCCGCAAGAAGAATTCTCCCTTGAAGGGTGATCAATGGAGAGACTGGCAAAGCATGAAGGCAAAATCGTCGCGCCACTGTCCGATGCGAATGTCTTCACTGGACCCTTCATCGTGTTCGGTCGGCGCCCGCTCATTCTACACAGCGGTTCAAAGCCAACAAAGGCTTACAGGTGGCCTTCGTAAAGCAGGAGCAGTTGGAGTGGGTCTTCAAGCAATTCAACTCGACGATCCACGGGCACGTTCTCTTCAGGAATTCAGCCGTGCATGCCTCGAAGGCTCCCACTGTCCGCGCAAACTCCCTAATATCACCTAGTACTTGGCCGCTCAAAGGGCAATCATCACACATGCAATCGTTGGCCGTGCCACGCGAAGAACCAAAGTTCAACATGGTGTTGCCCAAGTCGTACACGACAGTGTCAATGACGGGACAGCCAGCCAAGCACTCAGCCGTGACCACGCAAAGTTCTAGCAGGAGAATCCTCGACTGTGGCCGCAATGAAAAACTTGTCAGAAGTTCCGAAGCACCTGCAACCAGCTCTTCTAGGTCAAAGGTGTCGGCGGTTGCCACAAGAACCGCTGCATGGTGAGGTTTCATTGCCATTCATACTGCCAAGGCCGAGAGAGCACATCCATCTTGACCCAAAGTCATGGTTCAATGTTCGGGCAACTCCTGGCAATCGCTGGCAATCGCTGAACCACCTAGCCTTTCAATGGAGTAGCTCCAGGTAAAAATGGGCATCTCGACCATGGCGCGGGTGTCGCAAAAATAGGGCGCACACACACACACAAAAAAAAGGCTTTCCCTCGGAAGTGTCTGTAAAACAAACCCGAAAAAGGGTACCGAGCCTCAATTCACAAACCACCCCGAGCAACCACAAGTCCAGCGGGTGTTTTGACCGGAGGGCACTTGGACGAAACGGCAACAGGTCCCATCTCGCCTTCAAACTCTCGCCCCGGCACCGCAGGAAAAGGCCTCAGAGCCGGGGCTGGATCTCTGGAAACTCTGGTGCGTACCCCCTTCAGCTTGGCTCAAAGGGAAACCAAAACGCAAGGAACGGCCATTTTGACGACCAAGTCCCTATTTTGACACACACACACACACAGACACACAGCCACAGAGACGTATGGATAGAATGCCAGTTCTGGCGCAGCTCAGGGCCGCGCTCTCTGCCAGGATCCGGCGCCACTTCTGTCGCTACCACTGCACCTGACATCTGCAAAGCTCAGGGCTCAGCCTCAACCAGACAAAGAATCACATCGGCTCCCATCTTCTCAGCCTGGGCCTCCTTTCTCTTCAGCAACGTGAACGAGATGTCCCCTTTGGGATCCCCGAAAACCCCTCGCCGCGGTTGTCCCTTTGGGACCGTGGCTCAAGTCCTCGGCAAGAAAGCTTCTCGCCTTGATCGGTGAGAGCTCGGGGTTCCGAGCCTGCGAGCCGAATCCTGCGACTTGGGATCTGCCAACATGGTTAGGTTGCTTCCCCTTTCCAACAATCAAGAAGGGCCCCCCAAAAGGAAAATGGTCTTTCACTTTCAAGATCTTGGCGGCGTCCGCCGGAGAGCCACGTGGCCCGACATGGTCAGACAACGCGCCCCACGATGTAGGAAGAAGCAGCAGCGGGACAAAACCGCTCCGTGCGGGACAAAACCGCTCCGTCCGAAGGCAACGAAGACCCGCCCAGCACGACAGCACTGGAACATGAAGCGATGAGGAGGAGAAGAAGGAGGATGAGGATGACGATGACGATGACAATGATGATGGTGGTGGTGGTAATGGTGATGATGGGGATGGGGATGGGGATGGGGATGGGGATGGGGATGGGGATGGGGATGCGGATGGATGGGGATGGATGGCGAGGAGGAGGATGGGGATGGGGATGATTATTCTTTATCAAGAGCATTTGCGTGGTGGTGATGTTTGCTCAGAGAATCTGTCACTGTGCCTCCTTCAGATCATGCAGAAGGGAGATGGCAGTGGTCGTTGGGGCCGATGACAAGGTTGCCTGCCTCGATTTCTTAGCCGGCTTCATCACCTCCACAAACTCCACCCCGCTGTCGCGACTTGGCAAAATCCAGGACTCCTTATTGACTCCCCGGAGAGATCTTCGCTCCGCGCAGAAGTCGAACTCGGGCTGGGGCATCACCTCCGGCTCACAGTGGCGCTGAGCTTTCGCTCTTCGAAGAAAGTGGTTGTTCTCGAGCGCGCCATTGAGCATCGGATCATGGCCATTGGGTCCGATCTCAAGATTGGAATCCACGCACGGAGACCATGACCGGGATCAGGTGGGATTCTTGTTTCGCACCCTTGTGGAACTGAGCACTTAATTCCCTGCACATTTGCTCCTTTCCTGCATGCGATGTCATGTTTCTTCTTTTTTTTGATAAAAAAAGGGGGCCAAAGCCCGATTGTCGGCGATGAAGCTCGTCGGCAAAAGATTGCAAGTGGCCTGTGACACAACGCTCTGCAATGGAAAAGGATTCCGCTGGCTTCAGTTCGGATTGTTGCAACAGGCCAAAGGTACTCTTGTCTGCAGTGGACATGGAAGGGCATTTCGCTTCATTCGCATTAGATTTGCAAGTGCCTCGAAACGGATTGCGCTGTGGAACGGATTGCGCTGGCGCTTTGTTTTCATTGGGCAGGATTGTTGCAGTGGCCTGCGATACCTTTTCCTCGCAGCAGAAAGGCTTAGGCAATCCTTTTTCCTTGCAGTCAGCTTCTTGCGATGCGGGAACGAAGTATCAGATTCCGGAGTCGCAGTCTCTGTTTTGCACGCCTGCGGTCACCCTGCTGACGACCTGCTGTGCCTCGGCACGTGAGGAGGGCTGTGCAGAGGGATCCTTATGCAGCCGGAGCTGTAGCGCCTCGAGAGAGTGAGAGAGAGATGACAACGATGATGATGCTGACTGGGTCGTCCAGTAGAGAGTTTAGAATAAGAGTACCCCTTTCTTTTCTGTAGTCTTTTTGTAGCAGGGGGACCCTCGTAAAAGGCCACTACTGGGGGACCTAGCTGAGCAGGAGGAGGAAGAGGAGGATGGGGATGATTGGGCGGCGCCCACCCAGCCCGTGCCGCCGACCAAAAAGCATGCACGCCCTGGGACATCGCGCGGGTTGTCGCTGAGATGCGGCGCACACTGTCCGCAGTGTCCATGTGCTTCTTTGCCCGGTTCGTGCAACTCGATCGTTGCATTGCCGCCCCAGCCGATGACATGATAAGGTGATGACATGCGCATGGTCCAAAGGCTTCCTCCCGCACTTTTCAAGCGGCAAGGCATCAACGGACCACTGCGAATACCTCAGATCACTAGACACGCCGAACCCCTAAACAATGCTAGTCCTTGTGAACTTGAACTTGTAAATTGAGTCATGCTAAGAAAACAGCATGGTGAAAACCCAAACTGGCCGGTCACCTCCCGGTGACTTTTGCCAGGAGCCTCTCGCTCGCGTCCGCCGAAACCCCGAAAAACCCCGGCCTGGCGTGGGCTTCCTGGGGCGCTTGGCCGCAGGGGCCGGCACCGGTGCTGGGTCACGTCCTGAGGCGTCTTCTCTGGAAATTCCGATGGACCAGGACTCAGCACCTGACTTAATTGTTATTTACAGCCTCACAAGTCACCAAATCCCTCTAACTTGGCCGCAACATTGACTGAAATGATTCTCGCTAGAAAGCTGGCAGATGAATGGAACCACTAGGCTCCCTTCACTTCTGAGTGGGTTGGCCACAAAAGGCCACTAACTTTCTATTTATCCTAGAATGGTCCAAACCCAACAAGTGACTAAAGTCCAGAAACTCAGGAAGTGAGTAGGGATACAGGTTCTACAGTCGTCTTGAATGGTGGAGAATCACATATCAAAGTGGGATTCCCATCCCCATGACAGGGGAGGCCACAAAACCCTACTGTCCACAACCTGGATGTTGTGCAGCCCTGCCATTGTTTGCGGCCTCGTTCGATTGCAGGTTGAAGGACATTCAACAGCCAGACCGATCCAAGCCGATCCCGGACGACACTGGAGCAAACAAATGCTCAGAAATGTGGGCCAGGCATGTGAAGCTGTTCGGGTGATGGGCAAAGACGCGAAACGGGGGGGGGGGGGGCTGTTTTGAGGATAGCCTTTTGGGGGTGTTGAAGGAAAATCGAAGAGAAGACAACCACTTTAGGGCTCCCCGAGCAAACGGGGCGGGGGGGTGTTGTCAAAATTGTAACGCTATCGACGTGGACATTAAGACAAAGACATGTTGTTGCTTTTTTGCTTTTTTAATGATGGGGGGAGGGAGGGGAGGGGGGGGAGGGAGCCCAGATTAGCTCTTAAGCCCTGAACTGGACTCCCCCCCTTTCCTTTCCTCAAACCCCAAACCCCAGGCCCAAATCAAAAAGCCTCCAACTCCTCGGCCTGGGATTTCCGATCTCCCAACGCCTCGCCCCCGACTCCCCGTCCTGCGGCCATGCCTTTGCTGCGCCTGAGCTGCTGCCTCGCCTGGTCGCCGAAGCAGACCTGGCGAGGCGCATGCCTGCCTCACGGCTGGTTTTGGACGGGTCGAAATTCATGCGTCAATGTGTGTTGTTGTTCTTGTACAATGATGTGATTCAACAGATTGATTTGGTTTGTGGAGTTTTCTTTAGTGTTGTTCGTTTTTGTTGATTTCATGTTAGAATTGATACCAGTTCGCCAAAAAAAAAAAACGTCGATGTTCTGCTTTGTTCTTCAATGGCCCAAGGACGCACTTAGCAGAACAAAAAACAAGAGGAAGCAACGCTGAGGGGCCAACCCAACAACCAGCAAGGCCGTGGTCGTGGATTCCCAAAAGGTGACCACCCTTCTCATTTCCAGTGAAATGGACGTTTGATTGAGGCAGCCAAAACGAGCTGCCCCAGCCCACGCAGTTGCCGCTTTATGTGACCGCAGGTGCCATGCTCAAAACTCCTTGTGCATGATCGTCGGTCGCTTGTCTCGCAGCACGGCGCTTCCCGGATGAATCAAGCACGGTGAGAAATTTACCCTGATATACGCAGAATCAGGTTCAATAGTCCAGTAGAGCGTTCCCTGAATAACCGCTACGGTTCTCTAAAGTCCGTACTCAACCGTACCCGCAACCCTCCTACTTGTTTCACGTGTTTCAACAGCACACACATGTTCCTAGCCCCTGCAACTCCCGCGAGGTTTGCCGCTGGCCAGACCAAATTGTCGCGGGACATGAAAATCAAACTCCTCCGACAGGTTCCCGTTCGGAAAGCGGTCTTTCAGGATCCCCTTGCTGAGATGGGAGGGTGCAAGGAGGGTCCCTTCTAGAGGAAAGCGGCCCTCCGTCAGATTCCAACGCGGATCGGGGTATTGGGTGAAAGTAGATGGCAGAGATCTCGCTCATGGCATGGTTTTTCGTGGGGCCCCCTTTACTTCGCAGGGATTTAGCGCCATCTACTTTCACCCCGTCTTTCTCTGTCCCTTTGTCTTGCCTCCTTCTTAAACTGTGCAATCCTCCTTTCCGATCGAGTGAGCCGGTCTAAGCTTTTGTTTGCAACCCAAATGGGGGGGTCGGCCGTGCTCTTTTAGGTGTACTCCTTGTTCTTGTGGTTTGAAAGACTCCTTTTTTTCGGTTTTTGTTTTAGGAAGGCTTTTATTGGTTTTCTTTTTGGGGGGGGGGGGTGTTTTCTGGCTTTTTTAGGGCTACTCCGGTCTTCCCGAGTCTCAAGACTCCAACGCCTCGCCTTCACGAGGTCCGGGCTCTCCAATTCCAGGCCCACCAGCCGGTGCGCGCTCGAGGCGCGAAAGTACCTGCGCCCGAAGCCTGGCTCCCGTGGCTGTGTTTTTTTTTGTGTTTTTTTTCTTCTTCTTTTTTTCTGGGGAGGTGCGTATGGACCTAGACTGATCAACGACTTTTTAAGGGAAGTGTGGCAGCGAGTTTCTATTTCTTATCCATCTGTTGGCGTCCGGTCTTGGCGAATCAGCAAAGACTTTCAAGCCTCTAACGAAATCATTCAGGAAACCAAGCCAGCACACGTTTACATCACGGGGGCTGGGGGGGCAGGGAGCCCAAATAAGCCCTAATAAGGCCTTATTAAGGGCTTATAAGGGCTTATTTGGGCTCCCTCGCGCCTCCCCTCCCTCCCGAGCCCCCATGACTACAGTGCCTCTCAGGCCTGCATTGCCATCTTTTGGCGTGCGTATCATCCGAGCCACGTGATCGTTTTTGTTTGAGAGCACAAGGATTTCCATCCAGGTGTGCCGTGAAACTGGGGACGAATTCCTTCCTTTTGCAAGGTGCAGGATGTTTGGAAGACCACAATACAAGTGCCACATGTTGGAAACCAGGATGTCCGAAAGCGCATCCCTTTTAACCTGAAACCCCAACCAATTACCCGGAAGCCGCGCCAAAAACCCTGAGCCCGGAGCCTTAAACCAAACTCAAACCAAAAGCCTCAAAATCTGAAGCCTGATTCCAAAAGCTCATAGGTGGCCTTTTCGAAAAATATATGGCCCTTGCGCATGTAATAAAACCCATCTAAACCAGTGCCATCTATTTCTTAACAAACTGACCTTAAAAGGACACCTATGCAAAAGCTCAACCAAAGCCAAAGCCAAAGCCCAAAAGCCTCATTTTGTTTAAGCAGCCTAGCAAAAGCCTCAACATCTTACGCTCAAAGCCAACAGCTCCACCAAACCAACGCCACAGCCCGGCCTCTGGCTAGGTCCTCCAGAGAGGAGAGAATTTCCGGGTACCACCTTTTTCTGTAGTCTATAGTAGGGGACCCGAATCTCCCAACCAAAAAAGACGCTAGAAAGAAAGGGCACCACTCGCTGGGGGACCTCGCTGGCACCCCCGGCGCCGCCCCCCCCCCCGCGCCGGCGGCGCCGGGCGCCTCTGCAGCTCCTCGAAGAGCCCGGCGCGAGGCACCGGGAAGCTGCGCGCGACTTGGGAACCGCCGGCCGGGGTGGCCAAGATCCAGGCGTCGATGTCCTCCCGGGCTCTTGGGGTTGGGGGGTTTTGGGGGAGGGGGGGCAGTTGGGTTGGCGGGGGAGTTTTGGGGGTTTTGGGGGAGGGGGGGGGGTTTTGGGGGGGAAGGCTGGCATGGACACCTGAGACTTGAAGCCAAATGGCTCTGGATTTTAGTTGGAACCTCTCAGAAGTGGACATCAATCCCCAAATGATGTCCAAGTGTTCCCAAATAAAACTCAAACGCAGATCAAAGAATGATTATAACACAGCTGTTCATATCAAGCGAGCTGCGATCAAAACCTTGTATGAACATGGTCTACCCACACCCCATTCTCAGAAATGAAAGCGCAGATTGGGGCACCCATTTGTAGCCCCTACTACCTTCAATCACTTTATGGCTCAGGAGGGGGAACAAACAGAAACCAGGAAAGGTGAGATGCCCGTGATTTTGGGGGTGGGCAAAGCCGGTCAACTACCAAGCAAGCGTCTAGACGGTATTCATGTGTGTTTTTGTTGATCCCCTGAGCAAAATCTGTGCCTGTTTGGGGGGGTGTTGCGGGGGGGGGGGGGGAACGCGCCTTCGCCAGCGCCTCTAGCGCCTTCTGAGCCGGGTGCGGGCGCATGCCATATCGCGGCTCCAGCAATTCCAGCTTCTTTTCTTGGCAAGACAAAAGTTGGATCACTGCGTCCATTGAAGTGACATTCTCAATAGTACCCTCAAAATGGTGGTTCAAAGAGTTCCCCACCAGGTGCCAGAAGAAATTTTGAGAACCACCCACAAACTGCCATGACTTCAAGGGGCCTAGGATAAGAGGACGGCTGGCAGTGGACGAGAAATAGTGCAAAGTAGCTGAACCGCAAGTTTGCTGATCCGCTTTTCACAGCAGCATTCTACGCAAGACCTAGGATATCAATCTGTTCCCAGCATAGTCAAGCGCAAAGACGTCTCAAATCTTACCCAAAAAAATGCGTGTCTAAGCCTGCAGGAAAATCTATGGCAAATCCTTGGACTTAAAGCCCTTAGATTTTGATGGGTCAGGCCCCATGCCCTATAGCCGGTTTCTATGAAGATGCCACGGAGCCTCTTCCTTCTGACTCCTCTAGCCCGGGAGCCAGCGGCCGGGCGAGGCACGGCGCGGTGGCAACCAAATGACGTGGGGGTGGCGGATTTTTTTTGGGGGGGCTCCCCTTTTTTAGCTTTTGGATGGTAAAGAGAGACCACAAGGAAGAGCACCATTTTGCGGGGTCCACAGGCGTCGCCTTCCTTCCTATTTGTTGGGAGGGTATGATTTGGGCATGGGTCAAAATCAAACCGGGAATTGGACTGCAAGCTGTTCGTCCTTGTTTCCATTTACCCAGGCAAGCCATTTTGGGTACCTATGTTTGATCCACACCCATGTTGACACGGGCTGAAAACACAGGAGCCTGGCAGTCACATCGAAGATTCCTGAAAAGAGTTTGGTTTTTGGGAAAAGAGCGTGCTAGTTCCAGAAACACACCAGCAAATGACTATGGGTGGTCAGAAAACTATCATGCTTTCAATCATGTGGTCATGTAGGCAGATAAACGCCGGCATTCCCCGCCCATACCAAGCTCCACTACCCGTAAATAAAATCCCACGAATCTGTCTTTTAGGTGGGTCTTTGGCCAATTTCCTCTAAAAATGTCTGTAGCCACTTTCGACTAAAAGCCTCCAAGCTTGCCGGTCGCGAGGGATTACTGTGAGAAACCACCTACCAACTGGCGCGAAGTGGATTTCGTCCATCCACTGTGTTAGACAAGTCACATACCCATAGGATCCAACTCCCACTTGGCCATGGGTCAAAATCCCGTACCCTCAGTGAACATCCCAATCCCCACTAAAATGGACTAAAATGGGTGGTGCACCTACCCCAAAATGGGATCCCATTGGTTTTGACCCACAGCCACATTTCTCAAAAGGCACCCCTTCCAGCTGGTGCTGCTCTTTGGTTTCCCATCCAAAACGCAGAAACGCGACAGGCGGAGAATGGGCCGATGGATACGGGGGGAGACCTTCTCAACCGACCAGCCGTCTGCGGCCGGCTTGAGGCTGACGCAAAGGCACCTCAGGTGACCGAGGGGTGTGCGTCGGCTTTTCGGGGACGGCCAAACATGGCCGTCCACGGTGTCCCCCTAAAACCAACCAAAAAGGGTTGCCCCAAAAAACTGGTTGATGTCATTTCTAGTTTCCCTTTAAAGCCATCAAAACAGACGAGCCACCCCTAGACTCAAGGCCCCCTAAACGCCCCACAATCCAGGAAACGTTCTTAGAACCTGCTGACGGGGTCCTGGGTGTGGGCCTACACAGCAAGGGGGGCAACAGTGACTCTTGGTATTAGGGCCTACTGTGGATGGACGAAATCCTGCACCCCCGTTCAGAAACCCTGGTTTCCGAAGATTCCCCTGTAATTGGGTGTGGCTCAAAATGAAACAGGAGGGGCAAACCGCAGGTTTTGGTCCATGTTTCCACTTACCAGATAAACCCATTTTGGTACCGGTTTTTTGAGCCACAGCCAATTAGCAAGAAACCATCGCTGCATGGTGCTGGATTTTTTCTGTCCATCCACAGTATGGCGGCCATTAAGGACCCTGAAGCACCATGAGCCTCCCGTGGCTGCCTGCGTTTTCTCGCTCTGCAAGGCGCGCCACTAGGGCAGAACTCAAAAATGGACTTAGTTAGGGCTTATTTGGGCTCCCTCCCCTCCCCTCCCTCCCCTCCCCTCCCTCCCCTCCCTCCCCTCCCCTCCCTCCCCTCCCTCCCCCCCACCCCCCGTAAGTATCAGCTCCCTCTAATTGGCTCGGATGGTTTCCCATTTGCCCTGTGCAAGAACCAAGGGCTTCAAATCCCCAAGCCACTCCAAACCACCGATTGAGGCCTCACGGAAATCCAGTCGAAAAACCGATGCCTCAAAAGGGGCCGCGACATGGCACATCATGTCATCCAGATTGGCAAGCTTACATGTGGGTTCAAAGTACCAACTACGAGAAGCCCAACGCTTTCCCAAGCTGAAATGCAAGACTTGATCATCGCCTGGGTGACCTGCATGGCTTTTCACGAATGGCTTCCTTTCGGGTTCTTTTCAGATGCGGAAAACACGAGCGATCAGAGCCCGTTGATTCGAAGCCCGAACTGACATGTCGCGCAGAGGGCTTCGGATTGGTGTCCTCTCCTGGCTTCAAGCCATCAAATAGCGACGCCGACATGGGCTTCACATAGGTGGCCTCTTGGAAACATAGATGGCCCTGGTAAATGGAATAAAACCCATTTAAACCTGCGCCTTCTATTATAATAAATCTAACCTGAAAAGGACACCTACGGTGTTCCGGTTTTCCTTTCGGTTCCCCAATGAATAGGGTACCAAAGGTTCCGTCGGACAGTGTTTCGCGCATTGCTGTCGCTCCCCCAGGTGCCACACGCATTGACCTGGCCCGGACCAAGTCGCAGTTCGTTCCGGGCAAACGCTGCAAAATGAGCAGAAGGAACCCGAGGGCAAGCATTGCGGGTTTGTCAGGGGGTTCCCTCAAAAAAAAAAAACTCTGTACATGAGGGGGTGTCCCATGTTGAGCTGGGGAGAAGAGATTGAATCCAAGAGCCTTGACTGCAAGGCCAGGATGGGAGGTTGGTGTCGTGTCGAGGGTTAGAATCCCTCTCTCGCGATTCTTGCACAACAAAGTGAACCCATGCTTTTCAAGGGTCTCGGTGTTCAGATGTTCGTTCGTCCTTCGCATGATCATTTTTCAGTCCCAAGCATGGCCTCAGTCAGTGATCAACAACTGGCTCTCAGCGATCACATAAATTGAACTATCACCAGCCCCTTCTTGGATTCGCGGCCCAGGTGCATGGAATTCGCCACAAAACGAAATAAGCGAAAAACCTTCAGTACCATTGAAATCAAGAGTGCAGGCAAAGCGCCCTCAACGTGAATCGAAGTCACTTTCTGCTCCGTTTCATTACCTCCCTCCTGATCAAATGTTGGTAGTCTACTCAAAACCATGCGCTTCTCTTTCTGGGCACTGCTCCTGACCCAGGTGTTAGCTTGTAGAACCTGTTTGGAAGTAGCTGCCGTTTGCTTTCCTTTTTTCGAAGCAGGTCCCCTTGTTGCAACAGCGCCTGGAAAGGAGAATGACTTTGTGTTTGAGGGTCCCTTGTTCCCAACCGAAAGGGAAACAGTCCCATGCTTGGGCTCCGCTATTTGACACAGCTGAAGGAAAGCAAAGCCTCTCTTCAGAGCCGTGTGAGAGCTCCACCCACCACACGCCCGCGCCGACGGCTACACCCCCCAGTTACATGTTTTGCAAGCTCCCTAAGTAGGCTCACCAACTTAGATTCAGACCGTGAAGCCAACTTGTCATTGCTTACATGTCCCAGGTGGTCCCTGCACCATTTGAGTATTGGTATGTGTCAGAAAAGTAGGATCACCTAAAATGCTGGGTCTCGTCTCGGTTCCCTTTCAACCAACTTGAAAAGGAGCTCTCTCAGAAAAACACACACACAACGACACACACACACACACACGTGTATCCCAAACTGGGGCATCCTGCGATGGAGATGTCGTCATCCCGGCGTCGGGCCTCAGGCCCATTCTGAAGGAGACGTGGGAACTCTCAAAGGAATCCTCAGGTTAGGTGGCTCTCCACTGAGCTGCGCAAGCCGAAGGGTTGGTCAAACCTTTCCAGTCAAGGTGTGTCCCAGCTGCTTTCATGAGACCGGGCCGTCCACCAGCCCACTGGGGCTCGTGAACAACAAAAACATGAAACCCGCCATTCGATGATACTGTGGGCGGAAGAAAACCATCTCGCACCACCGCTCAGAACCCTGGAATCGATTCCCCAACGAAAACACCAAAAAACCTTTGGGTTTTCTTCCATGGTTTCATTTCGTGGTGCAGGATTTCGTCCATCCACAGTAGGGTGGGTCTACCAAGGCCATGCCGAAGAAGAAAAAAACACGTTGAACCATCCGTCCCAAATGTCCGCCCCAAACTTCCCCGGAACTCCGCGCGCCGGCGAACTCGCGGACTCGCGGACTCGCGGCGCCAGCTTTTTGGTCACTTGCCCAGAAGCCAGGACCGCGCGAAGGAGCCAGACCTTTTGCCTGGCAACTCACGGCAGAAAAAACGGCAGGGCAAAACCTCCTTGTCAATGCCTTAGATGTTCAACCCACGTCAGGTTAGGTGATAAGCATAGTTACATAGCTGCCTGCTTTTGATCATGACTATAACCTACTTCACTGTGATGGTTGAAAACCCACTTAGCAAATGGGTATGTGCATATACATGTATATATAATATATATATATATATATAGTATATATAGATATACATACAACATGTATATATGCATATACTTCTAGATTTGCCCACTTGCCATGAGTATAGGCTACAATCTACTTGCTCGGGGCCAAGATCATGGCCTGCGCGACTCGGGATCCATCGGGGTCGAACATCGCGTCTGCGGAAGCGGGGGACCAAAGGAAAGTGACGTGATGTCGATGCGGGCTCTCGAAGTGCTGGAGATGGACTGGGTCCTCCAGATTTGAGAGGTTAGAACAAGTTGGTACCAACCTCTTTTCTCGTGTCTGTCTATTTTAGTAGGGGAACCCTCCCCCAAAAAAGGGGTAACAGGGCACTACTGGGGGACCTAGTGGAGTATAATCATAAAGTGGTGCTTGGAACATGACCCGAGGGACTTGTGCAGTGCTGAAAACCCTTTATGCGGCACGGAGTCTGCGGTCTCGCGACTGTCGATCCGGCAAGCAAGGGCACCTTGTCCCAGAAGTCACGTAACCATGACAAACCAGAGAAGAACACCGCCTACCCCTCTATCCCATCTATCTCATCAAGCATCGAAAGCATGTCAGTGCAAATGTTGATCCCGGTCGAAGTAAAATTAGGAGTTAGCATGGGCAAAGTGCGAACAAAGCACTTGGTGTGCGAGGGTCAAACGTTGGCGTTTTCCGCAAGAATAGCCACGCAAGGCAAAAGGGGAGAAACGTCCCCCAAGATGTAGGCCACGGCCATGCTTCCATGGTTGTCTAGCGCGTGCATGACCACCCTCTAGCAACCCCACATAAAAGCGTTGTTTGACACACGCACACATGGGCTCCTGGTAGGATCAGCTTTGATGCTGACCCATCTTCACAGAGCTTCCACAAAAAGTGTCCTGATTCCTGACAACTGCCCATATGTGCAAGACTGGTGGCTTGCAAAACGGAATTTGCGTGAAAAAAAAAGCAACCCCAAGAAGTGTACCCTCAAAGAAACACCCCCCCGGTCCACAAACCCGCGCCTGACTTCCCCAGCGACGGGAAGATGATCCGCACGGGGTGCGACCGGTCCACGCGCTGCCAAAGGTTGCCCTTGCCCTTGCCGAGCCCTGAGCCAAGAGCTGTCGGAAAGCAAAGGCCCACGGCAAGCACCGATGGCGAAAGGGTCTCCGGTGCCCCTCTCAAACCAACTTGGGTTCCTTTTAGCTTCCAGCCCTAAGGATTCGGCCCAAGGGCCGCAGTGACTCGCATTCTTGGAAGGCTTCTTAAGGGTTCTAAGGAGCCATTGGAGTGATTTGCCCTAACTCTAATTTGGCGATCTTTGCCGGAAGACCATCATGAACCAGGTTGAAAGAGACAGGCTTTTCAAGGAACGATGGGTGGAACAAACAAAACTGGAGTCGGTCGAAAATAGGCAAAAGACTCTTTGGATGGTCTTCAAAAAGGAAACCCGCCATTTGTGGGGGGGGGGGGGGGGGGGGGGAAATTATTGGCTCTGCACCCATTTCGCAAGGCGAAATGCACCGAGCGGCCAGGCCCGGTGTTTACACAGGGAGCCCGCTGCGGGCAGAGTCCCTTCAGGCTCAAAAGCCTTTGTTGAGGGGCTTTTGACATGGAGGCGGTTGACATATGGGTATGGCTCAAAAAACCGGAATACCAAAATGGGTTGCCCTGGTAAGTGGAAACATGGACCAAAACCTGCGTAACCCTAGCTCTTGAATTTTGAGCCACAGCCATATCAAGGTAAACCTAAGGGTTTCACCCACCATTTGAGGTTGGACAGACCTGACTGCATGAAGCAACCGCAAGTCTGGAACAAGGCTTGCGAGCAACACATGCGACAACGCTTCGCCACGCGCCTGTGGTGATCCAGCTGGACTGCTCGTTGCAATAGATCCTGACGAATCGCGCTGCAGGTGTCCAACTCTCACAGGCTTCCAAATCCATATGTCCCACCTAGAAACATCGACAGAGAAACGCATCTTACCCTCCTGTCCACGTTGCCATGGAACCCCCCAGAAGTTTTCAAAGGAGAATAGTCCAAACCGCCATCAACTGGTTGGTTTCCTCGTGTTTCCCTTTAAACAAAAAGGGGTACCCGCAAAAAGAGACACGCCGTTTCCAGGCAAACCCACTCCAAGAGCTTGGAGAGCAGGTGTGAAATACCATCAACCACCTCGCAATGCGCACCTTGCAGGACCAGCGCGTGCGATCCGTAACCTTCACCTACCCCTTTTTGTTTTCCGGATTGTGGCTCTCACCTCTGGGACGTCTTGTGGTGTTGGTGCATGTGCCACAAGGCTTGACACTGCCAGCGCCTTCGAAATGACACGAAAACAAGTTGGCTGCAGCTTGGCAGGCCATGTTCAACACCTAGGAAAACAAGCTATAGAACTGAGAGTGAACATGCCACATGGAACCGCACAGAAACTCGTCCTATTGCGCAAGGCTCTGGTTGTGCTTATGGCTAACGGTCAACCTGTGCCAAAAGGGGGGCGAGTCCTACGCCAGGGGTCTTTCATAAGGCTAGGGCTGGGTTGGGTTTAATGTACCCTCCCACCAACTAACATGGAAGTGCAAAAAGGCCCTTTCAAGAGGAAAGTAGTCTTTCTACAGGGGTCTGTTCCATGTTAGCTGGTGGGAGGGTATCATCCCTGTTTGCTTCCCACAATGGGTCCAAAGTTACCCTCCGGATGGTGGTTGAAAGGAAGCCACATAGTCGTCAGAACCCATCAAAATGTCACTTGAAGGAAGAAGGTATGTCTCAAAAGGGCGGCGTCCCCCCATCATAAAAAACATGTTTCCCTTTGGCTCCCCTTGTGTGTCCACAAAGCGCGTTGGAGTTGCGCTTTTTGTGGATTTCACCAAAGTTATTCCTTCTCTTGGTCCCTTTGTAGTCATCTTTTAGCAGTGCTCTTTTAATATTCTACCGGGCCGGATCCGCAACAGCCGCATCCAAACTGTTTGCTGGCCGCGTGGTTCTGTTTCCAGGGGGGAAAGGCAGAAACTGGGCTGGTGTCTTGTTCGCCTATTACTTGGGTGACTCCGAGAGTGGTGAATATTGGGATATTGGGGCCAGTATCATCCCCTGGTTTTACATGGGATCTATCACTGCCGAAGCTATGCTTGTATGCTTTTACCGGGGAATCAGGCCAATGAAAGGAAAGGCACCCTTGTTAGGGGATGGTGGCGCTCGGGTGAAGAACCTGTTCTAGAAAAAGAAGACCACCGACCAGTTGCCCCCAGAAACAGAGCCCAAAGAATGGCCCCAGCTCTCCCAACGTCGTGTCACCTTAAATGGCTGTGGCTCAAAAACATGGAGACCAAAATGGCGGGGCCAATGAAACCAAAGACTAAAACCTGCGGTTTGCCCCAGACTTTTGAATTTATGAGCCGCACCCCAAGGCTCATGGGTGTCCTTTTAGGTTGGAACTAGATGGGCTTCCCTGGTAGATGATTTAACCACCGGGAAACCAAAAAGGGCACCTATGCCGAGGCCCAACTGGCCGCTTCGCTTCGGAAACCCCGCCGCGGTAACGCCCCGCCCCGCCTGGGGCAGGCGAAGAGCTCGGGCAGCACTTGGCCCAGGCTGCTCAGCAGCCGCTGCTCTGCGAACTGGGTCGGGATGCTCTCCAGCAGACCCACGTAGTCCTCGCAGACGCAGGTGGATTGCAACCCCAGAAAAAAATGGTCATATGGATTGCAACCTTAAAAACGGAGAAAAATGTTATTCATCTGCTCTCAATGTTGTTCTTGGATTTAGCATGGGCTTTTAACATCGAAATCAAAAGTTCTTCAGACGCTCTCAAGGTTGCTTTGATTTAGCATGGGTGTTGTTTAACCGTCTGCCCAAAGTTGGGTTCTCTAACTTAGGGTCTTCTCAAGGGTGTGATATCCTTTTTTGAAACACCCGAGCCGGGTGCTGGGGCAACCCACTGCGAGTTGTCATGCAAAGCAAACAAACAATCACCTGTCCTCCAAGTATTCTGTGAAGCACGTGGTCTGCCGCCTCAAGTGGCTCTCGTCGAAGTCACCTGAAGCCGCAAGACTCAGGACGCGTCCATCAGGAGCAAGCACACACTTGTGTGAACCGAAATGGGTTCTAACAAATGGGCTCTAGAATGCCATGCTTTGGTGCACGCAGGAACCCGAGAACCGCTTGGGGTGACATGCTCGGTTCTTCGTGGGCATCAAGTAAGTTACATGTGGTGTGTGTGGTCTACCAACCATTCGAGGGTGTTTTCATAAATGAATCGCCAAATCTGGAAAAGCTGCCATCCCAGCACAACGTAGCTACCTGAAGACCCGGCAAAAGGACGGCCGCAAAGAAAAAACGTGTTGCTGGGCTGAAAGCGGCAGAAGCAAAGCCAGACATCGGAATAGAGCATGCAATATTTCCAACCCCGGCTCAGGCTGAACTGATGGAAGCTGAGACTGGCCAGGCATGATCAGGCATGAATTTCCTATCAGAATGGGCGCTCTCTCCACCTCTCTCTCTCTCTCTCTCTCTCTCTCTCTCTGTCTCACATTTTTTTTCGCTGCTTTGGGGAACATCGCCTAACCAAGCAGGCGAGGCCTTCTTGACCTACCTCTTCCTCTTCTTTACCTTTTTTCTCCTCTTCGTGTCTCCTCTTTACCGTTTTCGCTTTCCTCTCTCTACCTACCTCTTCCTCTACCTCTACCTGTACCTCTACCCCCTACCTCTTCCGCTTCCTCTACGTCTACCTCTCTCTCTACCTCTCTCTCTGTCTCCTGACAAACTTGATTCAATGCCCAGGTGGCGATCGTTCGGCGTGCTCCAAACCTCCCCGAAGGAGGCCGTCTCAGACTGCGCGACGCGTGGCCGCCCCATTCCCCCCCCCCGAGGCACCCCCAGCAGCATCCCAAACACCCGATTTACTAGGGGAACCTAGTGGCAAGAATTTCCCAAAGATGGAAAGGCGTGGATGGTTGTGAACTGCGCTCTCTTTTTTCCCCCCTTTTTCTTTCTCGCACCACGAAATGAAACCATGGGAATGGTTGGTAATGGTAGGGGGATCGTCATTTCAGGGATTCTGAACGGTGGTGCAGGATTTCGTCCATCCAGTAGCTCAGGGGACCTCAAACAAGGTCACAAACAATGGGTCCCATGCACCGGAGGCACGTGATTGCCACATAGCATGTAAGCTGCGAAGCAATCAGCGGACCGAGTTGAACGAACGTGTGCCTAGAAGTCTTCCCTGTCAAAGCGACATGTGGTTGCTGCAAACATGCGAAGCGACACATCAGGCCACGTCTTTTTGCTTGGCTGTGGGAAGAAGCGCTCTGTTTTTGGCGGAAGCGCTCTGCTTCGTTTTGGAAGGCTATGCGGTTGAATGTTCTGCGCACTATCTCGCTAAAAAATGATCAATGGGAATGGGACAACAGGAGGAGTGCGAAGGAAAGCCAGCCAGTTCAAGAAGCATTGACCCTGATACATACACATGTACATATATACATACGTACATTCTGAATCCCAGTTCCATGCCCCAGTACAGTAGGCTAGCATGGAAACCAGTCTTTAAACATTCAAAGGAACATGGGGAATTCGGAATGATGCTTCACCACACGTATTACATGTGGAAGTAGCTGCCCACGGCCCCAAGCATTGGCAGGCCTTGTGCTGCAGCCGGATGCAGGTGAAGGTTCCCTGCGGGAAGCGACATGAACCTGCAATTTTTGACTTATGAATCCCGACTTATGATGTGATAGCGCAAATGTCTTCATGACTGACTTTGCTTGATATGGGTCTGTCTACTTCTTTTTAAACGGATACCAAAAGGAAACCAACTATTGTTGGGGTGCTCCCCCAAAAAACAAGACAAACCCCCGTACGCTATGGTCGTATGGGTGCTCATATCGACGCAATGACCTACTTCCGTGTCCCTGGTTGGGACCCATAACAAAAGGAAGATGTGCGAAGGCTTCCCTACCGTGGATGGTTGCGAAATCCGTTCGCCCATGGCAATGAAACCATTTGCCTTTGCCATTTACGTTGGGGAATCATCCGCAACCAGGGTTTCTGAACGGTGGTGCAGGCCTTTGTCCATCCACAGTTCGGCGAAACCGGGAAGCGCTTCTTTCCGCTCGAGCCACCTACCCCGAAAACTCAAGAGGTGCTTCTCACCCGAAAGACCAGCGGATGGACATTTTCGGGGTGTCACCCAACGAGACGGAAAAGTCCCGGCCCTTCTTGGCTCTAGTGTTTCTGGTTGGTGCAAGCCTCATACATGCTGCACAAAAAAAGAAACTGCCTGAGTTGAGTCCCTGAAAACTGTGATTCGTCAAAGGTGTCTCACAGGCTCCAAACCATAGCTGTGCTTTCAGCTTCCCCCAAAAACTTCTCCAAGCTCATTCCAACCCTTCACTGTTTGATGTCAGCCCAAGAACGCCCCACAAATCCAGGTGGTAAAACTGATAAATACCCCAACCTGAAAAAAAATAGCGGCACCTGAAGACAGGGAACCCTTCGTTTTCGGCAAATGAACACGGACCCCAGAAGAAATGCGCCTCGCGGGAGCACGCCACAGGTAGCCAGCCGGGGCTCAGCGCCTGCCAGGCTCAGGTCGGTCACCCCAAAAGGTCACACCCGTCACACCAGCCAGGCGGTCACAAGACCAGGAGTTGGGGGTGTTCAATTTTGGGTAACCTGCACGTTTGGCGGGAACACCCTATTCATTCTACATTGCGTCGTGAGCGGGCTTCGGGTGGGTTGGGGAGTGAACGCTTTGGGGTAGATTCAGTCAGTTGGCAGCGCGGGACGGCAATCTGGCAGGCTACGAATCGGGAATATATGCAACTCATCCAATGAATATATTATCTTTCACTCCGCTGCCACCTCATTTGTTTTTTACCACGACCCACTCCCACCAAAAAGAGAATCCACGAACGTAGGGGCTTTGCTCCAGCTCCTCCAAATTCCCGAAAAGGACACCTCCAATTCAACTCAACCGGATTTCCCCTTTGCACCACCACTCCACCACTCCACCACTCCACCACTCGCCCATCGGCGCCTTCTGCGCCATCTCCTTGGTGCCCAGCAAGCGGCCCACGCGGAAGGCCAAGGCCCCAGGCTGCGCCTCCGCGAACCAAAAGGCCTCCAGCGGCGAGCCGCGGCGAAGCCGCGAAAGCGGCGAAGCCGTTTTCAGGCTCGGGGGCGTCGAAGGGCCCGGCGGGGCCAGTCACCCAGTCGGTCTCTTTTTGTCAGGGTGGATTTGTCAGGCATAGCTGGGGGTAAAAACCGTCGACAAGTCTTGGAAGGCGAGGTCGATAGCGGTTGGGCAGCCGGCTGGAATAAGAAACGAGCGAGCATCACAAAGATGGCCCTGACATGGAACCTCTTGAAGTCATTCCACGTCCAGGTGATTCCCAAAATTTGGCGATCCCCGTTTGGTTCCCCTTGAAACCCATCCAAAAAGGGGCCGTCCTGTTTGAGAAACCCCCATCCGTTCCCTTGTGTCACGCGGGCTGGAACAATCATTGGTAGTTTGCAGGCTTCAGCCAGGTAAACATCTTGCACTCATGACATCTTTGCCAGATTCGGCTCACTAAAACGAGCAAGCCGTTGGAACAATTTCAGCGACTCTGGCATTGCAATCGGGTGAACGTTGTCTGGTAGTTTGCCTATCCATTCTTAGTTGGAACCGCGCCACTATCTCACCACACAGCTCCCTCCTTCGAATGCTTTGATCTATGCGTTGCAACCTGGCGATGATGTTTTTGGGCTCCTTGTTGGCCACATGCAGCAAGCAAGTGGGGAGAATCTAAGGCCCAAACTAGAAGCTGGTCAGGCGGTTGCTTGGTCCGACTGACATGATCCAACGTGGGAGCCCTACCTTCCTGCCAGTATAGGTGTCAAGTAGAAGCTCGATGCATCGAGTTTACGGCGAAGAGCATGACAGTTTGGAGCGCTGAAGAATAAGGCGTTTCTTTCCAAAGTTTCTCAACTTGTACCCAGAGTCTGAGTGCCTGCTATGAGGTAAGCCCTTGAGAAGTCCTCACATCACATGGAAGTTGGCATTGATCCGTGAGGCATGCACCGAGCCATGCTCCGGTTGCATGAACAGGTCGACGAGAAATATTTGGGTGTGTCTTTTTGGGGACCCTCCCCCCCAACCAAAAAAATATGATGGTCTTCCTTTTGGTTGTCCTTTAAAACCACCGAAGAAAGGGGTACCAACTCCAAACAAGGCACACCCATTTTGACCTGGAAAGCATCGACCCGTCGGCGCGCCTCCTTTTCGTGGCCATCGCAGCGCAGGTACTCAGCCAGATCCTGAGCCACAACGCGCCGAATCGCCCCTGCCCCTTCACAAAAAGCGGAGAAAGAGGGCTTGACGCCATGCTGAAACGCTTAAACAACCAGCTCCATGATGTCCTGTTGATTTGTGGGGCCAGATTGCTTCAATAGACTTTTCCAAAAAGTGAAGAACCTTCCTGGGACAGGCGAATCAACCAAAGTTCCTTAAACCCGGGTCCACATGACCCCGGAATCAATTTGCCATCCACTTGCCTCCCACTAACATGGTCCGTCTGCGATCCGCTGGGACCCCCTTCCCCAAACCCGCCCAACCACCGAACCGCGTAGACCTCGCGATTCGCTTCGCGTCTGTCGACCGCGCCATTTTGAGGAGAAAGAAAACAACAACAAATCCATTTGAGTGTCCTTCTTTTGAGGGCACCCTTTTTTCTTCGCCGTGTTTTTTTAGCTGAAACGAAGAGGAAAACGCCGCATTCAGGCCACCGGTTGCTTCTTCTTCAGAAGGGCCCTCATGGGGTGGGTTCTTGAAACAGAGGGATCTAGTTTTGTGCGTATGTTTCCAAACCCACCCCCCATCAGGAGACGCTCTCTTTTTTCGTTCCCCCGGGAAAATAGGAAGAAAAAAGAGCATATATTTTATTTTTTTTGCTAAAACAGGGAAGAAAAAAGTTCCCCGCGCCTCCGGGAGCTCTGAGTTCTGCTTCGCCTCCAGCTCCGCCAGCTGCCGCTCCGAGCAGCCGCCCGACGCTTCGCTCGCCAGGGCCTCCGGGGCCCAGCACCGCCAGAAGCCTCGGAGGCGCTGAGGCGAGCGGCGGGGCCGGCTTCACACGTGGCGCCGGTTTTTTCGGGGCTCGGGGTTCGGGGTGTCCGCCAGGATTCGGGAGGATTTTTGGCGGGGTCTGCTGGCGATGCTTTTTGTTGGGAGTCCCGTGTAAGCATAGAAACGCCCTCCAGAAACATCCAAAGTTGGGCACAATTCCATGCGAGCACGTCCTAAAGTCCAAAACCAACCCAACCCAACCGCAGCGAACAGCTCGAGGCGCCATTGGCGCGGCGCCAGAGCCGGCGAATGCGGCGCCGCGCGTGGAAGACGGGCTCGTAGCTCTGCAGCAGCTGGCGCTTTGCTGAGGCCTCTGGTCCAAAAAAATCGGGTGACCCAACTTGGGACGAAGCTTAGGCGAAAAAATGTGTGTGTGTGTGTGTGTGTGGTTATACTGTGAATGGACACAAACAATGGTGGTACTACTGTGGATGGACAAAAAATGGGTGATAATACTGTGGATGGCCAATTTACCTCCATTTGCGTGTCCGTCCACTGGAGACAATATTTGCAGTAGTGATAGTTTCCCTTTAAAACCAACAAACAACAATTTAGGATGAAGCTTGGGTAATTTTTTAGATGGGTTCCATGGGTCTATGCCGTCCATGTACCAGGGAACCCATCTGTGTTCCAAACATCACCTACTGTGGATGGACAACAAGGCTGACCCAATTTAGGACGAAGCTTAGGCAAAAAAGGAATGGCGGAGAGAGCGGATGCTAAGTGCTGCCTTCATTTGTGGTGTAGAGAAAAAATGGTGGCAATACTGTGGATGGACGGAAAATCCGTTCGCAGCACTTTGAAACCATGGTTGAAACCCGAATGCTTGTTGGTATTTGCGTTGGGTCTCAGGGTTGTGTGTATTACGCCCTGGGAATACGGACCCACTGGGTCAATACCCATATTTCCGGATAAAACCTCAGAAAAAAAAAAAAAAAAAAAAAAAAAAAAAACTTCAAGTGAACCATTCCAGGGGTCATGTCCCAAGGGTGTTTCTTTCCCAGGGTGTACAAGAATCCTCAGATCTGGATCGCTGGAATCCTGCAGGCCAGGTCCAAGCTGACCGATGTGTCTCTCACCTTTTCCGAAACCGGGCCAAGGGGTTGCTCGTGGCTGCGGGTCAAAAATAGGGTAACCAAATGGAGCCAAGGACTAAAACCTGCGGTCCAATTCCTGGTGCTTAATTTTGACCCATACCCAAGTCAATCTTGGGAGTTGTGTCCCTTACCGCCGTTTGGAGGATAAACCACCAGTGAGAGAAGAACCGCTTCTGAAAGAGACAGGCAATCCTCTCTTTTTCCATGGAGCCCCTTGACAATTCAGTTCGGATTCATCGTCCAACACTGGAGTCTGGCGCATATCCCTGTTCATTGGTGATTTTGCTTCACGTGCAACCCAAGAGAAATGACGTATAATCCTTTTTATGGTGATACATATATATATATATATACATACATAGTATAGTACATATACATACAAATAATACGTATATATGTATATGATAAAAATGTGTATAATATATATATATATATATGATATGTATGTATGTATATATATGTACTCTCATACCCCTATTTTCTCGGCCGGGTGCTTTGGGGGGTAGTGGAAACTAGATCCCGTGCATCTGGCTCCCCCCAAAACCCCCCCGCCTGCGGATCTACCTCGCCGCCTCAGGCGAGGTCGTGCCGAAAGGATCTCTCGTTGCGTCTGAAAGCTCCAAAGGACCCGTGTCTTGATCCAAAGAACACGCTTCTGTGCCCAAACCAGTCACTGGCACGGAAAGGAGGTGTGCTGTTGCTTTTCTTTTTGCCACAAAAATCGTCCAAACATGCTTTGGGAAGATTCGGCCATGGGTCTTCAAGAGTCAGCGCCAGTGGAAATTTAGTTGGTGGAGCCGTGAGTGCATCATCCTAACAAAGCACTCCATCCAATGACTTTCTGCTCAATGCTATGAAACGCTGCCAGTGACGAGGGTCAGTTTACTTCGATGTTGCAGTTACGATCCAACCGGAAAAACTGCGGAAAAGGTGGAGCCTCAGAATGTTGTGAGCAAGCGCGTCTCCTGAACGCACACAGCATGAAAGACACTGAATTGTTAATGATCAAGGAAGCAGGAGTTTGATGCTGTTGGCGGACGAAACCCATTCCGCACCAACGTTCAGAAATCCAACAACGTAAATGCCAGCAAGCGTTATGGTGTCAACCGTGGTTGTAAAGCGGTGCAGGATTTCGTCCATCCACAGTATGGCACCCTGGGATTACACCCTGGAGAAATAACCTGCAACCCGGAGTGCGCAAAACAAAATGCTGGACCCATAGTGTCCCTTTAAAGGGGTGTCCGTGATCTTGAAAGCAATATCCTAGGCCAAACCACAACGCAAAGCAAGAAACCTCTCTTCACATGATGTGTCATATTCAGTCAACCTGAAATATGAGTTGCTATATATATATATATACCCTCTCTCCTACTAACATGGCACCTCACAGGAGGTCCCTCCAAGCAGAGAATGATCTTCCAGGTGCCTCCCCGCAGGTACCATGTTAGTGGGAGTAAGCCTATAAATAAATATATATATATATACATATGCTATATATATATATATATGCATGCTCAGGCCTGCCCCCATGAACTACCTTTTGGGTGGTGTTGCAATGTCTCAAGGTCAATAATTCTGCTGATCTAAAGGGCAAGGATTCACTCCATTTGGATACAGGCTGTGTGAATTTGGAGCCCGCAGCCATCAAAGTAACTCGTAGATCATTTTTACATTAGCATCAAAATTGAAAAATGTAATTGAATTGTTTGCTGTTTACAATCCATTTAAGTCTCAATAAACATCATATTTGAATTTGGCATGAGGAGCCTTATAAGGATCCTCATAAGCTTTTCAAGGAGCCTTCTAAGGAGCTTTACAAGCATCTGTAAGGCTTACAAGGAGCCTTCAAAAAAAGGCTTCACAAGGAGGCGTGTAAGGAGCTTTATAGGGAGTTATAAGAAGTGACAGCAGGTTAACAAGTGAGCTTTAAAAATGCTTGGAGGCGGGGTAGGCCAACCGCTGCACCACCTGGAGCTCACTTGACACTTAGAGAATTCCTTTCGACACTAAATCTATTAACTAGTAGAATAGACATAGAGTTCCCTTGTACTTTCTATCTTCAATTACTATCTAAAAAGGCATCCTTTCCATGAAAAGAGCTTAACAAGGGAATCATTCAAATATGATGTAATTTCTGTGTTAGTTTCTGCATTTGAACATGGATGAGGGATGTGAATGCTGCAGACCCTTTTATTGCTCAAAGGAAAAAGGGCGCCGAGCTCTGACAGCGATGAGGCGTTCCGGCCGGGAAAGCCCTGGCAGGGAAGCTGAGGAGAGCCGGGCACCGGCCGGGGAAGGCACGCTGGCGGCGGACGAGGGTGAGCTGAGGAGGATGGGTCGATGGGGGGTGGTTGCCCGGGCAAGAGAGCTCTTCGAAATGGACTTCGTCCACCCACAGTGTTGTTTGTCTCGCGCGGCCTGAAGCAGCCAGAAGGACAAGCCCTTCACAGTGCGCCATGTTCATCGTTTGCTCCAGCCAAGGGGCATGCAACCAGTCCAAGCTGCTTGCAGCCAGGACAACAAGATCATGGATGGTTGCACCAAGTGCCGAGGCTCTGAAAACTGTGTCCAGTGCGGCTGAGGGCTTATGACACAACACCTAGCGCTCAAGAGGAAAAAATCCATTCGGTTCAAGGGGCACGTTTGCAGGCAGTGAGTCCTGCCCAATGTCCTGCCTTGGCAATGGCGATGTCTCACTTCTTCCCAGTGTGTGCACCCCTCCAGAGGATGTGGGAGAAAGCTTGGGCATTCAGGAGAAGGACACGTTGAACATGTTGAGCTCCGAAGATGAAGTGAGCGAGCTTGATCTGGACCTGCCACCAGCAGTCGCGTCAGATGGAGAAGAAGACTGTGCCCCCAGCGGGTTGGATGACGAGCTGGTCAGTGACACCGAAGAGGCTGCATTGTTGCAACACGCATTGACAATAAACCCCAAGACAGGCTCCAAAGCCCAGCACAAACCGCGCGCAAGGTGCAGGGGGCTCAGTTCAGTGACTTGGCAACTGGCTGGAACTTCCTTGAAGAACCTCAGCGCCAGCTCGCCTTGCAGCTGTTGAGCCGCCTGTCCGCCATGTTTCTTGTGGTGTGCCCACCCTGCAATGCAAGTTCTTCTCCGACTTACAAAGGCTGTGGAATTTCGAGAAGATGTCGGCGGCCACGATCCGCGCTATGCAGCAGGAAGCAATGGTCTACCTGCAGCATAGCATGGAGGCAGCAGCCATTCAGGTGAAGGAGCGCTGTTGCTTTGCCTTCGAGCACCCAGCTAGAGCAAGCTCATGGCAAACGGCTGAGGCGATGCCAGTCCAACACATGAGCGGGGTGCAAGCAGTTGTGATAGACATGCGCATGCTGGGGCTGAAGAGCAAGGTCCACAGAGTCCCGATGAGAAAGCGGACTCGCATACTCGCCAACAGTGAGCACAGCTCATAGAAGGATCAGAGGCTTTTGCCTTCGCATAGCTCTGCTCGTCACAAAGCTTCCTTTGATGCCTTGCGTTTCTTTCTCATGGCCTCTCGTTGATTCTTCTTGCGTTTGAACTCCCGCCACTTTCTGTCCGCTGTGGCGCTTGCAAACTGTGACAAAGGCACATCAAGGCACATCTTCAGCATCTGGCCCGTGTGCTTCACCTCTTGCCCCGCCAATGTCAGTGGCCTTGTCCTGCACGTTGTTCTGCTCCAGCTTAATCTCCTTGTCAGTGGCCTTGTCCTGCACCTCGTCTGCTCCAGCTTAATCTCGTTTTGAAAGCGCTGGCCTGGCCCAAATGGGCAGCCAGTGCTTGAATCAAGCGCTCCCAGCGCCATGGTGAAAAGTCGGCATGTGCAGGTGTTCTCTGGCAACGTTCTCTGACCGACCCTGCAGACTCCTGCGGGCCTTGGGGCAGGATCCGCCATTCGGATGTTGTTGGGTGCTTGTGCGTAGGCTGTCCTGTGTGTGTGTGTGTGTCTCTGTGGGCTGTGCACAGCGCAAGCACATGATGTGGCACGTGTTCAACTGTCTCTCTATTTCACAGTGTTTTTCAACTTTCCCAAAGCGACGAAGCCATGTATAATATGCTCTTAGCTGCCATGCAAATCTACATGCAACAGACACCAATGGTTCCTGAGCATCCCTTCTGCCAGGAGGCGAATCAACCACGTAGTCAAATGACAAGGCAGTTGGGGTTCGACCCCTGCGGGGTGACCAACACCCTTGACGGTGCGTCGTATAGTAGTGGTCGTGGTCAACGGGGGTTGTAAGGTAAATGATCTGCGCTGTCTCACAACTCGATACCGTGGAATACGCTTTGCTTCACAGCTGTGTATTGGATGTTTGCCTCAATTCTATTATCAAGGTCTTGAGCCAAATGCATTCGCATGTACATGTCGGCTGCACACAATTCCCTCAAAGGTTTAGGACCTTAAACAAGGGGAAGTAACAGGGTGACCCTCAGAACCTGCCCTTGGGATGTTTTAGCCTGCGGCTCGGAGATTGTTAGCATCCCCCATCCCGGGCTCGGGTTCATCCCTGGGTCGGGAACCAATCACAAACGCATGCCGACACGCATGGACGCACGGCTTCTCTTTTTCAATTCAGTGAAACGTCTCTGCACGAGTTTGACCAGGTTCTGTAACTTAACATGAAATGAGACTGCTACAGGTCTCTTACCGGACCTCATGTGCAACGCAGCAAGCTATCTATAAGGAATAGTACAGATCCAGAGCAGTCTGCAGAAAACAAATATCCATGACTAGCATAGTCCATCACCAATTTGTAACCAGTAATAATTGTAGCATTAAATAATCGTTGACCACCAAATACCTGGCATCTCCAGAATAGTAGTCGCCGATGACAATACTGTACGGAAACAAGAAAACATTCTGCGGTGATAAATGCAAATCTCATGCAGATACTTTTGGTTTGCCCAGGGTACCGTGCACGACGAGTACCACAAGGGCTGGCCATGATACCATGCACGATGGGTATAACGATTTTATTGTGTAAAAATGCAAATTCCAGTTGATCCCCCACGTGGAAGAAATCGCAAAGAAAATGCTTGCTCGCCAGTGTGATGATTCTGCGATGGCCTTTCTACTCGCCCTCCACCGGAACCTTTCTAACATAGAATGTGGTGTCTCCTCGGTCCGATTGATCTTCTCGATAAAGCGCGAGGGCAGATGTATATTGCGAGAATAGCACCATTGGAAAAGAGGAGTGTCAACCTCTTTTACGCTTTGAAGCAAATGTGCACCAAGCTCAAGTTTGAAGAACTTGCGTCCAATGTTCACATCTGTTCGGTCGAAGGTCATGTAGTCGCAATTGAGGCCAAGGGCGATGCATCGGAATATCGTGTCGCTGACGAAGGCAATGTCCTTCTGGTGGCTGACACCTCTGAACTGCTCTGCTTTGATACCAAGTATATTGCAGGCGGTCCAAATCCGATACATGATGTATAGCCCTCTCAGCTTCAGGAACCAAAAGAACATTTCTTCGTCCCTGTGGTTCTCGCTTTTGAACCTCACATTTCTGAACTTAGGAGCGGCTGTGACCTCTTCATAGGTGGGCGGGATTGGAATGTTCCAATCGTCCCTCCCGTTGATGGCGATGTAGGGACAATTGAGTCCGCCACCTTCGCCAGGCTCCTTGACCACATCTGCCTCGTTGTTGGCAAATACCTTCCACACTTTGAAAAGCACGATGCCAATGAATCCAGAGAGGTATGATGCCTCGCCGGCTTCGTCAACGCAGATGGCCTTGACTTGCAGGAGATGAATTGCGTCCGCATCCTCTTCTGGGTTGTCCGGACAAACTCCCGCCTCTTCATCGTCGATGTCCGTCCCGATATCCGACGGGATGTACGATCTGCCTGCAGAGCGTTCCTCACTCATCTCATGGGTGTCGGGTCGTTCTTCTTCGGCGACGAATCGCTCAGCATCTTCCTTTGCTTCTCGCTGAGCTTGTTTCACTTCCTCCGTCACATTGGTGCTGTCGGATGGTTTGGGCTCGTTGTCATCCACATGGATCACGAACTTGCCGGTGGAAATGAACTCACATTCGCATGCCGTGCAATAGCAAAATCCCCTTGGAAAAATGATAGCGCATGCTGGGCATACTCTGTTGGAAATACTTGATGGATCGTCCTCGCGGTAGACAATGAATCTGCTGAGCAAATCACTGATCTCTACCAACGATTTGTTCAAGGCCTCGGGCACTCCGATGTTGATGCACACATCGACGACCATCTTCTTCAGGATGTCAGCATCCGCAGAGTCTTCATCGTCCAGGAAACTGTTGAGGTTTCCAAGAAAGTCCTCTGGGGTCACGCCCACAGCATCCTTGAATCCTGGACAGATCTCGCTCTCGACGGCGCGGGAGTAGATCCGCCTAACCTCTTTCACAGGTCCTTGCTTCGTGGACTTGAATCTCCAGATTGCCCTTACCTCTTTGAAGGGAATGGTCTCGAATCTGATTGGTACACGGACAACTTCCTTGTTGGCACGTAGATGGCGATGAGGTCATCTCCCTCCTTGATATCGTGCATTGCAGTCTTAGTCTAGATGTTCTCGCTGTGCCAAGGCGCACGAAGTGTACCGCCAACCTTCGCGCACTGTCATTGCGGCCAGAAACGATACCTCTCAAAATGATATCTTCCAGGGCTGATGGCTTTGTCACGTGAAATGCTCCGCCGGAACAATATGTTGCAAAGTTCAGCAGGACAAGCCAATCCAAAGTCCGAATGCCCTGATGACGCTCGAACGCACCATGGTTGCCACCATCCGCCATGCTCGCGAGGAACCCAGTCGATGTCGTTCTTCGACCATCCAGCCGCTATGAGACCCGTCATCGTCTCCATGTCGATTTCCTGATCAAACTTCGCAGCAAGGATCTGCAGTCTCGGCTTTCGTGCTTTACGATTCTTCAATATGATGCACTCGGCGATGATTTGGAATCTATCATTCTTTTTGTACCGATCCTGCGGCAACGCGTCCTCACGGCTCAGGATGCGGTCGATGTTCACCCATCCTCCACCATTGCAAGGAATTGGGTTCCCCCACTTTTGGCCGATTTGATGTCGTAGGATTTAGGGTTTAGCTTTTGACGTGAAGAACAAGTCTTGGTGGTGAATGCGAGATCCAAACGCTGTGCGCTCACTGTACGGCCAATAGTTCCTGTTGGGAACTTTGCATGGTGGCGGACATCGGCACCAAGGCCTTGGGAAGCTCTCGGCTGAGAGCATTGGCAGGGATGATGGGGATGAGGTTGAAGGAGAGCAGGGTCATCCCGGATGAAGACGAGCATGCAGAGGTGGAGGAGAAGGCCGCGGCGACGGAGCACGAACGCGGCCTCAAGGTGCTGATGGGCATCACATGTGTGAAGCTGGCTGATGCAGCTGGCATGGAGGATGAGAACGCGGCCACGGAGGAGTTGCTGCTGTGGCCGCGCTTCTGGTGGCAGTAGTGGCTGCATGGGAAGCCATCAAGTGGGCCGGGAAGAAGGCGATGGGCTTTGTGCGAGGAGCACCCCTGGTGGAGGATTTGGGGAGTACGTCAACCAGCGGAGGTGGAGAGAAGATTAAGGGATTGAGGGGTCGCGTGAGAAAAGGGTGGGTTATGAGCGCTCTGAAGGGGAGCGAGATCAGAGTGTGAGAAGGGCGGGTCGGAATGAGCAGTTTCCGAAGAAGATGCCGGATGAGAGGGTCTTGAGCTGGGAGGAGCGCTGAGCGCGAATCCGATTCGGCAAATTGCCTATGTCCGTTTTCAGTCCTATCAGACTTCTAATTAGATATTTATCAAAAGCTCATTGAACATGAGTCACAGTTGATTTGTGACTGTTAGAGCTCGGCGCCCGTTTTCCTTTGGGCAATAAAAGGGTCTGCAGTATTCGCATCCCTCATCCACGTTCAAAGGCAAACGCGGGGCTCATGCTCGAGTTGTTGTGGTTTTTATCAGACAACCAAAAAGCCAAGGATGCTTTGGTGTTGGCCCTAAAAAGCCAAAAAACTTGAGGAAAACAAAAAAACTCGAGAACACCAAAAAACAAAAAACTGAGGAGAATCTGTTTTTCTGGCTTTCCTAGAGCTTGGAAATTACTCAAAAATACTAAAAACAGGCACCTTTTTACCACCCGTTGTGGTAGCATCTGAATAAAAAGTTCTTGCTGTTCAATATTTTGAACTATGTCTGCAAGAAGGCAATTCAAAACGGAAGAGCGGAGAGCTAAAAACTATGGAAAACACAGCGTTTTTGCAGTCATTTTATGAAGAAAGAAGGAAAGGTAGTTCATGGGAGGGGGGGCGCCTGACCATATATATATATATATATATGTATGTGTGTGTGTGGCTACGATGTTTTTTAGGGGTCTGTAACGCGTGACGCGCCACAGCACAACGAGGTATGTAATGGCTATGTAACGAGGTCTGTAACGAGGCAAAGCGAAGCGCAATACGCAAAGCGCGCCTCCGCAGCTTGCTTGCAGCTGTTCAACGCAAGCCAAGCTGCGGCAAAAAGGGGGTCGCTGGCCAGGGCTGGGGTTGGGTCTGTAACGAGGTATGTAACGGCTACCTAACGAGGTCTGTAACGAGGCAAAGCAAAGCGCTTGATTGCAGCTATCCAACGCAAGCCAAGCTGCGGCAAAAAGAGGGCAGTCACTGGCCCTGTTCATCTGCCGTGCGTAACAAGGGCGTCTAACGAGGGTGTGTAACGAGGGTGTGTAACGAGGGGTGTGTAACGAGCCAGCTGGTTTTGTTACAGAGTTCTGTAACGAGGTCTGTAACGAATGTCCGCTGCGGCTCTGTTACAGACCCCTCAAAAAATTCACTGCCATAAATATATATATATATATATATATGCACATGTCCAAACAAAATGTGAAAGACGTATACAAACCGGACAAAAAAAAAGCAGCAAACTCACAGAAATCTGCGCCGTCCATCCGGCCGAATCCACTCGCTCCGAATCTTCCAAGGCTCCGCTCTCCAGGCAGAAGGGCAGCGGTCGCAGCTTGACGATCCGCGCCAAGACCAGCCAGGGCGCCTCACAGAGGCGCCAGACCACTAGTGATCGGTGCCATAGGAGATGAGTTGGAATGAAATGGTTTATAGGGGATTTCCTGGGATTTCCTGCAGAATTCCTGCAATAAGTTGGGGGATGGCCGAACAAAGGTCATCTTGCGATCGGTGCGATAGGTAGAGAATCTGGGAAATTCTGGGATTCCCGAACAAAGGAACCACCAGTTGGATGGTTCTTTCTCGGGGGTCATGCCCACATTCCCTGAGCACCGCACCAGCAAGTAGTGGCCAATCTGATGTTCCAGCCCTGAAAACCACCTAACGGGGGCCAAATCTGAAACAGGGGTCCCTGGGTCGATCTGAAGTTGATCATTTTAGTGGTGATGTCCACTAAAACGATCGCCACTATTGAAGGTTCCAAAACGGGAAGCGGAGGAAATCGGAAACCCTGCGAAAGTTTAATCCAAGGTAAGGACATATGTCAGGTAGCACGCCGAAGGGACGGCTGAGGTTCACAAGAGAGGCAGAGTACTAGAGCCGGAAGACTAAGAACGGGCTTGGGGAGACCTTAAAAGATGTGTCCCACTGTCATGTTGAAACTGTTCCCCTACTGCGGGCCCCGGAGACTTCAAAAACCAAATGCAGCTACGAAGACAAGAGACTATTGTTTAATCATTTGGTTGTGTCGTTGTTCAGGGGACCCGCAAAATGGGGGGGTCCTTTTTGTTCTCCTTTGATATAAAAAAACCCAGGTACCCCTAAACAAACACAGGCCCATTTAGTTGCTCATCTGGACAAACATCCACAGCAGGCGCCTGCTGGGATTGGTGGTTCATGATGCCCTACTAAACATTGGGGATTTGTTTTTCCTCCGTGCCCCAAGTTGTGCAGGAATTGAGTCTACCATGTCCCTACAAAATGGGACCATGGAATGCTAGACTTTCTGGTGGCGGTACTTTGAGGGTACCCGTTCCACCTTGCTGAAAAAAGAATTCTGAGGGAAAAACAACAGTTTTGAGGCCCCGTTTCACATGCTCATGTAGGTTTGGTCCCTTAGGCCAGTTCTACCGCATCACAAAGCCCAAAAGCGGCTAAATCCCCACGAGCAATTTCAACACCGCTTTGCTCGGCCACGACGTCAATTCAGGCAAAAAGAGCCCCTGCACTCCCTGACACGCCAGTACTGCGGATGGACAAAACCCCTGTACGAATTGTTTGGATGAAACCCCATGAAAAAGGCAAACCACCTGTCGAGTGGTGCAAGTGGATTCTCAACAGCATCCTCTAAAATGTTCCCTTCATTTGAAGGTGGCCAAGGGCCAAACCCTTGTCTAGAACTTCCAGACGACACAGGAAGGGTAACAACTTGCTGCCGAGGGGGCCGAAAACCAGCGGAACACCAGCCTCGGCATCTGCAAAGCTGCGCCACTCCTGGTTCACCACCGACAGCTGGCACAGGTCCTGCGCGTGATGTTGGCTTCTGGTGGCTTGACTGCTTCGCAAACTGCAGCAACATCATACAACAGAAAGGGCTTCCCAAACAAATTCCCAAGAGTATCACAGAAGTGGGGGATAAACCCCGAGTGATCCCGCAACTCTGACAAAAATTTCCTTGCTGATATCAGGCCACCTCGCTTGAAACATTTGTCGCGCGTGGGACTCTCAGACTGGCCAGGCCAATCCCAACCCGTTGATCCATGGTGTTCTCTTGAGGGACGGATGGGCACTTCCAACGATCCAAATGCTGCATATCCCCGAAAAAGTCCAAGACAAACGGCGGCATGGTGTGGTCTTCTCTGGACGTCCGTCCTTCAAACAAACTACTCCAACTGAGCAACGCCACCAAACCCGCTTGAATTTTGGCTCTGTGGTCACATGATAAATATAGGCCTAACCCCCACAAAGCCAGGCAGGAGCACCGAAGCTGGACCACCTGTGCTGCCCCCAAGACTTGACTCGTAGCAGCTGCAGCGCCTCGATCTGAGTTGAGCCAGACGGCTTCGAACTTTTTGGCCCGCCAGATTGGAGCGGTTAGAATAAGTTGGTACCCGACTTTTTCTTGATGTCGTCGATTTTAGGAGGGGAACCCTCCCAACCAAAAAGGCTAAGAAAGGGCAGCTTGAAACACCTAGACTATGGTCAAGAATCCGCCCTGTCCCTGACCAGAACTCTTGGCAGCTCCCTAGCTCCCTCTTTATGAATTTTGGATGCCCCCTTCCAACCCCCAGCAAGGCTTCCTGGCAACATCAAAGTCACCTTCAGGCAGTGGTAGGTGCAATGGAAACAACTGAAACAACCAACCAGCTACTCACTTTCACAACCCCAAGAAACAGAACCCCAGACAAGCAACGGAAACAACCAACCAATTACTTATTTTTCTAGCTCCAAGAAACGGAACCCCGAAATAACTTGCTGGTGCTCAGGGTATGAGCCCTATAAACCATCCATCTGGTGGTTTCCTTTCAGGGGACTGGGTTCATTCCCTCATTCCCCGTCCCTTGTGGTTTCCTTGAAGGGGACAGACTGGGTTCCTTCCAACTCATTCCCCACCTATCGCACCGCCCAGCTAAGCCCAGAAGCTGAAAATGCGAAAATGTCCCCACCGAAGCCCGGAAGCCAACGAAGCGAAGCGAAGCAAACCGGGCCTCGGGCGCCAGGCAGCCTCTGCTGCCCAGCAGCTCCAGCACCAGCGCCCCACGGCGCTCCATCGCGGAGCGGATCGACCGCTGGGGGGGGGGTCGAAGTCGACCGGCGGATCGACGTGTGGGTCTTTCTGGTGCCCGGACGGCTTCCTTTTTGGAGGGGGGAAAAAAAAACCGTCGCTTTTCGTGCTGGTTCCTTCCGGCAAGACATAAATGCAGCTGTAAGTTGAAGGAAACAAATGGAAAATTGAATTGCCTGCAACTGTAGACTCCACTCGGGTTCTGAAGATTTGGAGCTGGTTCCTTTTCAAACATGGGACTCTCGCTCACGCTCCAAGCCTGCGCACGCTTCGACATGGTCGAGTCTGTTGGAGTCTTTGAAGCAAACATCAACCAAGGCGATCGGTGTCCAACGCTTCTAGCCTTACCCACAAGACAATGATCACGAAATGGGCATGTCTGCGACTGACCCAAAGAATCGAGTCGATGCACAAACTTGGACTCGCTGGCTTCGGTTACAAAGCTCCGACCTTGGATGCCAAAAAACTACCACGGTGAGCCTTCGGCAGCGGACCTCCCTTTCCCTTCTTTGGACCTCCAAAGGTGGCAATGCTGTTGGAAAGTAAAATCATCAACTTTTGGAGACATCCAGTGAGCATGCAAATTTCCAATAAATGCCAATGCATCTATCTATATATATGTATATATGTGGTCGCCCACCCACCCCCCAACATCCGCGCCTCTGGTTTGCAGCCATTGGTTTTATGCATATATATATATATGTACGTTGTTCATATCAAACAAATGCAAACACCTACTTCTATATATATATATAGGTACGGTATATACAGGTCTGTATGTATATATATATATATGTATATATATATATATGTATATATATATATATATACGCATGTAGGTGCAAGCCAGCGAGCTGACTGAGTCCGCGGCCTGCTTGAAGCTCCGCACGAACTCGAACTCGCTCTCCGGCGGCGGCACCTGGCGCCAACTCGTTAGGGGTCTCAGCCGCCGAAGCGACGGAGGCCAAGCTATGGCAAACTAAAACCGGGTACGGCTTTCAGAATATGAATTTGTTGTCCCTAAAAACCACATGGCTTTCTCAGAAGATGGGCTTGTTGCAAATAGGGCAACCCTTCAAATGTGTCTCCTGCTGTTTCCCCCACTTAAAAAAAAACGGGCCCCAAAGGGAATTTAGCCTCAAAAAACCAGAGATGAGAGGAACCCCTGTCCCTCCGCTTCGCATCAGAAATCTCTCCGCCTTGATGGCGCAAATCACCTCTCCGGGCTGCATGTCCACCACCTCGGCTCGCGTCAAGCGCGAGCTCGCGTGGCTTCGAGCGAGGTGAAACCCACCAGGCCGCTTAAGGAAATGGTCCAACCCAGGTTTGGCTAATTTTGGGAAATGGTAACCAGTGGAATCTTCGGGGGGGTATGGGGGGGGGGGGGCGGGCATCCTAATAAGGCCTTATTAAGGGCTTCATAAGTGATAGCCCCCCTTGGGCGCGGGCCCAGGGTGCCGCCTTTCACCAAAAAAAAGAAAGGATGCCAAGAAGGGTCCCCTAGTTTCGGCACACCTGAGGTAAGAATTGGCATCATTGGCAACTCTTAGAGATGATCTCCCATTGACCAAACGCTCCAATTTTGCCACAGGAGACACATCAGGCATCACCGCCTCCTGTGAAAAGGAGACGGGCGCAGTCTGCTTTCCGGACCGCTGAAAGGAACCGGGGGCAGTCTTAGCCCTGCACAAGAGGGTCATATTGCATTGTGGTGCACCGGGACACCCAAGAATAGGTAAAGAATCAGGACAAATCGGACAAATCTCCGCAGCTGGCTGGGAGTGGCCTATGAAACTAGAGAGGGGCCAAGGCATGGGAACACCGAAACCGCACGAGCGAAGCGCGCGAAGCGCTCAGCAGCCGGCGCGGTAGCTCTTGAAGAAGTCCTTGACAAGGACCTGTTGGGCCGCATCAGGCGCCTTTCGCATCAAGCCACTGCGGTTGTTATTCCTGGGCACAAAAAAACATATTTGCCTTACCGTTTTTAACGGGGGCGTCGGTCGGTCAAAAAGGAAGCACGTTTTCCGGGTGACGACATCGATTTTTGTGTGAGCTGCAGAACTCGAAATGGTCACGGACTGGATGAGAGGTACTGCTCCAGGCTACTCCCAGTGCCTAGGAGGTGTCTTCCTTTGGGGTGGGCCTTACGAATTAGGTGCAGTCCGGAATCCGAAAGTCCCAACATGCCCGGTGCTGCAGAAGTTCTTCAAAAGACCAGTGATATATTCTTCACCCTGACAACACAGAGTCAGCTAGCCGACATACTGAGAGCGTTGTGTCTTCAGTGTCCCTACGAGTCTGTGATCCCAACACGTTGGATGTAAGCCAGCACCATAACGAAAGCAACCATGCAACTTCCTCCTACAAACATCGCACCTGCGGGAGGGGCCATTTCCCCCTCAGGTGCAATCAGGTCTCAACGTGGAAGCCACAAAGACGCCTTTTTGAAACACTCACAAAACACACAACACACACACACACAAACAAAGAATAAAAGCAGAGAAGCGCCACAAAACACCACCAAACGCACAGAATAGGTGGACACACACACACACACACACACCAAAAAAAGACAACAGAAGCGCCACAAAAAAAAGGCACCCACCCAAAAAAACGCAGAGAATGGCAAAACCGTCCCTCTTCAGCTTCTGGGTCCGGCTCCCTCGGCTTCGGCTCCTTTCGCCTCCCTGGGCTTCTGGTTCGCGGAGGCGAGCACCAGAGAGGCGCCAATGGCCATGAGCACCTACGCGGCGCGCGAGTTAGGTCCAGGCCATTTTGGCGTCCCTTGAAAAGGGGAACGGGGGGGAACGGGGGGCGCGGGGAAGCGCGAGCCGGACGGATTTGCACGCAAGTTTGGTTAAGATGGCACCCTGAAAAATGGGGGCCACCTTAGGGCGGCACAGGCCACGAAATAAGGTAGTGCTTGCCTATTCTTGCGCAAGTTAAAGCCCCAATGTTGGGGCCATTTCCTCGGAACATGGATTTGTGGTTCCTAGCCCGAGCATCCTCGGACCTCAAATATGGTCCTTGACCCAAAAGACCTCAACGAAAACACCGGGTGTTGAGACCTGAGGAAGAGGAGTTTCCTCTAAACATTGTCTTTGTGTTCCTACTTGAAGGGACAGGGTGCTTACTGAGTGGTTAGCACCCATGGTTAAACCTACTCAGCCCACTTACAACTATATGAAATTGACGACAACCACGGCAACTGACAACTTACCAAGTATCCTGCCCCCTTAAAAGAGGTGATCGCGTATGAGGATGGGTTCATTCTCGCAGAAAACAAGGTGGTGATGAGGGAAAAATGAAAAACAGAAGCGCAACATGAAGCCCAATATGGGTCTGTCTCAAAATATGGGGCCCTCAAAATGTGTGTGTGTGTGTCCTTTTATCCCCAAATGGGGTACCATCAAAAGACACACGCATATTGGAAGGCATCCCTCGCTTTGATACTCAAACAGCTTCCCGGAAGCTACTCGCAGCGAGAACGCTGGCTGTGTCCCACGGGTGCACCGGGTTCATGTCCGAGATGGGGCTGGCAGTCGCAATGTTGCCCGCCAAGACCGCAACCTCAGCAAGGCATGCCGTTGGTTTCCTTCGGAACTCCCTTTAAAACCACTCCCTAAAAAACAGACACCGAAAAAGGACACCCCTCAAAAGCAGAGACAGCAATCCGTTGGTGTCCTTTGGACCTCCATGACCTCCCCTTTTTCTGGGAGCATCCTCACAAAAACACACGACAATTTGCCCCATGGAAGACACACCCACATCATTGCCTCGCGGGCCTGCAGGACCAGACCAGACCTTCATCAGGGGACCACCATCCCCTGCTTGTAGGATGTGCAGCTTTGGGACCGAGAATGGTAATCTTCCTCCAACATGGCACCTGTGGGGAGGTTGGAAGATCCAATTCCTCTTGGAGGGTCCCCCTGTCAAGTGCCATGGCAACGTGGGAGGGAGGGAAGTCTTCCAAAATGCCATGATGAAAAACGCAAGGTGCAAGCTTCCTACACAAGAGCCGACTCGCTCGCTCGAAGCCGTTGATTGTCACTGAGTCACAAGAAGAGCAAAAACTCTTGTGGGGGCTACCGGGGGGACCATTGAAGGCCATCTCCCTCTTGCGGCAGCCCTAAAGCGAGGCTGCGGCATTGCGGATCTGAGCGCTGGCGAACCACCGCAGCATGTGGAGCATGGCCTGTGAATCAGGCCAGAACGAAGAAAAGAACCGAACCTCTTCTGCATTTGACCGGAGCTGCTACAAATACAAAGGGCAGGACAAACTTGAAACTCCAAGGCTGGACTTGCCTCACTCACCTCACTTGCCTGCTTTGTTCATACGACAGCTCTGGTGATTTGGTTGAGGTCTTTTGGGGCCAAAGGCCCTCATATTCGGAGGGTTGATCAATATTCGTTCCATTTTAGTGTTTGAAATATCATCTTTTTGGTGGCTTTCCAACCAATGGTCATTTCGTGTACAGGACCTTTGACGATGGGATTCTAGGGATAGGACCATTGGTTTCAATAGAAAGGTTCGCAGTCTCTGCAAGTACCCTTCTAGCGGCCAGCACAACCGTACCCCCATGGGCACAACAGGCCGCTTCTCGGGGAGGCAGTGTTTTTCCATGGCCCAGATCCAAGCAAAAGGCCACCAGGTGGCCCCAGTCCATTCCCATCGAATGCAAAAGCTCATTTTCACTGAAATGGAGCTGTGGGCCTGGTCGTCCCTCCCTCCCTGTCCTCTACGGAGATCTTTGTACAACTGCCTAACTCTCTTTTGCCTGCTTTGCTTTGCTGGCAACGAATGACACCCCGCTGTCAAAACAACGTTCCCCTAGAATGGTCCGTTTCCTGTGATGTGGGTTTCCCTTTACATACCAATCGCGGGTCCAGCATGCTGAGAAACACCACGGAAAAACGCGTAATGCTGGCTCAGCCAGGCGGTCAGCCCCACAGCAAGACGTCGGTGATGGCGTTGCCCAAGACGTTGTTGGGGTCGAGCTCTTGCTTCAGACGTCGGAACTCTCCAAGATCAAACCTGGGCGCTTAACTTCCCAGCCCAGGACAGGGGAGCCCGGAAAGGCTTTTGGGACTGAATTTGGGTGTCTCTCAAAATAGGGGACCTCTCTTTCATGGCTGCGAAAAGGAACATATTTTCGGTGGTCACTCTTCCCAAACCCCGACAAGGGTTCAAAGAAAGGGGTCAGGTCTGTGGTCAGCAACGTTTTCGAGCACAGTCTATTAATAGGGGCAAATGTGTTCCCCCTCCAACTGATTCCCTACTAACCCCTTGTCAACAACTTTAACAGGGGGGTAGGGGTGTTCTCCAAAAGTGATCTGATTCCCCACTTTCAGGTTGACCCCCCTTCTAATGAACTGGGTTTTATAAAAGGGGGGTCGGCATCACACCTGGGCTTGAGCCCGTCGAGCCGCTTCTCTGCCAGCGCCTTGCGCAGGCCCTCGCGCCTGGGGCCCTCGTGGAAGGCGAGGTCCACTTTGCCCCAGTGGAAGAACCCACCCTCGGGGATGCCGGCGCGACGGGTCCCGCAGCATGCTTTGACGACAAGTTTCCGGGGGGAGGCGTTTTTTGGTGTGAAAAAAAAGTGGGGGGTTGGGGGTTGTGTGGAGGGGCTGGGTTGGCGTTGGGTAGGGAGGTTGTGTTGGGGTTGGGTAGGGGGGTTGGGTAGGGGGGGTTGGCGTGGTTGTTATATCACAGTGGACCACTGCTTTGGCATCTTGAGGCCCATTGGCTTTGCAAATGCACTCAGGACCAACGCTCCAGTGTTTGAAGCCAATGCTGTTCCGGCCCCTTGCTTGGCTGGCCTTAAAGGGAAACCAAAAAACCACCAGCCAAATCAACTCTCTTTTTGCCCGCTTGCGCAGACTCATCCACCTGAAGCTACCTCCACCAATTGTTGCCGGCACCAAACTCGCACGAAAAACCCGCAAAGCTACTTGGAACAACTTCCGGAACACTCCGCAAACTCAGAAAAACGGGCTAAAAACACTCGGAGAAGCTCGCAAAAAGAAATGCAAATTCCTGCACAGCACGCCAAAGGCGTGTCGCACATCGTCGTAGTTTCACACCCCCTGCGCGACGTCAACAAGAAAAGCAAAGGCTGGTAATGAACGGGCTGCAAAGGAGATGAGCGCACCAACGAAAAGGTCAAGGTTTTTGATGTAGACCGGCGACTTGCAGCCGCACGGTAGCCGGGCGCACGGGGCTGTTATTTCAAGCAGGTGCGGGGTCTTGCGAGGAGATGAGCGCACCAACGACAAGGTCAACGTTTTGGATGTAGACCGGCGAATTGCAGCCGCAAAGTACCCGGGCGCACGGGGCTTCTGCTGTCATTTCACGCTGGGCTGCAGGGGATGACAAGGGCGCGGCGAGCCCAAGTGACACGGTGGAAAGTTTTAGATTCAGAGACACTCACTGTGACCAGGGCTTGACATGGCTTCCTGCTGGACAAGAATGGGGCGTGACGGCGGCGCGTATGCAAACTTTCAAAACCCATTGAGCTTCGGTTCAAGGTCATAGGTTTCAATGGCAAGCCTCAGCTCGTATCCACAAAGAAACCCGCATGGGTGGCCATGGCATTGGAAGGGCGTGACTGCCTGAATTCAGACTTGCAACAACGGCTCCGGGCCAGGCCACCAGGCGACGTGGGCTTGTCCGCGCCCTTCTGCTGCCTCCGGCAACTTGAAACATTGCGTCGAAGTCCTGGGCGCTGACACTCTGGCCTGAGCTTTTGCAACGCCTGTGCTCGAGCGGCATCTGGTCTTGATCTTGGCTATCTCTGAGCTGACCTCGTTTGTCTTTCTTGTAGCCGCCCGATGCTCTTCATTCAGCCCTACGACTTCCCCAGCCACAAACACAATCCAACACTTATTTTGGAGCCGTCTTCGCGCGCCTTGTCGCTCAGGCAGCCTGGCCAGGACCTGGCCAGCGGCGACCCTGTCGACAGCCACCTCGTCCATGCACAAAGCTATCTGACAGCTACTTTGCTTCGTTTGACGGCACTTGCAGCGAACCCGCACTGCGAAGCAGTGCGCCCAGCGGGGCTCTTCGAGAGAAAGGCCGCCATACGCCTCCGAGGGTTGCAGTGGCGCACCGCATCGCCGGGCCAAGAAAAAAACGCAGCGACGACGACCCAGCGCTGTAAAAGAAGTCTTCCAAAGCTGAATGCTTAATGAGCTTAATGAATTTTAACATTCTTGTGCCTCTTTCAATTCATGAAAATAGGTCTGAATCAACTATGTTCAACGGCGGCCCCTTTTACGAGGCTCAGGCGACGCAACAGCCGCTCATCCCACTGCTGGCCCCGCATGACCTAGCGGTAGAACGGGCGCACTGCGGCAGCAGTACTTTAAGCAGGGCGTTGACGGCCCACACTTTTCTGGAGCTAAAAAAACTAAACTCAGACAAGCTGGGGAAGGCTCGGAAATGGCCGGAATGGCTCGGAAAAACTGACTGGCTGAACAATTCAGCAAGCCCTGCTTCCAGCTTGCCGCTCTTGGTGCGCCGGTCAGGTTTGCCTGGCCAAGCAAGTTGGGCACTCTTGCGCGCGGTTGAGCTTTAGCGCCGGGCTTGGCTCTGCGGCACGCTCGCGCCGCTTGCGGTCCTTGTCGGCCAGACAACTCGGAAGAACTGGCCGGAAAAGCTTAGAACAGAGACAACTGCCAACAAAATCACCAAAACTTGAGTCGAAATCGGAAAACTTGCCAAAAAGACTACTGGGAGGTGTCCTTTTTTTACCCCGCGCGTTGCATGTTTTTCTCCTTTTTGCGGAATGAAAGAGCAAGTCGGCTGGCCTCATAGTCCACCACAAAAATCCACTGTCGTACGGGCCCGCTTGTGTCTTGGGATGATCCGCATCATGTCTTGCAAACAAAGAACAGAGGGCTCGACAGTCCTTTCAATGTTGTTCGGTTTCGCCACGCCAAGCCTTGCGGCGGCTCAGATCTACTGCGTTTACCCAGACCCCAGGCTTCTCAAGCCCGATTTGCAACGCGATTTTACGCTTTCGTTAAAAGAGGCCTTCGGTGACTCTTTTTTGTATTGTCATGGCCTGCGCGGGCAATTGGGCACTTGCAAGTGTTCATGTCTGCCAAGCGCATGCGCGCAGCCAAAGTGTTTTTGCAAGTGCCGATCACGCTCCTTTGCCACAAAGTACGTGCTCGCAATCTGTGCTGCCTGCGCAAGGAAATAGACACTTGCAGCTGCTTCTCATGCCTTGGGCCAAACTGCTCAGAAAGCTTGCTGAGAGCAACTTGCACAGGGCAGCTTGCACAAAGAAACTTGCACAGAGCAACTTGCGCAGAGAGACTTGCACCCAGTGTAAGTGGATCGCCGGGCAAATTCTGCGGGGTATGTCTTTCGAGCGTGCATATGAAGCAGCCCAGTGGGGGGGAAATGTTCCCCTCAAAGCATTGGGAAACGATGTTTTCGGCGATCACATTTCCGTTGCATTTTTAGGGCAGTTTCGTTGCCGCGTGCGGGGGCCAGTATGTGAGCAAAACAACTGGCAGTCAGGCATGGGGCAATGAGCCAATGAGCATGAACAAATTCACTATTTTTCCCGCACCCCGCCCCCAGCCCCGCACCCCCCACACCACTGAGCAAGAGTAAAAACAGTGCAAGTTCTCCGTGAAAAGATGTACAGTGTGTAAAACTGGCAGTCATGCGCATATCCTGCCATTGGAAGCCAGGTCACGCGGCAAAATCGCACGGAAAACACCAGCGGTTGATTCGTTGATCTCATCCCGTCCGTTCGATAGAAAGACAAGGGAGGAGAATCTGGGCTGGAAGCTGAATTTCACGAGGGTTCCTTTTGCGAAAGGGTTTGAAACAGAGTTTCGGGATGGATAAAACAGGCCCTAACCCACCAACAAGAAGAGACCACCTTATCCCCCCGGTCCCAAGGGCAAAGCGGTTGCCCTCGGCCGGCACAAACACGAACCAAAAGGGTGCCAGTTTAACAAACAGAAGAAAGAACCCAGCAAGGGCAAGCAGCGCAGCAAGCGCACGAGCAGCAGCACCAACGCAGGCGAGCAAGCAAAGCAAAGCGAGCAAGCAAGCAAACAATGCACACACCAACCCCAAACAGTCCTCGACCTGCCCCCGCCAAAGAGCGACACCACGACCAGGTGCAGCCGCCGCTTTTCCAGCTAGCGGATGTCCAGCCGTGCCGTGAAGTAATGGCGCCGGGAACAGCAATTGTGTTTGCCAGGTTGAAAAGCTTGAGCCAAATGGCGCATTGGCCATGGCAATGATCAAACATGCTATGATAAAAGTACATGCCCCCAAAAACACCCCCCTCGCCTGTACAAAGAGAGGAAGTGAATTTGGAAGGGCGCATTGGCCATGTTGAAGTTGAAAAGCAATAAACAAGAAAACAAAGCCGATTAGGCTACCAGGGTTCGCGGCCCCATACCCGGGCACTCATTGGTGCCCGGATCCCGCCACCACCCCGAATTACGGGTATGGAGCGGATTCGCGCCGGTAGCCAAATCAAACAAGAGAAAGCAAAAAGCAACAGAAACAAGGATTCAACTCCAGAATGGCAGGCATCAAATAAAAATTACATTTGCAATGTAACCACAACGAACCGCAAGGTTCAAGTGGATTTAGTTCCTGAATTCACGATTTAGGCGCATTGGCCTACTGGTAGAAACATGGTGCGTCGACCATAGGACCTTGGTCTTTAAAGTAGCACCGTCTAGGCGCGCGATCACACAAGGACCTTCGGTAGGAGCACCACCAGCTGCAATCAGCGGTTCAGGTCCGAGTAGGACCTCACCGGCAGCGGTGCAGCGCATCCGTGATCCCCACCGCAGCACCTTGATGAGTTCCATCTCCAGCAGCAGCAGCGGTGCTGGACGATGCTAACCACCAGCGGCCGTAGACGCCGGCGAGGGTAACTGCCTTGCTGCGGCGACGCACACCTGACAGGTAATCGCTGCCTGCGCGAATAGCGAACAGCTGCGCATGCAGTCGAATTCTGAAATGGCGAATAGCCCAAACACAGAAATACTACAAGGAGCATAGTCCATTACGTGAATTCCGGAATGAAAGCACGCGCGCGTTGGCGCCGCTACGCAAATGATGCAGACGGACATCAGGTATCACCGATGTCGTCCGCCGCCGCGCCGTCCCCTCCCCTTGTTGACGTTCCAGTCCCCAGGAGGGGGAGGCACGGTCTCGGCCAACTCGTCATCCGCACCCCAGGTAGGGGTATGCGGCGAGCTCGGATTCTCGAACTCGCGGGGATCACCCTGCATGTGCGGCTGCCAACCCTGCGGCATTGTGCCAGGCCACATTTGTGGCATCATGCCAGCCATTGGCTGTTGCATGTACCCTCCCATTGGGAAAGCGGGGTACATCGGACTTGGGAACGGGAAAGGGGCTGCCTGAGCACCCTTGTATCCCGACCCGCGAGCATCAGGCTGATACCCGCCAGTAGGAGTTCTCGATCTGGCGGATCCGCCACGACCGAACTGCCCTTGCTGGTAGCCGTAT